TCCCTACCAAGCTAGTTTACCACCCTATGCCCGCGCTACCGCTGCCTATGCAATCAAGAACAATCTCCGGCCTTCAGAAGACATGCCCTCAAACGACCTGAACCAGTCCCATGCCAAGGTATGGAAACGTCTTTCTCATCTCTCTTTGCTGACACACGCTCATCCCTGTCCTTTGCCTTGTGGGGCACTGTGTCTGCTCGGGATAGATTGAAAGTATTATCGAGAGCCAACAGCAACTCAAGCAATTGGAACGGGAGACAAACCCTGGTATGCGTTCACCCTCGTCCCACCCCGGTGTTGCTGCCCTGCGACTCAGCGACGGTGGTGTCTGTATGCTTTGCATCCTTTGCAGATCGGTACGGAATCTCCGTGCCCAACTTGGCCGGTCAGCGCGCTCGGCTAAATCAATCACGCAAGCTGAAGAGCACGCTGCGACGACCAGCTGAGCTGGGTCCCATCTTGTAAATATGTCTCTGTTCGACTGCACGGCCCCGGACCGTCTATGTGAGCAAGTGATGCACAACGCTATGTGTCCATGCTTGCTAATGCAGTTGGGACGAGGCTAGTCTTCATAATTGGTCCAGTGGTCAAAAAAGATTGGTCAGAATTCAAAATAATGGTATGCATGCACCCTGGGTCCACGCATTGACGGACGCAAAGCGCAACGAAAAACGACGCAGAGCACTCGCTCTGTAAGGAACAGGCTGAACCCAACAGCAACAACAAAAAAACATAGACAATAAAAAAATCACCAGAGGAATCAATAAAACGCTTGGTGCCCCGGCTACAACGCACGCGTGGCAAGGCCACATCCCATAGTATCATCACCAACAAAAGTTCCTAGTTGAGAAGAGAAGCTGAAAACTGAAAAATGGTCTCTACCGGCGCATGCTCCGTCGACGCCGGCGAAAGGTGCCCTGGCGCTTGCTCTTGCTTGGAGACTCTGGAACGACCTGGGGCGCGGGCTGTGGGTGCTGCTTTGACTGGTGTAGCGCTGCTTGAGCTGCCACTGATTGACTGCTGCTTGAGGGACGCTGACTGATGTCTGGAAAGCCAGCGTTGCCTTCCGCTCCGCTCATGGGCACGGTGAGTTGCTGTGGCATCTCGAGGCTTGCGCGTCGCGGTTTTCGTTGCTTGATCAAAAAGGACGCGGGAGTGACGCGCACGCCCGCGCGAGTCTCGCTGGCGCCAGCACTGGGTTCCACCAAGGCTGTTTCATCCAAAGTATCGAGGGGAGCAGCACGAGACAAAGATGACCGCCGATGTTCCGTCGGATGGCTCCCCTTGCCCCGTGTCGGCGGGGCATGAGGCTCAAGGACGCGGCCCTCCAGTGCATGCCCTGCCAATGCACCATTGTGGCTGTTGCTCAAGGCTGTGCGAGTGGCCGGCTTGAAGGCAGGCTTGCGCAAGCCATCCAGGCTCAGGCGCCCATTCTGTACCTCATTGGCAGGCGCGGCAAGACTCACAGCGTTTGACAAACGCGGCCCAGGTACGGCACTGGGCGCCGCCGTGCCCGCAGCAATACTAGATGCATTCTGAGACTGACGCATGCGTTTGTAAGAGGAGAATGACTGAATGGGCACGGGTCCGGACCCGAAAACGTGTGAGCTTGGTTGGCTAGTGGGTGGACTGACGGGCGCAGCTGCCGGCGGTATGCCTGATGGGGCAGACACAGGAGGAAACTCGGCTGCCGCTTGAGTATCAAGACCCTCAAGAGGACGTGTGGCCAGCGGCACCAACGGACCCCGGCCTGGTGCCGGGCGGTGCCGCTCATTGGCATTGACCTCTGGGAGCTGACGATGATCCGTGCTTTTGGAGGCTGGCTCACGCTTGGGCGGCTTGGCTGCGCCATTTTGCTGTTGGCCCAGCTGATGGGGTAGCTTGCCGAGAGTGGTCGCCGTGGGCGTGTGTTGGTTGCTGGTTTTGTTGTTATTCAGCTGGTCCGCAACCATGCGGGAGGAGGGGGGTTCTCGCGGTGCTGATGGCATCGCACCATGGATGGGCTTTGAATTCTGAACGACTTGGGCATAGGATTGCGGTGGGGCAGGCAGCGGTGTCGGCTCAGGGGTGCGCTGCTCTGCCGAGTGCAAGTTGGTGCGGCTCATGGAAGCCAGAGACTCGAGGTCAGGCGTTGGGGCCCCGGGACGCGGGGAGCCGGGGCCAGCTGTGCTGCAAGGGGACCCGCTTTGGGGGGTCGACTGTGACGAGGCCACAAAATCACGACCGTGGAGCGCAAACCGAGCAGTGGCGGCATTGAGAACGCCCGTGTTGGCGGGAATGCGCGCGTCGGGGGCCGGTGCCGGGGCGGCCAGAGGAACCGAGGCAAGGGCGCCATCAAGCGGCGGTGGTCGGCGCTGTGGTGACGGAGCTGGAGTGCCATCTGTGCGAGGCTCTGGTCCGGGGCGAACCTGGAGCTGAGACGGAGGGCTCTTTGCATGTGTGGAAGACTCCACTACAGTGCCTGCACCAGCCTCATTGGTCATTTCCTGGCGCAGGACGATGCTGCAAAGGCCGGATTGACCCTCTGGTACAAGGTGTCCAAAGCTGGCAAAGACGTGTGAGGACCGGCACTCTTCGGCACTGGGTCGTTGTTCTGGGTCCATGGCCAGCATGGCCAGCATGAGCTGTAAAAAAGGGAGAGGAAGAACAGCCGTGTAGCGACTGGCCAGGGCATTTCGACGAGAGGCGGGGAGGATTTTGGCATGTCGCATGCGGCTGTTGCGCGCGAGGTAAGCTCGGTGGGCAGGCAGGAGTGGGCCCATGGCTTTTTGAATGACGTGTAATTGATCGAGATCCGAGTCCCCAGCAAAGACGGGTTGGCCATCAGCCATTTCACCAATGATGCAGGCCACGCCCCAGATATCCACGGCGTAGTCGTACGGCGCTCCGACGAGGAGCTCGGGGGGGCGATACCAACGCGTCGCCACGTATTCCGTATGTTCGCCATCAGGGGCGAGGCGGCGGGAGAAGCCAAAGTCACAGAGTTTGATGTGACCATCATGAGAGAGGAGCAAGTTTTCTGGTTTGATATCTCGGTGGATGATGCCGTGTGAATGGCACCAGTGCAGACCGAGGAGGATCTGAAACGTGTAGCGCTTGACGAGTTCAATGTCGAGGCCATAAGGCTGGGCTTCAAGAGACTCGAGGAGGTTGCCGTCCATAAACTCAAAGACCATGATGAGGCGCTTCTTGCGGCGAAAAGCCTCTAGGAGGCGCACGATGTTGGGATGGCGCAGGGCCTTGAGCATTTTGAGCTCACGCAAGGTGTTGCGGTGCACGAGATCATCTTCCGTGTGTTTGAACTTTTTGATGGCGACCACCTCCTTGGTCTCCGTGTTGATGCATTTGAGGACAATGCCATAGGCACCCTCCCCAATCATATCACAAATCTGGTACTTGTTCATGTCGGCGGTTTTGCTCACAGTGGCGAGCCCTGCAATTGGGCACTGGCCTGAGCCGGGGGCTGGGAACAACTTACAGTTCGCGCGCGCGCGGGGTGACTATGAGCTGTGCACGCACCGGCCTGTGAAGACCAGCACTAGAGTGCAGCCAGGTGGTTCTTCATGGCTGTGTTCCATGCATCATCGCTGCCGGCACTTCCGCGCCACCAGCGCCCCTTGACGCCAGCTGTGCCTGCCCTTCCGTGCGCCCTCGGCCGTGCCTTGAGTGTTGGGTGCAGCTTGCAGCTGGGCTAGCCAAACAAACGATGAACAGCGCTCAACCGTTTGCGCTGCCGAGGGCCAGAGCCAAAAGCGATCTGGCACCAACGACAAACCCAACACCCCACGCCAAAAACCCAGCAACACTTGGGCTGAGATCTGCGACCTCGTTGACCCGTCTTCGTCGGCGGGGAGGTGAGAGCGAGAGCGAGAGTTGCTGTCAAGATGAGGAAAAACTCAACCAAACAACAACAACAACAACACAACATCAAAAAGAGAGTTGAAGACAAAAGATCTCTACTTCTTGGAAACCAACTCTCTCTCTCTCTCTCTCTCAAACTCTCAAACTCTCTCTCTCTCTCTCTCTCTCTCTCTCTCTCTCTCTCTCTCTCTCTCTCAAACTCTCTCTCTCTCTCTCTCAAGCTCTCTCTCTCTCTCAAGCTCTCAAGCTCTCTCTCTCTCTCAAGCTCTCAAACTCTCAGACTCTCTCTCAAACTCTCTCTCTCTCTCTCTTCTCTCACTCTCTCGCTCTCTCTCTCGCTACCACTTGATGCAAGACGAAACGGCCAACTCTCACTGCTTTCGGCATCTGGTATACAATCTCAGAATGTCACCCTTGTTCTGCTCGTGCTGACAATTAAGAAATGCCAGGCAACCTCCAAGGGTCAAACATCCATGCTATGCTCTGCATGACACACACACACACACACAACACAACAGACATCATCTGCAAAAGTGCGTGACATCGCAGGCTTGGTAGTCACTGAGCCAGCACCGCTGGCTTGGGGAAACGCGCATGCCATTGGGTCTACCGTGGCTGGGTAGCCGATCTTGGGTTGACCCGCACAGCTGGTTACCTCCGTGGTAACGCCGCTGTGCTGGCATGTAGGCCGTTTCAACCCAACTCGAATGTGCAGCTGGCGAGTGCCAAGAGCCCTGCCTAGTTCCTCCTCTGATGCGCTCCAGGCCCTCAGTGGACTTTTCGCCCCTTGATGAACACTCCCAAACATGGATGGGCCTCTACACCATGACAAGGCCTTGATATGCGTCTGATGCTGTGACAACCATGTACGGAGCAAATGGCTCGGCATATCAAACCTCGCTGTCGTATTTTTATCGATCGAGGTGGAAGGAGCCCGAGCTCTTCCACCGCGTCACCGGCTCTTCCTCCTATCTCCTTTCAGCCCAGCCCTTTGCCCCTTGTCTCCCACATCCTGCCTGCCCAAGTGAAGAAGACACCACACTTTAGTCCCACCTCGAGGTTTGGTACACCGTCAGGACGAACCATCCTGTGCAAAGGAGCAGCGACGCCTGGGTCCCGAGCGCCCTCGCCCTCCGAGCGCCTTCTTGAATACTTGTGCTTTTGAAGCCGGTCCCTTCCGCTACCAGCCGCCCCACTCAGACAAACACAACAGAAACGGTAAGTTGCCTGACCTTGAAATGCGCAACCGCCAGTCGCCCCGATGATGACTCTGGTGCTCGGGTCCACTGCTGTTTTGCAGGCCTGATCAAACTCAACATCCTTGCTCGTCCAACAGAACCGTGTCAACACGCATCATGGAGCCGTCGGTGCTGTTGGATATTCCAAACTGCACGTCTGCCATCCTTCCCACAACCGGTTTGTCTCAGCGTGCGACTTCTCTCTTCTCGTTCAGGCGATCGAAATGGTTAGCCCGGTCATACTCAACAACTCTTTACCGCCTAAATCGGGTCAATGTTAACTTAGGAGACAATGATCCGTTTGCTCAGCTCGATGGGCACTCGACTTTTGGTGGAAGTGACTCAACTCGAGGTCATTCTCCACATATGGTCAATGTCAGTGCCCATGTGAGCCCATTCTTGGAGCCGCTGCCCTCCTTTGCTGCGGCCAAAGCCACGTCCCACGGCCAGGCAGTCTTCTTGACCGACCAGCTCCCAACCGCAACCTCCATGGCCTACACCCAGACCCTCCCGACCAACAGTGTCTACGGAAACATGATTGTCGCGGAGGCGCAATCGCCAAGCACCAGCGTCATGACAGCCGCAGGCAATCATGGCCAAGTGTACCATGTCAACCCTCTGCCCCTGCAGCAGCAACCAACCTACTCATATGGCAGCCCAGAGCTACCCAGCAGCCGCGCCGTGACGCCTGCCCGTTCTGCAGCCTCCCCGGTTGGCCTGCCTGCCGCGAAGCGCGCCAAAACCGCACCTCTACCCGTGCGAGCCCCGTCGCGTACCTCCTCGTTTGTGTCCGACGACCGTGAGACCAGCCCCGAAACCAGCACGCGTCATTCGCGCATCCAATGGACGGTACGTTGACCGATGGCCGTTGTAACAATGTTACTGACAGGTAACTTCTACCTCACTTTCGCTTGCTCTCAGGTGAATGATCAAGAAACCTGGCATCGCCTCTTTGACGAACACATGAACGAAATCCCTCAGCCGGGGTTCCGGGTAGAAATTGACAAGGGCTTCAAAGCCACCTTTGGTGACGACAGCTTTATCTGCCAAAAGAAAAATCATTTTCAAGCCACCACGGCTGTACGCATGGCGGCTCGACCTGCTTTTATCGCCTCGCGCCAAGGTCTCTTGAAGGTACATTTTGCCCTGCAATGTGTGTCTGTGGGTCTGTGTGTCTGTGGGTCTGTGTGTGTTCCCTTACCTGGGCCGAGTTCCGTCTCGCTCATCTCACAGTCAATAACCGCACGTATTGGTGGTCGCCAACACGCTTTGCAGATTTCAAAACTCTACATCAACATGTATGGCATCAAGGTGGAAGCTCCCACACAGCAGATTGCCTTGGAGCAAAGTCAAACGGATCGTCGAAAAATGCCCTTCAATCCGATTGAGATTAATATCCAACCCAACGAAGTTGTCAAAGCCACGGTGCGTCTCCTGCTTCCATGGACTTGATCTTGCATGGTTTGTTTTTGTTTTGTTTTTTTCAGCATGGCACAACTCATAAGAGCGATACTGCTGCCCTTGCTCTAGATTGGCCGCTTACACTTTGCCGAAACCACAGCCAACAACATGCGCAAGAAAGGCCGGACAAATCCTGATCAACGGTGCGCCCTGCGAAACACGTGGCCCTTTCTCAGCAACCTGAACGTAAAATTGACCAGCCATCACCATAACCCGACTGGTTCGATAGGTATTTTAATCTTATCGTCACTGTGGCGGCCGAAGCTGGTGGCCAGCTCTATGCCATCGCCAGTCACCGCTCGCAGAATATCATCGTTCGAGCGTCAAATCCTGGGCTATTTGAGAGCGATACTCCCGTGGTAAGTTTGAAATGACCTGTCTTTTGCCTCTTGTTTTTATATCACCTCCAAGACCTTCCGCACAACAAGAGAGCTGCCGCACGACCCTCACGCTCAGGTCGCAATGTGCAATAGCGTTGGAGTCGTGGTCAAGTGAACCAATCCGTCTATTACGATGGGCACGTCGGCGTCATGATGGACAATCCAGATGAGGCCTTGTGCGTTCGCGGTAACATTCGCCTCAGCGGTGCCATCCTGCAACCTTCAGATGCCCGAATCAAGCGTGACATTCAGCACATGGACACAGCCAAGGCTTTGCAGAACATTGAGCGCATCCCTCTTCACTCTTATCGCCTCAATGGCCAATGGGCGGCAACCTGTGGCGAGGATGCCAACCGCACTCAGTACGGTGTCGTGGCACAAGAACTCAAAGCGGTTCTACCCGATGCCGTGCGTGCTGGGCCCAGCGTCACATTGAACGATGGTCAGGAGGTGACCAACCTGCTAGTGGTCGACAAGGAACGCCTCTTCACTGAGGCGCTGGCTGCCGTGCAGCAACTCACCACCCTCAACAGGCAGCTCCATAAGCGCGTAGAGTCACTGGAGCAACGCCTTCGTTGACTTTACCCCTTTAAGTGTATTTTGAGTGAGCGTTTCTGGTTGGATAGCTTGACAAATCACCCAATGTTAATCCTTTTGTTTTTTCCTTAAAGGTCAATGTGAGTGTGTGTGTGTGTGTGTGTGTGTGTGTGTGTGTGTGTGTGTGTGTGTGTGTGTGTGTGTGTGTGTGTGTGTGTGTGTGTGTGTGTGTGTGTGTGTGTGTGTGTGTGTGTGTGTGTGTGTGTGTGTGTGTGTGTGTGTGTGTGCGTATCTTCTGCTTATTGATTCATGCATTTACCCATGGCACCTCAGTTTTTGCGTGATGGCAATCATTGACATGTGAGTTGACGTCAATTGAGACACGAGACAACAGTACTGCCCAACAGTATCTGTTACCAACAAATTTTGCTATACAAACCAATCACGACGATGGACACGATCAGGGTGGGGTTGTGTGGCAGGCCAGCGAAACTTGGCAGGAGAACGCCCAAGGTGATATCCAAAAAGCAAGACTTTAGATGATATCCTCCAATTCCTTGGCATAGTTGAGTGTGCGGTGCACCAACTGCGAGAAACATACAAAGACATTAGCGCCGCGTAGTAACATACACCCAGGGAAACAAATTACACGAATGATCAATAAACGTACCTTGCCCGAGTTAACTTGTCCCGATTGGACCTGCTTGGTGGGGAAGATAATGGTGCCATTCTGATATTGCCAGTCCTCGTGCTCCTGCACCAATGCCTCGGCTTGTGCCGTGTTGTCGGCAAACGTCAGCTTTTGAAACTCAGCCATACTCAACGACCCGTAGGCTGCCTGAATGCATGCTGCAATATTCTCCCTGCACTCGCAGCATGAGAGGGCAAATGGCGAATAAGCAATGGTAAACGGAGTGCAGTTGACAAAACGTGAGAGAGAAGGGTTCTGAATAACCTCGAGTCCAACGCGCAAAAGAAAAGAAAGGACAAGAGAAGAGAAGAGAAGAGAAGAGGAGAGAAGAGAAGAGGAGAAGAAAAGAGGAGAAGAGGAGAGACGGCGTGAAACGCATGTCATTACCGGATGGCGCTAACGAGAATGTCCAAGAAACCATTGTATGACTGCGCTGGTACGTTGTCGCGCGCAAGGAAGACCTTGTTGTAGCTGCCCTCCATCAGGTACTGGGCAAGAAGGGGGAGAGAAAAAGGTGAAGGAAGCGAATGAGTTGCCTGACACTCTCGGCATGCCCCCCGCCCCCACAACATTGACGCGCAATCATCACTGGGCTAACCTGCTCCAAGCTGACGGAGTAGCGGATGTAAGGGTTCTCAAACAACAAGTCCACGTCAAGGCGCTCCAGCTCCTAAGGAGACAGAACGAACGTCACCGATGAGCCAAACCTACGACTGCAATAGCGACAACAAAACCGCTGCATTGTAGTCATGGGCGTATTGGGGAGCAGGAGGCTCTACCGTATGAAATTCAGCAATCTTGTGCTGAGTAAGAAGGTACAGAAGATTCAGGCCCAAGAGCTCATATTTGTATGCTGATTCGGGGACGAGCTCACTGGATAAGACAACCCACAAGCAGTCAAAAAGAAATGATTTGTAAGATCCAGTCAGTAAGGCCAGTGTATGGGGCGTTCAAGCTCTCTTGTATGAATCGTTCAGAAAAGCCAAAGATGCTTAAGAGGGAAAGCAGGTCAGTGTGGGTTGGCAGGGTTTTTTACCTGTAGTCGTAGTAGTAAGTCTTGAGCTGAGCCATGTAACGCTCAAAGGCGTCGAGGTCTTGCGCCGCCACGCTCCATTGCGTCGCCACCTCGAGAATGTCGCCTGATCGAAACAAGAACGGCCGATGAATGGAAGCCAAAGTGCATGACAGGAAAAGAGTGTGTTCAAGCGAGGCAAACATGGTGCGAAGATGTGCGTGCTGCGGGGCGCTCACTTACGAGCCAAGAGAATTTCAGCCTGGTGTTCTTCGGCAGCTTCCAGGGGTAGGAAAGAGGTTTCAACGAGAGCCAACTATGTTTGAGAGCCGTACGCCAGTCAGTTGCCAAGACTAGACAAGCCCCCCAGCGCTCGGATGGCGCGGGCAGTCGAGTCCCGAAGGGGTTAATTCACGCAAACAGGACGAGTAGCTTTCACTTGTGCATACCTTGAGCTTCTTGAGGATGGTCTCACACTGTTCAAGATTGCCTTGTTTCCAAGCACCCTTGAGCTCCTCGTAGAGCGTCTTGGTACCGGCCAACGATGCGCCTGCCATTTTTGCTTGTTCCGAATCAATGGGTCCAGTAACACCGGCTCGTTCTCCTCTATGCGAAAACAGCCCCAGCGAGGCCCGAACAGTGAGAGGAAAAGAAAAGCGCGGACGAGAAACTCGGCGCAACCTTGTCGCGCCCTGTCGTACCAGTCCAAGTCAAGAAGACGTAATGCTCTCTGAACCAACTGCGAGACCTCTGCGGTACAAGACGGGCCACAGCCGGGACGAGTTCAGTATCCAAATGCCACAATTTCCTTTTGAGAGAGAGACAGAGAGAGACAGAGAGAGAATGAATTGGTCAGAGACAGAGACAGAGAAAGGTATAAACAGCAAACACACAAAGGAAAAGCACAACTACCACAGAGACAGAGAGAGACACAGAGAGAGGCAGACAGACACAGAGAGAGAGAGAGACAAAAGCAAATCAGTGGGAAAAGAGTGTTGTCAACAGAAGTTGTAAGTGATGTGGCCCTTGGAGGCCAATTTAGACACACTCACTGATTTCGCGTTTTGACTTCATAGTGTGACAATGACCACAGTTACGTAGAAAGGCTTTTCCAACGTCAACTGGAGGTGATGGCGAGTTCAACGACCACAACGGCAGCCGCCGCGGCCAAGTCTGGTACGTCGGACCGCTTCCCAACCCCGCTGCTCACGGATGGGCCTCTTGGAGACACGGGCGGCTGGTGGGATTCACCGAGGCGTGAAACAACGCCCTCACTTTGGCTTGAAAGCGACTTGAGACTGGTCCTTCTGAGCTTGGCCAAAGCCAATGACATCTCATGCCCGCCCGATCTTTTCCCCCCTTGGACCTGCGGTCGGCAATAGTGGTGCGAATCGCCTTGGCCCAACTACAGGTCACGTCTAACAAGCAGCAAAACATTGAAGGGGCCGTGCGTGCCATTGCCGAAGCAGCCAAGGCTGGCGCCCGCCTAGTCACCCTGCCCGAATGCTTCAACTGCCCCTACGGCACAAAATACTTTGGCACGTACGCGGAGCCCATTCCAGGCGAATCTACGGCAGCACTCAGCCGTGCCGCCAAAGAAAACGGAGTACGTTTGAACCACTTGACCTCCGCCCTTTGCCTTTGTTCTCGTACCACCTGACGCTGACACGACTGCACGCCGCGACAACTTTTAAGGTTTATGTTGTTGGCGGCTCCATCCCAGAGCGAGCTGCTGACAAGCTCTACAACACTTGCACCGTCTTCAACCCCGACGGTGACCTCATCGCCACCCATCGCAAGGTTTGATGTTGTGCAACTCTTGCGTGTGTTGGAATCTGGATCCCAAGGCTCGCCGACCATCTCAGACCATCTCAATCTTGCCGGACTAATCCGCTTGTTAGATTCATCTTTTTGACATTGACATCCCTGGCAAAATCACGTGCGTACACCCCGCCCCATACGCTCGGCCATACTTTTGGAATAAGATGCAAAAAAAGCAGCTTGAGCTAGCGCGGTCACAAAGCGAGCGATCGCAAACGGGTTGTCCTCCCCTTGTGTGTCTCATGTAACAGCCGGACACAACCCCCTTCAGGTTCAAGGAGTCGGAAACGCTATCGCCTGGTGATGCACCCACAATGTTCAAAACAGGTTCGCCAGCGAGCAGGCATATGTGCGCGTCAGCGGCTTTTGTGGTGTCAAGCTGACACCTGAATGCTTATGCCCGATTCAGACTTTGGCCACGTTGGTGTTGGTATTTGTTACGATATGCGCTTTCCAGAATTGGCCCAACTTTATGCCGAGCAGGTGTGTTGGTGAAAGTGAATACGCCCATTTGAAGGCGTAACCAGCTCCTGGCTATGCAAGGCAGCGCTTTCATCATCTTGTCTTTTTTTTTTTTTTTTTTTTTTTTTTTGGGGGGGGGGGGGGCTTGTAGTGTTTTTGTTGTTATTTTTTTCGCTTTTTTCACTCGAATTGTTTGCGGGCAACGCGTCGTGCACAATGTCTACAGGGCTGCTCTCTTCTTCTCTACCCTGGAGCTTTCAATATGACTACGGGGCCAGCTCATTGGGAGCTCCTTCAGCGTGGGCGTGCGCTTGACAATCAACTCTTTGTCGCGACAGCTTCACCAGCAAGAAATGCCTCTGCTGACTATCAAGCCTGGGGCCATTCTTCTTGTGTCGATCCCTGGTGAGCGTCTTCCAAACTTGCCCTCACCTCGGCTGCGCGCTGTTTCGATGCGCACCAGCGCCACCACCAGCAACAATGACAAGAACAATGAGAGCAATAACTCACTGACGCCGCTTTCCACCACTTTTGTACGTTTTGTCTTTGTTTCTCCCGCGCTCAACCATCCGATCCACACCCGCACAAATGCGATATAGGGGAACGGTCATCGCCACCACGGATGAACAACCTGGCCTGGTCTACGCAGACTTGGGTACGAAACGACACAACTGATCAAGGTTTTTTGTTTTTTGTTTTTTGTTTTTTTTTCGTTGGGTTGTACCCCTCATTCGTGCATTGCCTGCCCAATCTAGACATGAGCAAGGTTTCGGAAGTTCGCCACAATATCCCTATCCGGGAGCAAAAGCGACACGATTTGTACCGCTTGGTGGTGCCGTAAACGGAGTGTTTCAATTAAAATCAGAAAAGTTTAACACAAACAAAAGAGATCAGCATCGCTTAAACTTCTTCATGGACATGAGCAGCGCTGCCATGCGCACATGGCTGGCGGTAGCAAGGACCATCAAGACATAGACTGCACTGGCAGCTATCAAAGGGCAACAAAATGGGCCTGATGCACCAGCAAAGCCAGGCCTTGCGCATCATCGACCACTGGATAGCGCACCACAGCACATTCCCAGCCCAGTTTGTTTAGAAAAGGCAACGCAATGGTTGGTCGCTGCTGGTCCTTGCCAGCGTGACACAAAATGACGGGCACTGCACAGACGCCCTCTACGGGACGCCCACGCTTTAGGGCCGTCTGCATGAGAGACAACGGCATAGGTGGTTTTACTTCCACCCCCGGTAAGACCTCCAATTCGACGCCTAGGCACGATGAGGGGCGGGACGGGGGCACATGTGAGCCGGCAACCTGTACCAGGTCAACGCAGCAACTGGTCAGTCCGTGACTTACCCGTCAGCCTCAACAAAGTGGTGTTCTCGTCGGTGTTCGTTTCCTTCCCAGGTGCCTCGCCAAGAAGGTGATTGGCATAAAGTTGGCCCACCAGGCGTGGTGCTGACAGCACATGGCGTGCCGGCAACTGCAATACCGACCAAAGGACGCAAACAGAAGCATTGTGATCATCAGGAAGGATAAATGTCACAATAAAAAGCCCCGAAGAACGATGACTTTCGGTTCTGGCTTTTGTGAAAAATGCAAAAGCCAAAGAGTCGAACTCACCGTTTCAGTAACATGAAGAGGATGGTCAACGACCTCGATCAGTGCCCGGACATACGTGACGGGATCGCAGCGGAGATCAAGGCGAGGGGCCAAATGCCACCGCTCTGGAACGTGCTCATGGACAAGATCCGTCGCCAGTTGCTGCGCATCCGTCTAAAAAGAAGCAACACAGACAAGACATGTTCAGGCAGCATGGAATATGAAGCAATCAATGCACCCACATCCTTGCCCGTCTAGTTTGGATAAAGGTCAGAATCTATGTCCACGTACCGAGAGATGCAGGCTGCGCGCCAAGACTGCGCCTAGCTTGGTACAATCGGCACTGATGGCAAGCAACGCCAACGCTGCGCGCTCCTCCTCGCGACGACACAAGTAGAGCTCTGATCTTGCCCGGAACGAGGACAGGGAGGTGCTCATCCGATGCAGAGCTCCCTGAATTTCCTCCACCACCTTGCGCGCTCGGTGTCGGTCCAATGCTTCATCCTCGTGGCCAGGCTTGAGTAGGCCGTCGGTTGCAACAGCCCCCAGCATGGCCAGCTGCACTGGCGTCGCATCCAGGCCAGAAACTGTGACTTCTTGCAGCAGAGTATTGAGCAAGACGTCGTCCTCTAAAACACAGATCAGGCCTGCAGTGCCAGGAGGTTGTTGCTCCAACACGGCGCGAATGCGCGGCGCGGTGCTTTCGCTCACGAGACGATGTGCGGCCAGGCGAATGAAATCACGGTGATCAACACGTCCATATGCCCTAAAACAAACAATCGAGTTCCCGCAAATACAAGTGAAATTGAATGAGTGGTTCTACATGGTTCTGAGCTTGTGACAAGCAACGCGTAGGCACCCATGGACGTACAGACAATACGTCTCCGCATCCCAGCCAGGCATGTTTGGGGTCGGTTGAGCCGCTTCGCGATTCTTCAAGACTGCTGACACCGCTGCCAGCAGATTGATGTCAAAGGAGGCCGTGCCGCGCAAGCAGCCTGCACCTGCTCGACACCCCCAATTTGAGAAGGAAAAGAAAGACAAAAAATGTCAGCGCCAATGAAGATTGGGAGTGAGTGGAGGTCACGGCGATTTGAAGCTATCAAAACAAGGCCTACCGACCTTGACTCTGGAGGAGCGACGCGGCATGAAGCAAGCATAACTGGATCACACGCACGCGGACCGCCATATCATCGGCCTGGTCAAATACTGAAGCGTGATGGCCGATAAATCGAGCCAAACGCTTGCCAATCGATGCGTGCTCCTGTGCAAGCGGGCCAAGACACAACACAAAAGACACGCCCCAATGAATGCTGAATCATCTTCACCCATCAGCCACAATACATTTGGAGGGGGCAGGGGGAAGGGGAGGAAAAAGCAAGAACACAAGGGCCAAAGCAAGAAAGAAGGAGGGGGAAACCGAGCAACTTGCGGCGTGCCGAGCAGGAGAAAATGGCATGAAACGTACCCGATCTAAGCGCACGACCACACTATCAGCCATGGCCGAGTGCCGAAAGAGGTCGCTGTCCGGGTCAACAGTGGCAACCACACCAAAAGGACCCAATCGTGAGCCGTGTTCAGCCAGGCGTGGATCGGCTAAGAATCCGTCAGCATCGGCAGTGGAGGGCCGGGAGGTGCGTGACGCTCGAGATAGCGGCCGTGACGTCCGGCGGGTGGGCGATGGCTGAGTTGGTGCATTTTGCTGTCGCAAAAAGCGCAGCAAAATTGGCACAAGCCCAGGTTGCAAGTGAAGGTGTTCGATCAGCAGCGGTGAGCCTGTGGCCGCGCACTGGCGCAAGGCTCGCTGCAAATCCCCAACATCCAGACTACCACAGCGCAAAACTTGCTGTATAGCAATCCCCATCTCAGTCTCCACCACGATCCGTTCATTCTCTGGCCAGTGTGGCTCGTGCTGAGCGATTACCAGCAAACGTGGATGATTATCAGCAAATGTACTCATATCTGGAGTCTGCTCGCTCGAGATGAGCTTTGGCATGAGCTTTTTCTCGACGATCCATTCCAGGAAGGCGCTCAGCAAAGCTGTGGCCCGCGTGCCATCCAGACAAATCTTCAGCAAGAGTGATGCCCACTCGCGCTCCAATGGCGTTCGCGCCAAAGACTCAGGCAACGGACACTCGCTCGTCTCGGGCTGACTGATCCAAGCCTGCCAAGAGCTGGCATCTCCTTGCACCTGGGGGAACAATCCAAGCGTAAGGCAGACCTTTTCACCAGCAACCGGATAGAACAATAACTCAAAACTCGGCCAATCCATACCTCTGCCAACAAGTCAAACTCGGAGCATCGCTGCTGAAACAACTCTCCAACCGCTTCAAGGCGAGCCCACTACAACAAAGAGCACCAAAGAGCGTGGTTGTAATAGAAACAAGAAGGTGAGTCTTGCAAACCGCACTGCCAACGCGAAGGCTCGAGCTGGTACACAAACACTTCACACTACGCACCTGCATGCCATTCAGCCATGGAACGGGCGGTACGGCTGGGGAGGCCGTGAGCTGTTCAAATCCACCCAAAGCAAACTCAAGCTCTGGTGGACGTGGAGCGCCCACATCCCCAAGAGCCGTCATTCCGCTCCACAATGCCGGCACTAATGTGGAATCTTGGCCGTTGACCTCTGCCTGTACGGTCAGCTTGCTCTCGCTTTCACTCATGGAGGCAATCGAGGCATTGTCTGAAGGATTCAATGGCGCATTGCTCTCAAGATTCATGGGCGCCTCGAGAAGCACGTCAGGCGTCAGGGGCCGATCAAAACCAAGGTCCAGCTCCTGTTCTTGCAGCAGACCTCGGCCCAGCACATTTGTTACGGGTAAAAGCATGAGCATGGCTGCCTGAGCTATCGCTGCACGCTGAGCATCTGGTACTGTAGCACAAAGTTGCTCCACAATCTCTCGAACAGCGGGCCAAAGCCCGGTGCTCCCAGCCTCCGTACCAGGAGTCGACATTCGTGGAGTCGCCGAGCTGCCGTTCTGGCTGGCGCCACCACCGACAAGACCGTCGCCGCTTGAGGCTGTAAGGTGTGAGTGACTCGGGCGCCCGCGTTGTCGAGAGGACCCCAGCCTGACTGAGGCCTTGGCGAGCTGGCGCAAGTAGTGCTCAACTAGGTCTTGACTGCGCACGAATGATGCGTTGTTCAGTCCACGAATGCGATCGCAAAGATGCACCAGTATTGCAAGAGGCCGCATCTGTTGGCGACAAGCCGTCTGCCAGACACGAACTCGGCTCATATCGCGCTTGCGCTCGGCCAGTTGTCGGACATAATCAGCTTTGAGCTCAACTGTCTCCGCCACGCGCGTGGCATCAGCCGCCAAGCCTGTAAAAGTGTCGACCAGGTTGAGCGAGGCCGAAGCAATGGCGCGCTTGAGCTGTTGCAGCTGGGAAAGTGTTTGATTTACAAAGTGATGTGCGTTGCTGTAGCTACGCGCCATAAGCAGTGAGCCCAATACGGCCTGCAAGGATGGCTCGGAGAGGTTATCGTAGTTGACAAGGCGCAACACGGTTCCGAGCTCTGCAAACCATGCACCCTGGTCCAACGCCGGGCCCATGACAACCAAGTTGGCCGCAGCATTGCCGTTGGGCAGGTGGCCATGGCCAGACGTGTTCGCCAAATCAGCAGAGGCATGGCCCGCACCAGGCGCGACCATGGACACGGCTTGGGTGGAGGCGCCAGCCATTGAAGCGGTGGCAGCTCCTCCGTGAATTGAGGCAACGTGTCCGGCATCGTCAAGTTCAAAACTCAAATGTCCGCTGCGTGATCGTTGATACGCGCGGCGCAGCCATTGTACAAACTCGGGACTCGGGCGTGCGGGCGCGTGGGTGCAGAGCACGACAGAACTGCATGCCAATGCTTCGTCGAGCTCCGTTTCCAAGCGTTCCCACGAAGTGGCGCCGATTCGCATATCAACAGCACGTGCACCACCCGAAGCTGCATACATACTCATCACGTGGTGCTGAGTCATGTGGTCTGGATCTAGCGCCAAAGACCAATGCGTCGAGCACGTGATTGCAGCCCGGTTAACGAAAAGGGCGCTGGTGTCACAAAAAATGTCCGCAGCAAGCTTGTCCTCGGCTCGTGCCATCAAAGGAAACAAACCCTGAAGAATCTCCTCAAGCGGCGCGCCACTGGTCGCTGGCACATGGCTTACACTCAAACTGTTGCCGGCTAGAATGTCTAGCCAGGTCGCAAGCAGTGGTGTCCGCGCTGCCTCGGGAAAGCACGGCAAATACGAGCGGGCAAGTGATGCAACGAGGCAATCGCCCGTATGGCGCACCTGCACGCTTCGAATATGTTCAATGGCTGCCTTCCATTCCTGCTTCTCGAGCTCGAGGGAACGCAAAAAGTTTTGAGCTTGCTCCAGCTGGTCACCCAGTTGTGCCAATGCTGTAGCGTCGTCGTTGCGCTGACGAGTCGAGGTCACGACATTGGCACGCAATGTGGCCACGCGCTTCTCAAGGCTGCCATTACTCTGACGCAAACTTCGCAGATCTTCGGTTTTATCATGCATGAGACGCCGCAGCCCGTTGATTTGGATTTCCTTCGCGCGAGTGTGGTTGTTCAGTTGACGATGTAGAATTAGCGCGCCCTTGGCCCAACGCGCTAAGACGTGCACGCAAGCCGGAATATGACGAGAGTCGCGTGGTGAAGCTATGCGGCCCGGCGTCGTGACCTCCCGCTTTGTTTCCGGTGAGCTGGTGCCAGGACCTGCTGCGAGCATCTTCACCACCTCGGCATCTTCCAACAGCTCTTGAATCTCGTTCAAGCGGGCCTCGGATATTTTGGCCACCTCACATGCATGCAACTGGAGGCGTAGCTTCTCGGCGTCCGCACACAAACGTCGGCCTCCGGTGCGCCAGACCAGCTCACTGTCCGATAACGGCGTATCGTTGCTGCCGCGCAAAAGCAAGAGAAGCAAGGCCGCGAAGACCGACTCGACGGCGTCAGGTGGTCGATTCATGGCTTGGACCTCGCGAAGTTGATCCTGGCCAATTTGATCTACGAGGGCCCGCAAGGCTTCCACGTGCCCGCGCGTGACGCTCATGGCCTCCTCATACTCAACGAGAAGTGGCGCAACCTTTTCCTCAAGCTCGGCAATTTCGCGTTCTTTGCGCAACACTGCCTGCTGCAGCTTGCGCTGAGCTGAAACGTCTCGTCCAAGCTGGGCCAAGAGTCGCAGGCCCACATTGTCCCGCTCTTTTAGTAAACCCTCGAGACGCTCATGTTGAGCCCGCAGCTCGGACAGATGCGCTTCGGCATTGATGGTCATTTGCACACCATGCTCCAATCGTGCCAGCCGCGCACTGTAGTAGGCACTCAACAGCTCATCGAAGCGAAGGAACCAGTGTGCAGCATCATCCAGGGCCGGTTTGAGCGCAGGATCAAGGTAGTGGCTGCCAGGCAACGATTGCGCTGTCTCCCAGGCAGCTTGATGGCATCGACCAAAGAGAGTGGCCTTGACAGCAACCTCAGCCTCCGCAAGACCCCCAGTACCCAACACTTGAGAAGCCTGGAATGTCCAATCCTTGAGATTGGCCGAAGTCCAGTTAACAATGTTAATGTGCTGCACTAAGCGCGGATGGCTGCGCAAGACGTGCTGTGTCGCATCGAGGCGTCGGACGCCGTCGTCTGATGTAAATAGGCACACTTGGAGGTTGCGGCGCGCGTTCTCATGGAACCACAGCATGATATTGCGCTGAGTGGGGACCATGCCAAGGGCCACGACGCGAGGCTGCACCAAAGTCGAGACGGCCACCAGGTTGTCCGTGCTCAGTAGGTCTGAAACGTCCTTGCCAGTGACAAATGATGCAATGACATCCAAGACCTCAATCGACGCTTGATTGGAGTCGACAGCAAAAGTGATGCGCTCATCTCGCGTGGCTGATAACATCAGGAGCTCGACAAAGTGCATCTGAAACCGACGTCCGCCATCACCGGCGTCCAGGCCCTCAGCCACACACAGGCGCCGCCCAGCAATGTGCGCATGTAGGCGCATAGCATTGACGCATTCGTGGCCAAAGAGCCAAAAGTCCGTGCGTGGCAAGCGCGCCACGCTGCTTGACAACATGTGACACATGTGGTGGAGGTGCGATTGTGCCAGATGCAGGTGAAATGCACTGTAGCGCTGAGCGCACTCCTTGACCTCATTCTCCATGAGGCCGCGTAGAATTTGCGCGGCTTTGCCACCGTCAGCATCGTGTGCAGCCACTATGCCATTAACGCCAGCCACCGTGCCCGAGGTAGCCAGGTTCTCGGAGTAGAACACATTCTCTTTGAGCCACACGGCACTGGCCTCGTCAAGTAGGGCTCGGGCAAACGTTTGCTTGACTGCCCGACGCAGTAATTCTTGAAAACTATGTATGCGAGTTCCGGATCGGTAGATGAGTTTGATCATGATGCGCGCACAAGACACGGCTTTGCAACGGGCATCACACTTTGAACTCTGTCTTGACCTTGACTCTGGCTCCCGGCTCCCAGCCCTTTCCAGCACTCGTGCCACTCGAAATGGGCTTGAAGCATGCCCAAACTTACCGATGCTGGTCGATTGTGACGGCCATGCGCAGACCGTACACAGCCGTCATCAGCGCGGCCCAGACTCGAACCGCTGCGACCTCTGAGGCCAATGGAGAAAGGGCACAGCATAGTCCCGCGGCCACGGACATGACATCGTGTGGCGTGAATCTAAAGCAAAGCAAGAATACGGTGAGCAAAAGCAAAGTCACGTGCAGCAGCAGGGCACAATGCAATGCAAAAGGCCTTTTATGAGCGGCGCACCGATAAAGAAGGCGATGCGGAGCGACACCAAAGCCACCCAGGATAGCCTCGTGCACGTGGCAGGTACACTGGGCCAGTGGCGAAGCCCAAGCCACACTCGGCTCTGCTGAAGGCATGCCAGACTGGCTAGCACGCATGGACACCTGCGTATAGCCATCCGGTTGCAAAAGGTGTCGCTTGATGGTGGCTTGCATAACGTTTTGCATAATATCGACGCGTGGTGTAGTCAAGGACAAAACCAAACAATTTTGGGCCAAATTCGAGTCAAGCTTGAGTTGGGTATTCAGCGCGAGTGGATCTGTGGTCGTAGCAAAAGCCAAGACTAAGCCGCGAAGCTGACGGCCGAGGCCTGAGCGAAAGCTCTCACTGTCAAATACCATTCGCACGACTGCTAGCTGATGCAAAACCTGCATGACGTCACAAGTGGGCGAGGCCAAGTCTTGAACGTCGTCCAACACCACCAAAACCCCTGCCTTGCGACTTGCGGGACCATACTCCAAGCCTGACCCCATATCAAAGTGACGACGGATGTTCTGCCAAACGGCTTGACCAGTCAAGCGGCGCGTGCAACTCAAGTGAACGGCAGCTCGCTCGGCACCTGTCATATCTGTGAGCATGTCGCTGAGCGTCTCCAAAATTCGGGACTTGGCCGAACCGCTGGGTCCACTCAGACCGACGTTGCGGCCGGCTCGCAAGCATAAGGCAGCCACGAACCGAATGGCCTCCACTTCTGGCGTTGCCACCAAGACCTCGTCTTGGTCGTGTTCTGCAATTGCCTTGCGAGTCGTGATGATGGGTTCGGTCGTCATGTGCGCAAAGGTGGTAATGCCGGCAGCAGAACCTGGTCGTTGCTGCCAGATCGGCACTTCAGGTACGAAGCGCACGTCAAATTGAGCCAGACGCGAGCGCAGGAAGCGGTCTGCCTGTGCCAAAGGTTCCCAGTTTTCTTCGCACTCACGATCAATACACAAAATTGTCGCCCAAACGAGAGCCACACCCAAGCACTCGTAAGCAATGTGTGAGCCCAGATCGCTGCCTAGCTCATCTTGGACGACCCCAAACAAAGAAGTACTGAGGTCTCGCCAGGTCTCAAGGACGGAGGTGACGTTTAAAGCGTTGGGCACGGTAGTACGCAAAGCGGAAAAGGTGTCACAGAATTCAGCTGCTATATTAGCTAGTTCCTCGAGGTTCACACCCACGACCCCATCAGAAGCCACTAGTGCCTCGAGGTCGCGAAGAACCTGAGAGCGACGACAATAGACACGCGATCCAAGCAGTGCAAGATCGGGCAGCTCGTCTCCGGTGACCGATGGCTCGTAGTCCAGCCAAATGACGCGTGCACACTCATCCAAGCGTGCACTGCTGCCACACGGCAACACAATGCGCCGCTGGGTCTTCACTTGATACAGGCTATCGCGCATGGCAGGCGACAGCACGCCGAGCAACACAACGATTTGCAAATGTGCCAGTTCCTCCTCTGGCTCAGCAGTCGGGTCACGCTCTTGGGCATCTGCGCTATCGCTGAACCGGTGCGTAAGCAGCGAGGCCCAAAGCGATTGGTCCAGGGTTTCACCCGCAAAGCCGTTGCCGGCAAAGGCAGAGGGCAACACAACCTGCACTTGCGTATGCAGGTGCAGACCCTGCAAAGCCGCACGCAACTGTTCGACCAGAGCCAGACCATCGCGTGCGCTGTTGGCGCGCACATGCGCTACTGGGTGAAGGTCAAGAAGCAAAGCCAGATGGCGCAGATCCAGCGAATGAGGTGTCAGACTCGTTCGATCGCGATTCTCATACTGGCGTACAGCTGATAGAAAATGGCTAGCTTGCAGGTCAAGCTGAAACACATCGGCCAGCGCCTTGATATCCGCTTCTAGCGCGCGTCCATTGATGCTGGACGCATCACAATCCATGCCATCTGGGGCACCCAGGCTCACGCCATAGTGCTGTACAGCTGCGCGCAACACAGCTCGATCCTCAGCCCTTGTTAAAGAACGCCCGTGTGTAAACCAGAAGCAGTGCAACATGAGCTCCTTGGCCTGTTCGCCTGACTCACTACGCCAGGCACCATGCGTCAAAGCCGTTAATCTAGCAGCGTTGAACAGCTCGAACATGCGACGAAGCGCATGCTCAGTATTGCGCGACTCCATCGAAGAGAGCAACCGACGCAACTCCACAAGAGCAAGCCGAAGACCGGCATGCTGCGCACCACCAATCACAACGTGAGCACGGAGCAGCAGCGGCCAGTCTGAAGCCCCCGCATGGCCGTCCACAGGAGATAACGGACGGCAGCTGGCTCGCAACAGTGCGGGCACGTGAGTACTGGCCATGCTGGTGACGAGCAAGGGCATGCCATCCAGCTGTACAGTCGAATCAAGGAGCTCAAACGACTTTTGCTTTGACTGCATGGCCCGCGTTGTGGCATCCAACAAGGCGGCAACATCAGGCATCAAATTGGCGGATAATTGGTCCATGTGTTTGACAAACACGGCGGCTGGGTACCGAGTGAGACCAGCCAGCGCGTGAGCAAATTGCTGACGTTCAGCATCAGCATGTGCCAGCAGTTTGACATGAGCTCGGCCTGTTAGAAGGGCCGTGAGCTGCACCAAGCGCTGGGCATCTTGGTCTGGCGTGTTGAGCAACAACGGGAATGCTCCCAGCTGGTTCGTCCAAAGCAAGCGAACGGCATCGGCCTCTGTCTCAAGGTTCAAAAGCTGGATGGTATCGATGTCTTGCATGATATGGGCATAAACCTCTCGCAGTGGGCCGCTGGCAAGATGGATTTCATCTGCGCTGACCAAATAACGCAAGCGATTTTCCACATAGGTCGCGTTCGCACGCTCCTGGCCCGGAAAGCACTCCAGGCGGCTGCGTAAGTAAGTGAGGGCAACCATGATGTTGTACAGTTTGTGCTCATCGGCCTTGGAGGTGGCGCCTGAAAGCAGCGTGGCGACTTCTTGAAGCTGGCGATCACGGGCTGCTCGCACTGCATCCACGGTATAGTGGCCCGTCAAGGCTTGCTCTTCCTCCTGAGAAGCTTGCAAGACGAGGAACACAAAGACGACTTGTGCTGCTCGATCATTGATCCAATTCATGGTAAAGTCAGTGCGAACGCGGCCTTCACGGTCAAGTGCCGATAGCTCTTCAACACCGTCCTCGAGGAGCGAGAAGAGTTGGTGGCGAAGGGAGACGCGCATGGACCGATCAAGGCTGGCCAGAATGCGTGCCGCCGATCCCAAGATGGGCACGGGTACATCAAGGTCCCAGCGCTCGCCAAGAGTGCTGTAAACGGCACGAATCTCTGCAGTTCGACCCTGATATTCAAGCAACAACCGCCCAATTTCCGGATACAGTTTGTGAATGCTTTTGTTAATGAGTTCGGGGTGACCCGCTTCGCAGTGCACCTAAGCATGTACCCACGGACATGAGTAAGGCGCGCAGCAAAAGCAATTGAGTGTTGGCAAATAGGCAAGCACAAGCACACACACACACACACACACACACACACACACACACACACACACACACACACACACACACACACACACACACACACACACACACACACACACACACACACACACACACACACACACACCTGCAGTAGATCGGCGCGCGACAAAAAGAAAAACCGTCCAAAAGTGTCGCGGCGCGAGTCCAGGTGAGCCATGACACCAGACGCCACTGTCAGGAGGCTCTTGTGGTAGTTTTGAAGCAGTTGCGAAATTCCTGCCACAAGCCACCGCAAAGGTTCAGCATTAGCTTGCACATGTGTGCCCCTACACTGACAGGCCTGCTTACCTGGGCGAAGGCAGAAGCTCAGCACTGCAGGATCGCGGCTGACGCTGAAGAGCAATGCACGCAGATCGTTGTGGACCTTGAGCAGCAGCGCTGCCTCCTTGGGCAGCTCGGAAATGAGAACGGACTTTTTCTCGCCCCAACTGAAATTGCTACCTTGTGAAGAATGCCGGTGACTCGCAACGGAACCCTAATGAAACAACAAGCGATAACAATGCGTGAAAATATTGCAAGGGCAGGCAAAAAAAAAAAAAAAAAAAAAAAAAAAAAGGCTGTCAAATACTTCGGTGGGTTCCTGCAAACGGTCCAACAAAAAGCGTGCACGCACCCTCGTCTTTCTGCGGGCCATGAGCTGAGCCACAGAGGATACAGCGCCCGCGCCCTGCTGGTCGCTGGGTTCGGTAGAAAAAACTTCCAAAAGTTGCAACCACAGCCGCTGCACACCGCTGAGCTCCAGCACAACTGTCTCAATATTCCGAAGCTTGGACTGAGTGTCTGAAATTTCACCTCGCAGCACTCGGGAGCCAGCGTCCTGACTGAGACCGGTGAGGAGCTGCTGGTGCTCCTTGATCATATTGAAGACGTCATTGAGACCCTCAACGAGGTAGATGGCCGAGGTGTGGGACAGCGCGCCTGAAGCAGCCGCATTAGCCCCGACATCTTCGGGCTTTAGGGCCAAGGACGTGGCCTCACCGGCATGGCGAACACCGGCAGTCCACGTGCGCATCCGGAAAACGCATGTCATCCAGCGCTCATCGTAAGACTTGAGGGTAACTTCAGACTTGAGATCGTCATGAGCAGTTTGAACAACCGTATTTACCAGATCGTGTCGATCCGCCGGTAACCAGGCCACAAGTTGACGCAAAGGCCAGCTGCGCACGACAGCATCGTCGTGGATATCCTCATTACCTGTTTCTTGGAAAAGTCGCTTCCAATGCCTTGAACGGAGATGGTCCGAGTTGAGGCTCTCTAGAGCTGGAATGGCACTCTGCAAAGCCTGTAACGTCTCGGCCACGCCTTGTGTCACGTCCCAGCTGCGCGCAGGGGCCGGTAGCTCGTCTATCAGAGCCTGCTTCGCCTCCACTGTTTGTCGAAACTCACTCAGATCCACCTGTGTCCAAGCCATGTCCAAGTAAGGATCCAGCTCGCGAGCCACAAAATCTCGCAGTCCTGTGACCTCATCCAAGTGAATCAAGTGCTCCTCGACGGCATGAAGACGATCAAAATCAACAATGGAATAACCCGTCAGCTTTTGCAGCTGCGTGAGCTCGCGCGCCTCAGCCTCGAGCTGCTCCACGTGAGAGCTGTGCTCTGCGATCAGCTCGCGTGCCTCATCGGTGTTCGTGTGCCGCGAAAAGGCTGAACAGGATAGCAGGTTGTTGTATGCAGCATGTAATTTTTCCTCGAATTGTGCCAATTGTTCTTTGATGCGCTGGCCCTCTCGGGCAAAGCGTGGCGCAAGTGCCAGCTTAAGCTCATCCAAAACCTTGAGAATGGCGTTGAGCCGGGGACGTAAGGTTCGGTAGATTTCAGCCAGCTCAGTCGAGATGTGCAGGTCGTGCTCGCGCAACATTTCAAGGCTGCGGTGCAAGGGCCCAAGTTTGCCTTCAATCTCATCTTGCCGCGCTGCAACCTCGTGAAAAAAGGACAAAATGCTCATGAAGGAAACGTCAAGATTGTGCTGCAAGTCTACAGTGCCGGCATGAGCCAAACTGAGGTGATTGCTCAGCCGCACAATGGTGCGCTCGGCCTTGTCCAAGACAAAGCGGCCAAACGTGAAGCGCCAGTTGGAGGCCCGAGCTCGTAAAGTGGACAGGAGCGGGAGCAGATCAAGGGAAAAGAAACCACAGTCAATCGAATCTGAGGTGGCGTGCAGTTGCTCGGCTGCGGCCGAGAACACACGCAGGCAGGTAGCAATCTCCTCAAGCGTCGGAACGCGCATGTTCAGCTGGCTCTCACTGCCGTAGCGCGAAAGCTTGCCCGGTCGCGACGAAGGTGCCTCTGCTTCCTGTTGACCCTCAGACAAGGTGGCCAAGTCGTGGCGTCGACCAAACAGGTTCGAGCCAAACTTGCGCGAGGTGTTGCGCGACTCTATCATTGGTACGTCCACCTATGCGTCATCAAGCCAAGACCGCGAGATCACATGATCAGGCCCAGAGCTGCAATATGAACCGTGTCGAAACGGGTATGCCAGCCGTGCGAGACCCTCGTCTTTGCGCAAAGCAAGGCAAACAATGACAAGCCGCACAGTCCACACAACGTACTTTCTCCGCCAGTTGGCGCATGCCCTCGTTGCGGAGAATGGCGTCGCGGGAGCTCAGAAAATCGTGAAAAATTGCGCCCGGGTCCAAGTTGTAGAGACAGCGAAAAGGCTCAAATGCTGCCAATGCTGCCAGCGCAATAGCCGCCTGTGTGCCCGTCATCATCCAAGGCAAGTTGACAAGTAAATGCCCACAAGCACATCAAGAAGGGGTGGACAGAAGAGCCCGACAAAAATGAGGCTTGTCTCGTGGCGATACACGAAAACAAGGGGGGAGGAGGAACCTCAAGCACCAGATGTGTCTTGCTGTTCGGGTGAGCAATGAAGCAGCATGCGCGTACCTGACGCTCAATTTGCTGACGACACCGACTGCGCAGGCTCTCAACCTCAGGGTGGTGCTTGAAAGTGGCATGGAAATCTGCTCCTGTTGGTGACTCGACAAAAGTGGAGAGCTTTTATCATAGCAAATAGCAAACGTATATGACAGCCAACAGAAAACTGAGTGAACAGTAGGAAATTTGGTGGCTCTGGAAGAAGATACCAAGAGCGATGGGGATGGTCTCGGAAGTCTCACCTCAAGAAAAGAGTCGAACCAGCCTTGACAGGCAGCAATGAGCGGCAAGTACTGCTGGCCCGCGTCGGACTCGCGCAATGCAGGAGAATGCACAATACCGTCATGCACCAGCAGGACCTATATGGGAGTTGAGAAAAGATTGTCCCCCGTCATGAGCAACTCGTATGGATCTTGCAAAACTTGTCAAGACAGATTGCAGCCATGGCTAACCTCGATGCGCATGAGTGCAGGTGCCGGCTCGGCCCAGGCGCCCGTCACGCCGAGGGAAGAATCGGCACGCATCAAGCGGGAGCCCTCGCCCAGCTGGTCCGCTTGGAAAGACACCCGATGCCGACTCCGTGTCTGTTTGGGCGATGAAACCTTGCAGACAGTGCTCATCAGTTCATTCAAGAGCTGCAGCGTGCACGCTTGCAATCCTATGGGTGAATAACCACATTTCCAAATGAGATTGCACGTGGCACTGTGCCCCCGTGGGCTGCACGCATGATCCAAGATGTGCCTTTGACTGCGCGCGATTGCGCTGGGAAAGCAGGGACAAATGAGTCGTGACGAACCTTCCTGGACACGGTCATTGATGGTGGTCAAATAGCGAGTCCAGTCTGGTGATGAGCGAGACACAAAGCAAGCTTGATGAATTTCCTCCAAGAGACGTCCAATAGCGTTGCTGTCCCGAAGCAACATGGCTTGTGTCCGAGACAAAAACTCGTCCAAGTGAGCCTGCATACGGTTTCGTGGTTGTGCCCATGGCAAAAGCAAAAAAAAATATGAGTGCGCGAAAGCAAGGGTTGCTCGTCATAAATGGTCACGTTGATTCAGCAAGGGCCGCGAGCACCACCCAATGTACAATCGCACCTGCAGCTCGCGAAAGGGAGGGGCAGGCGACGTGGGCACAAGAATGGAGCGCACAGTGCAGTGTGCCTTCCACTGAGCGATGCGGTTTTCAATGTCACCTTGAGCCCGTTGAATGAGATCAAGCGCTGGCTCAAAGGTCTTGACAACCTGAATTCGCAGCGTTTGTAGAAAATCGGGAACATCGGCACTCAAGAAAATGCGTTGCACGCACCCCTCCCGCAGGATGGCAACAGCACGGGGCAGCGCGTCGCGAAGAATATCACGCTGGTAGTCGGAGATTTCAGCAGCCACGCGATGGTAAGTGACGAGGGCACGTTGAAGCATGGTATGGGTTTGGATCAAGTCCTGAGCTATGGGCTGCAGTTCTTCCAAAGCCGACGGCAGGTTCCAGGAGCGCGCCATGGCACCCTGTAGCTCGTGCAAGAAGTGCAATTCACTCTCGGTAAGGTTGACGACAAATCTGGGCGCCAAGATGCCGGCAGATGGAGGCAGCTCGAGCAAGAGCGGTCGACGAAAAGCATTGGCGGTCGGGTCCGCCTGTGCCTCGTGTGCTTTTATCCAACGCCCCTGTATCGCCGCCAGCTCGGTGCTTGTTCGCGCGAGAAGGCGACGAATGGTGCTTTTGATCTCCTGCTTGACTTCACCCAGAGTATGAGACGGCAGGAGGGCCTGCAGTGCAAATACTCGCCGACGATGAGCCATGACACCATCAAAGGCGGCAAGGCTGTCGTCGCTTTGGAAAGTTTGATGCAAGGTGGGCACCCGATGTTCCGGGCCGTTGTCAATGGCATCCAAGCCAGCCTCACAGGCCCGCAGTTCCTCCAAAGTATCGTCCATGACCTTTGCCACATGCGCTTCAAGACCCCGTGCGATGGGATGGCGCTGCATGAGATTGTCCACCATGGTCGTCAGCTTGAGGCGGTCCGTGAGCGTGTAGCATGATTGAAAACCTAGGCGCAATATGGCCACGACTTGCTGTTCAATGTCCTTGAAACCAAGTTGCAAGGCAAAAAACCCTTTTTGAAATTTATCAGCTTCGTTGTCAATGTCCAAAACGTCCAAATTCAGCTGCTTGAAGGCCTCAATGATAGGGACGTGATTCATATGAAGCTCGTGCAAGCCGTCGCTGAGAGTACTGCCGCGCGGGCCTCCAAGCTGCAGGTCGCGAAGGGTGTCAAGCTGAATGGCAGCCTCGGCTATATCCAGCACATCGTTGCACCGCTCCATAAACGCATTGAGGCGCGCAAAGGTCTCATGCGTGCGGTCTGGCCAGGCAGCGGTGGCTGCCTGCGTGATTTCATCCTGCTGTCGCTGGCGCTCGTGTTCGCGATCGGCGTTGGGCACGAGCATTTTGTGCACCTCGCCTCGGCGCATGCGCCGAGTTTGGGCGTCGTCATCCGTTGTCAGAGTGTTTTGTTCCGCGAGACCGGCGGGTGTGGCACGTGGCTCGGCGAGCTCACGATCGGAAACGACCACAAGGTCGTCAGGTTGAGTGGGCCGGGCAAGCGCAGCTTGGCGGGCGTCTAAATAGGAGCCACGCATCAAGGCACAAGTTCGAAGTGCATCACGCAATCGACGCGTAATCCGAGGTGTAAATTCGCTGCCCTGCGCGGTGGCTACGTGGGCCTGACAGCGCCGAATGAGTTTGTTGCAAATGGCGCGTAGCACTGCTTGCAGTCGGGACGGCTGGCGATAGCGCTCGCTGTGGCGCCAAAGTAAAGTGAGACAATGTAAGAGCGGTCGCAGGGAGCGATTAACAGCCGTTAAGTCGCCCTCTTCCAGGGCTTCAAAAAAGGGCTGGCAGGCTTGTAGCATTCTGTACAACGGAGAGATGAAGCAGATTGGAAAGTGACGGAGGCCACAAGCATGCAAACACAAGACAGCAAGGCGGCCAATCGTGAGTCATGCGGCGGCAGAGTGGCGTCTGGTATTCAGACACAATGTGCATCGGCGATAGCGCAAAGGACTGAAGAGTTGAGGAAGGCAACAAGATAAAGTCAGGTCGAGGTTTTCACGCAATCTCACCTGAGATTTAAGCGTGTGGTCACCAAGGCCTGGCGAAGCTCTGTTTCCAGCGCTGCAAAGCTGTAGGCCATGGGTGATGCAACGTCAATCAACACGTCTAGAAGTTGGCCCACGATGGGCTTGTGTACGAGCTGATGAACCAAGCTTTGCAGAGAATCGGCGTGTTTTTTGAGTGCTTGCACCTCTGCCAGCGGGCCGGTATTCGGCTCCGTCACAAGGGTCTGACGTCCTGCACGAAGAGTGCTACGGATGACACGGGACCACACGACCACAATGCCCTCGAGGGCATGCAAACGGTCTCTGCCCATGACAGGTACGGCATCACGCTTGCTCAGGTGTGTAGTGGAGGTTCCCTTGCTGTCGGCCTGCGTCTGAAGGAAGACGTGCTCAAGACTGATGGGCAAAGGAAGAACGACATCATCGAGGACCTGACCATGGGTGACCTGCAGTGTGGCCAGGAACTTTTGGTAGTTGTCAAAAGCCTTGCGGAGGCTAATGACACGGGGGTGGGCAGGATCATTGGCGTGCTGTTGGATGGCCATGGCCAGCCAAGGAACGTAAATCTGTTCGCTGAGGTCCACCACCTCATCCCAAGCCGAGTTGCGATATTCACAGGTGATGGTATCCACGGCGATGTTGGCGGCAGTCAGGGTGCCTGCAGTATGACGCTTGCGAAACACAACGATTTTGCCCGAGTGGTGCAGATGCGGCGGCTCTGCGTCGGCCAGCAGTGTTTGAGGTCCATTGTCCTTGGATAGCCAGACGAAGAGGGCACGCAGATCGATGCGGTTAAAAAACTCAAGGACAGCGTTGATCTGCCGTTCATCACTGTTGCTCAGCGTCAGGTATGTACTGAGAGAAGAGCCGACGCGGCGATCGAGCCAGGTGAAGCGCGCATCCGAGGCCATGACTTCTGGCGCGATGGGAGGCGACGCAGACGCCGGCGCGATGCGCGGGGCCGGAAGTGGCGACAGTCAGGGAGCGATGGCGAGTGGCTGCGTTTTACGAATCAATGAGGCAAGGCGCTGCCAGCAGCATGACGAGCCCGTGCCACCCGACCCACTTTCGAAGAGAACGGAGGTTGAGTACGAGTGACTATCTGCGGACAGCCCGGCCGAGCAGGAGCAGGAGGCTTGTGAGGGCAGCACCCAGCGAGATGGACACGGGCGGAGGGCGGCCCAAACGATACATCGCGCATCCTTCGTCCGTGTGGTACCTTAGGCAACTTCACAATGTGGAAAAAAAACACCCCCTCCCTGTCCAGCAACAGGGCTGAAGGATCGGCAGTTTGGTCGTTGATCTGCAGCCGACAGTGCGCAAAGTGACGTGAGGGCTCTGTTCTTCAGGCGAGGCCGACCTCGTGAAGCACGAGGGTTAAAGCAAGGGGCGTCTCGGACCTTGACGCGCCTATGACGGCAGGGTTGCTTTGTGTTCTGAGGGATAGATGGAGCAAGCGGCCTAATCAATCGGTCACTAACGGAGTAGAGCCGGACTGAGAGATTGAGAGAGAGAGGGAGGGGCGCAGTCACACATGCACAGACACACACAGAAACACAGTCGGGTGGCGAGAGAGCGAAAAAATACTTTTTACACCGGCATTTCTGGTTGTGAAGGGCCAGAACATCTGTTGTTCTGGAATATAATCCCAACACTTGTTCCCCTGTTCCATCCGTTGCAACCCCTTGGGACGTGATGTAACACACCTTGACCTTTCTCTCTCTCTCTCCTCTCTCTCTCTCTCTCTCTCTCTCTCTCTCTCTTCAGGACTGAATGGAGTGTGTGCCATCATCATAAAGGTGTGCTCTTTGATGCACTTTAATGCCCTTTTGTGCACTTTTTTGCGACCCTCTCTCTCTCTCTCTCATCTTCTCTCTGAGGCGAGGTGCCGACACACGTCGTAGTAGCTGTGAGGTGCTACTCGTCGCACACACGCACACACAGACACACCGGGGGTGCGCACTCTACGTACTTTGAAGCGGGGTTGATGATGCAGGGATTGCTTTTGAACCGAGACTGCTTTGCAACCGTGGGTGTTGTCCCCTGACATCGGCTGCCACCCCTCGTTTGAGTAGATATTCCGATCCTGTCAAGAACAACAGCGCCTTGTCGTTGCTACTCCACTCGAAAGTACGGCCCTGGCAGAGCCCGCGATCAGCCCGCGACCAGCAGCCCATGATCAGCCCATGAGCATGACGCACGGGCTTGAGCAAAACACACCTGCACACACTGACACACATGGCGTGGTCTGTGCGCGTCGGGCGACCTAGCAGAGAATAGACCTTGGATCTTCTTCTGCTTCTACTTCTGCTTCTGCTTCTGCTTCTTAAACTGCCCCAATGTCTTTTGAGACGGCCACTCTGGAGCATGCGGCCCAGCGCGCCGTTGTGGTATGCTCCTGTCAAGGCGTGCACACGTCCAATGATGATCTGGCATCGCTCATGTGCTGCGCTGCCGGGGGATGCCCTCAACCTCTTGGCTCGAATCACAGTGTGCCAAGCCCAGTGACTCTATTCGATCGGTTGTCGAACTCTTCCATCGGCATTCTATCCTCAGCTGTCCGGTCGCTGAAGAAAGCACCCCGCCCAAGTACCACGGGCTTGTTGATGTCATGCGCGGTTCGTCGTCACATTCAAACCAGTCGGCTTTCTCACACCCACACACTCAAACCTGGCGCTGACGCCGCATATTCCTGCTCGCACGTCCATACTGCAGTGGTTGATTTGATGCTGCAAGCCTTTGAGCACCCCGCTGCCATCGCGGAAGTGGACGAAGACTCCATCGACGACCAGATTGAGGCCAAAGCCGGCGCCGTCTTTGACGCCCTCCCCTCAGAGTTTGCCCATCAAGCCGTCGGAGACATTGACCGTACGCAGCCTTCTCCCATCACGACTCATTGCTCCTCGTTTCACTCCAATCGACAGTTCCCGCCAATTGTTTGATGGCGATGCTTACACCAGACCCGAACCACCCTTGCTGTAGTCTTGCCTTTTGACCCTCTTCCCGAGGGCTGCACGCTCAAGGAAGCCATTTGCCGGATGGCTGATACCAAGGTTTGTCGTCCGACGACCTTCAAGACATCTCCCCATCCAACAGGCCTCTGCAGCCCGTGATATCAGGCTGCCTCATGGTGGGTATGGTTGCTGACATGCATAGGCCAAGCGGGTGCCCATCATCAATGATGCGGGCGTTGTGGTGGACATGGCAAGCCAGAGCGCCATTGTGCGCCAGCTAGCAAAGAAGACTGCCCTTTTCCCTGATCTGGCTGCGACTCCCCTCAAAGATTTGGATCTCGGCGCGCCCCGTGATCTTTTTTCTGTGACGGCTGAGCAACCCGTGACGACGGCATTTGACCTGATTCGCACAGAGGTAATTGCTTGGGGCAGCGACTGCAAGCCAGTTTTTTTTTTGTTTTTTGTTTCCTGCTCCACGCTTCGACGCTCAGCGGCGGTTTTCAAAGACAAGTTCTCACGCGCGGTGTTTGCTTCCAATCACTCATCCACAGAAAGTTTCTGCCATTCCCGTTGTGGCTGACGGCGACCAGCTCTTGGGCGAGATTGATGCCCGCTTTGTGTACTACATCAGCACCGCGGCGAACAAAATGTTTCTGCTGAATCAGACCTGCCGGCAGTTTCTCGTGTACATGAGCAAATTTCCGGTAGGCTGCACCTGTTGCGCGTTGTTGTGTTGGCCGGCCTCGGGGCTTCCGTCTTGTGTGTTTTTGTTTTGTCGTGTGTTTTTGTTTTCCTCTTTATCTCTTGTAATTCTTTCCTTGTATCTGCAGTCTTTCAATTTTGTGACCCACCTCCTGCCTCTCGCGCAAGGGCTCACAACTCACCCTGGTCGCGCTCGCTTGTTCTGCTCGCCCCCAGGGCTGGGGCTCCAATGCAGAGGTGCTGACTGCTGAGGAGACAGATACGCTTGGCGACCTTCTGGGACGGGTATCGACAGCTCACAAGCGCCGCGTGTATCTTTTGAACAAGGGCGCGCCTGTGCGCGTCATTTCGCTGCGCGATCTTCTTGTCCTGTTTGAGAGCTTGTAATTGGTTGCCTTTGCTCGCAGAATCGTGTTGTTGTTTTTCTCTTGGCAAGCATGCAGCAGGTTGATTGTTTGATACATTTTGCTACACTCCTCATGGTCTCGAGACACGTACGCGCTTGTTCAATCTTCTTCAAAAAAACCAGGCTCAAAGCGGTTGAGCTTGTGTGACTTGTGTTGTAGTGTAAAGAGTTTGATCAGATATGGGCAATTGGATTTTTTTTTTTTTTTTTGGTTCTTTTGGTCAATTTCATGTAATGCTCGGCTCGAGCGAGCGTCAGGGGGCATATGAACAGAGAAAGCCCAAAATAGCAGCAGTTAACCAGAGTGCAAGAAAAAAAACAAGATCGTCGATAACAAGTAAAGAGAAAACTCAAGTAGAAGAAGATGACAACCACAAGGTGGCGGCGACATCTCAGATGTCAGCGAGTCATGCAGTTACATCCAGTCCGCCCCGTACTCCAAGTACACGGGACGTCGGCTCATGAGAAAGGAAGCAAATCAAAGAGGATAGAGCAAATCGTTTCAAAGGACAAATCAAAGTCGTGTAACAAGCTAGTTGCCTAAACAAGAAGTGCACGCGTGTGCTTTTCAGTTACGGAAGAGGGCTCGAGGGCGAGCATCACCGACGCTGGGGCGAAGCTTGATGTCACGCTCGGGTGTCTGGGCGTTACTGAGGAAGGATTGAAAGTCGCGCAACTGCTTGAGGAAGCTGTCGTGGGGGGCAATGCGCGGGCGGATGGCCTGGAGCAGCTGCAGAGCGGCATCGTAATTGTAGGACCGAGTGGCCATCATGTAGGCCATGACCACGGCCACGGCGCGCGAGTAGCCATTAGAGCAGTAGACGAGGACGCGGCCGTGTTCGCGTCGGCAGCCCTCGATGAACCGAAGGGCCTCGGGAACCACTGAGAGCAGGTCGTGATGGGCACCGTCCAACAGGGGGATCTGCATGCAGCGGACGAGGTTGGGCAGGCCATTGGCGAAGGGTGTCTCGGTCACGTTGATGACGTGCGTGATGCGGTTGCGGGCCAAAAAGGCGGGGTCAGTACCCTGATGCTGGTTGCCGAGGACCAAGTGGTCAAAGACAACAGTGGCGGGCACCGTGGCCAGGCGGGGCACGGCCTTGAGCACGGGATGCAAGTGGGCGCGGCCACTGGGGCGGGAGGTATCCGTGTCAGTCAGGTCCTGGGCGTAGAGGCGGCGGTGGGCGGTGATACCACCCTTGAGGAAGACGGCCTTGACGCCCTCGCTCTCAAGGATGCGGAGCAAGATGGCGGCGTTGCCTTCGGGCTCGACAACAGTAGAGTCTTCATCATAGACCACGACGAGCGTGTTGGGGTCGGAGCGCTTGGCCACGGCAGCCTCGTCGCTGACCTGGAGGTGCTTGAGTTGGATGCGCACGTGGCCTTGCTTGCGGAGACGACGGAGCATGAGGCCCGAATACTGAACCGAGACGGCACCCTTGATTGAGCTCGTCTTGAAACCGAGGCCAGCACGACAGTCAAGCATGAGGAGCTGCTCTGGACGCCACTGCAGGATGCTGTGCAGAGCGTTGCAACCCATGTAGCTGTAGCCATCGGTGGCCTGGGTTGCGGCAGTGTTCATGTCCACGCCGCTGTCCTCGCGCTCCATGGCAGAGGTGTTGAGGCTGGGCTGGTGGTGGCGCTCCATGAGATCAAGGAGCTCATCGACACCGTTGTGCTGGGTGTGCGAGGTGGGGCAAGGCATGGGCTTGGGCAGAGGGCGGGTGGAGGCAGAGGTTCGGGCGCGCATGTTGCTGTTGCTGTTTGTGGGCAGGGTCGTGCTGACAATGGTGGTGGAGGGGCCAAGGTCGGCAAAGTTGTAAGGCTTGTGGCGCTTGGGAGGCGAGCCAGCCTGGTCCGAGGCGGCCTCGTTCTTGTGAGCCTCCCAGCTGGAGCGGCGGGCAACCTGAGTAGACTGCATGGTGGCGATGATGGTTGGGTAGTGGCACTCGATCGGCACACGGAAAAATGGCACACCGAGGCTGAGGTTGGCACGACACCAGGTGCGCAGGACAATCACCACGGGGGGGAAGGCTGCACAAGCAAAGCAATCAAGGCTTGGGCAAGTGCAATAAAAACAATGGGTCGCGTCGAGGTAGACAATGCAAGTGGACGTGTAGTTGATGGCGACAAAGTTGAGGAGAGGGTTGGGCCGGAGAGGGTCGATGACAACGTCAAAGAATGTTCAGAGATGCTAGTTGTTCAGGGCTTTTGAATCGAGTAGAAAAATGCGACGGACAGGAGCTGGCATTCCAGATGAAGACGGCTGCGGCGGGCATCAGCGCCAAAAAGACCAAGGTCAAACCACCCAAACAACAAGGGCTAATGGTTGTGCATACATGTACATTGTGTGGTTAATCTGGTGTGTGGATTTGCAAAAGACGTGGATGTCCACGATCATAACGGTAAAGCTTGCTTGGGTGGGGAAGGGGAGGGGGTAGGGGTGGATATAGGAGGGGCAGAAGCGTGATGTTGCAGAGGAGGGGTGGTCTGGCTCATTCATTGATTACATTGGAGTACCTTGGTGGAGCGTTTGGGGGGTGGGGGCTGAGTTGATGGGGGCCCAAGCATGGATTGAGCGAGGTAGGTGATGAGTAGAAAAGGCAAAAAGTAGGGGCATCGCTGTGCCCATGGCCTCGTGTTGGGGCTGCCCTTGCGTGAGGGCGGGTTTTTTTCAAGCTGACGTGATCACCCACAGAACCCAAATCAACAAGGTGGTGGCCGCCCCGATGCCGTCCCCTACCTTTTTTCCAGGTTTTTTTGAATATGCCCCGACCACGAGCCAACGCGCGGGTGGGGTGTTGTTACGCACATGCCACAGCGGGGCAAGGCAAAGAGGCAAAGGCAGGGGTTAGACGGGGCAGGACAAACGCCCGTCCACGACTTTGCCAGTGTCTTCGAAACGGCTGGCCTCTGGTCCTGACGAAGGCAAGGACCTGGCTAGGCGCGAGCAAGAGACTTACTACAGTGCAGCCCGATTTTCAAATTCAAAGACTGCCCAGGGCGTTGCAAAAACCCGGGCCAGCTTGTGCGTGCTGAAGAGTTGCATGCATGTTTCGGGCTTTGAAAACGAGGAGCGACCCGCGTTCTTCATCATAAAACAAAGGGATCCACGTCGAAAACTCGCAAGCTCGTCCGCTCCCTCTGCAGCCAGCCTCCTTTGTTCTGCGCTTTGATTTTTTTGATTTTCTGGTTTTTTTTTAAAAAGACAACAACGAAAGAAATTCAGCGCATGGCTGTACTTTCAAGGGTAGCAACGAGGCGCTCGGGCTGCTTGTTTCTGAACAGCCTGCGTTTCTTCAAGGCATGCAAGATGGCGCAGTGTGATAGCAAGAACGACTTGCAAAGGTTTACACACTCGGGGTCCCGTGTCCAGGCACGAGGACCAGATGGAGCGCGTGCACGGTCGTGGTTCTGGTTCAGATGGTCTTCACTGAATTTGACGCGCGCTTTCATCAGAGGAAGAAGGGGCATGCTCCAGTGCTTCAAGTCCCTCATGGAGGGCTCGGGCCAAACCATGGGCTCACTTGGCTCCTGAGTCGGCGTGGTCCGGTCTGAGTGCAGGTCGGATCAGCAGCCCGGGCTGAGAGCGGGCACAAACCTTCTTGCGCTGCAACCAAAAAAGTTTACTACTTGGGAGGGGGGACATGGACACGAGCGCACCTCGAGTTGGCAAACGACTGGGCACGAGCCGTGTTTTCAATCAAAGACTTGAGAACCAGTCGTACTGCCCACCGCGCGAGGAGCCGCATGACGTGAGACATCGACCATCTTGTCACTGTGTTGAATGGTGCATGACTCGTTGCGCCGTCATATTGTCAAAAGCAGTTTGCTGGGGCTTGACGAAAGAAAGCGTAAGCTGTGAGATGTGCGTATTGTCATCATTCAGAAGCAAGAAGTTTTTACGACTGTGCGTGCATGCATGGCAGCCGGACCACGAGCGGTTGTTGGGACCTTTTTATTTTTTTTTGAATTGGCTGGCTCGAGGGGTCAGGGGACAAATAGGACACCACAGCGCGTCCTGCAAGAGTTTCAGAACCAATCGGTTTGGATCAGTCGAGTCGTACTACACACAGCGCTCATGCACGATCCGCGTGCTCTCTTAAATCAACGATTGGGGGGGGGGGGTCACTTGCGTAGGGAACGAGTGAACGGACACAAAGTCCCATTGAGATGGTCGAAGAGGCGAAAGGGCGGGTCAGAGAAAGGAGATTGGCGCTTCTGAGCTAGCCAGAAAGGAGGGCGCCAACACCATGCCGGGGTCGCTGCCAGGACCATCACGCAAGCAAGGCTGTCGACCCAAGGACAAGAAGATTGCGCTTGATTTATTGGGGGTTGCTGGGCAGCGGCCTGAACTGTGCTTGCTTGTTCACTTAACAAGCAAGCGCGGACATGGGTTCAAGAATAGGTGCACGAGGGCAGGACGGCAGGAGCCATCGCCCGTCCCGACAGCCTACTCGTTGTGTGTCCTTGAACTTGGTTGCTGAAACCTTGATGTTCCGTGACCTTTGACTGCTCTAGGCGCAAAGCCGAGAACACATGATTTGGCACGCGGCCGGTCCATTGACAGGCCTGTCCAGACACTAGGGCCAGCACACACACACACACACACACACACACACACACCTCCCCAGTCAACCCGGACCAGCACAGCCACCACCCGACCGGCCCAACAGGCACCCCGCCGATTTCAAGACCTCACACGGCAAGACAACGCCCGCCTTGCCTAAGTGCCTTTGCACCTGGGTAGCGGGCGGCCTTGGAGACAAGCCGACGCAAAGTCTCGTGCCCGTGCTTGCCCCACGCCATCGCGTCAACCCCAACTCTACCCCGCCCATTCTTCTAAATACTTGAGGCATAGTGCAGTTTTCAGCATACTTGATGCCTGAAAAGGATCTCAATCTCAGTCGCTCCCTCGTCCAAACATGCGTCTTGAATCTTTGAAAGTGGTGTTCTGTCACTACCCCCGGCGCACCTTTCAAAACCCAACGCCATTCTTGCCCCCTCGCCCACCTGGCTTGAAGACGTGACTGTCACATCTATGACTCTTCACCCCTCCTCTCTTGTGAGCGTTGTGTTTTGTTTTGTTTTTTGGCGCTGGCGCGCCATTTCAAAGTTGTTGCTCTAACTTTGCTTCTTCTTCTTGAAACAACAGCAATTACAACAGCAACAACACATACCTTTGTTGGTTTGAAAAAAAAAGGAAAAGGAACTTCAAAACCAATCAAACTCATCTTGGTCTGAATGCCCGGGACAGACGTGGGGTGTCGAAGGGTGCTGAGGGGTTAGGTCAGGTCAGGGACGAACACGCACCCAGCACTTGGGTGGCTGCAGAGAATTCTAGGCAACTGCATGGGCCAGTGATACAAGCGCAGCAAGTGCATCCCTGAGACGGAAAACCGCTCGCGCGTGTTTCAGAGCGCGTGCTGCACCATTCAAAGCCGCAGCCCTGTCGCTCGATCGTCGCGCTGGGCCCGCAGTCTGGCGGGTGATGTCGTCGTCATTACTCGGCCCGACCTGTCCAGTGCACTGCAATTCCCCGATTCCATGAACTTTGCCCAGAGAACCAACTGAGATGCTACTACATCCGATCTGACATGTGAATGCAATACTACTGCATCTGGATGCCTCCTCAATCTGCCTGGGCTGTTGGTATGGAAGGTCGATTCATCATCAGTCCGGATATGTAATTATCCTTGCATCCGCTCTTAGAAAAGAAGAAGATTGGGCTAAGGGAACAATGTTCAGGAGCTCTGAAACTCGTTGTCGAGTAGCCGGCAGCTTGCGCGCGAACAACCGCTCCCGCCCTGCTCCATGGACCCGAGCGTAAAAACACCAGTACCTACCGCAGCTACGTTCACAGCGGCCTGCAGTCCGATCTGATTTGAAAGCCGACTGGTCCACTGAATAAGCTCGGGTTAGGCCCCGCAAGTGCCCTGCGTGGGCGTGCACCCGTCAATCTGAGAGAAATTCACTTGACGTTTGACACCCATACCATAATGATCCCAACCGAGGCTGCGTGCCGTCCCAAGCACAAAGTCGTCGACGGCCTGGCGAGGCATCGTTGAGGCCCAACCACGTCTGCCAAGCTGGCGGCATCCAACATCTCTTTGAGCGATCAGTTGACGGAATTTCTCAAGACGTTTGGCATCAACAACGCAGCTCATCAAGAGCATACATGTGGGGCAAGGCCGCGAAGCGCATCTCCTGTGTGGTCGGCTGTCATGCGTCTCGTTCGAGCATGCACCGTCGAGCAACGGGATTGTTGGGCTTGGACCAGCTGATTGATCAGAATCACTCGTGCCAAACGACCAAACCTTCTACACAAATAGGGCGCAACGCCACGACCAACCCGAAGCCCATCTTCTGGCCGTGGTCGTGATGGCATGGCCCACCATGATGGAAACGTCGAGGGAATGGCATGGAAGCCTCCAAACTTCTGGACGCTCCGCACTTTTATAAGCATGATCAAACGTCAAGCACCCACTTGGGTCAGGCATGCCTGCCCTGCTTTCGATTCGACGCAGCTCGTGATCAGTAAATCACCCACGGCGTTGATAGTTGCCTGCGCACGCGATGGATGCGCAAGGTGTTTGTGCATCATGGTCGGCAGCCCCAACGGGACAAGGCAGGGGTCGTTTCCGAGAATCGCCTCAGCCTTGTCCCAAGCTCGACAGCTTGATCGTGCAAGTAACTTCTTTGATTGCTTGTCAATTGGAACGGGGTTTGGGGCGGCTAGGGACTGTCGTGGTCCCATATCTTTCCTTGTACGGCCGAGCCCACAACCTCACAGTGCGTGCCAAACGATCCAGAGAATGTGGGTCGATGCGTTGTGAGGAACGCGACCCATCCGTATGCTGCTCGAATTGCGAGTGAACTATCCTGCACCAGTACCAGCTTGGGCCCAGGCCGGCGCACTGCTGACACGATGCTGGCTGCATGATCATGAGGACTGTCCCATCTCATTGTGATTGTGGCCTGCAGCGACACCGTACCATCACGACCCAAGCTGTGATGCTCGCTCATGTCGCCGTGCTGGCTGGCGGCTTCTGTTGGGATCAGCCAAACCACAGGTCCGGCATGGCATGGCATGGCAAAGTACGTCGACATTGCGTCTCCAGCACCACGATGACTCTCTTTCTTCGGCATCACGAGCCCTCACAGCGCAGCCCTGCTCGCCAGTCGATCGAACGACTTGGCACAGCTCCCAGCTCCCAGCCCCGTCCCAAACCAAAGCATGCATGCGCGCAAGCACTGTAATTCAAATTTAACAACTTTGGACGTATCCTCTTAAATAACATAAATGGCAATAGTTGGCTTGCAAGCCAACTTGGCTGTTCTTTCTTGCGATTTATTTTCTGCAACTTTTACCATTGTGTTCGAGTTGAAAACTGCATCTTCTCATCTGTGCACGTCAACTTGTCCCTCGTCATCCCTTTTCGTTCAAATCTCTCTCTTTTTTAAAAAGCCAAAAATCCGCCCTCTCACTTTTTGACGACGGCGACGGTGCTGCTGCTGATTCGAGCTGCTCGCGCGCTCGTCTCTCATCGGAATCTTGAGGGCCCATTGACACTGCCTTTCCTAGTCACAGGAGGCCCCGTACGCACGGCTCGAGGACCTTGAGCAAATCAGCCGCAATGAGTGGATTGACAGAGGAAGACATCACTCGGTTCGACGTCGCCTTTTACGACGAGTCCATCGGTGATGGCGTTTTGGCGCCGGAAATTGTCCAAGAATGGATGCGCAACCTGGGCGTGTCCCTCCCTGCCTCTGCCTTCAAGGTGTGGCCTCAGGCTGATGTACCATCTTTGTCCCTTCATGTTTGATGTGTCTGGGCCTAGCGCCGGGCATACGCATGGTTTACCTCGACCGAGTGCAAGCCTCCCTGGTGTCTGTCTACCTCACGAGCCTGTTTGCCGCGATAGGATCTAGTCCATCGCTTCAATGCCAACGATATCAACATGAGCCAATTGTTGGAAAGCCTGGCTCGCTTCATTCCTGTTCGTTCTCCATGCTTGCTTTACCTCGAACCCTGGGGTGCCTGGCCTTCGGAACCGGTCATGCCGTGTCACCCCACATGTTGACTCACCGCGTCGCGCGCGTAGACAACGACCTCGGATGAAAATCTGCGTATTGCTTTCAAAGCTTTTGATACAGACCGCTCGGGCAGCGTTTCTCGCCAGGAACTCAAGTACGTGACTTTTGACTCTCATTACGCTCGTTCAAAAGCAAACCATCTGTCTGCGGTTTGTTTGTTGTTGGTTTTTGTTTTTTTGGAGGGGCGGGAGGTTTCAAGTTTGACATCCACCTGGTGAGCTCACCAGGTCCTGCGCGCTCGCTCGTTACAGATCCATGCTGGAGAAACTAGATCACCGTCCCACCAATGCGGAGGTGGAGGAAATTCTCAACGCTGTCGACGCCAATGGAGACGGAGAGGTTGGTATTGCCGGATCCGCTCGTCTGCAAGCCGCATAATTTTCCGCTTTCGCCTTTCTCTTTCTCCTCTCTCCCTCTCTCTATCCTTCACCTTACTCTGTTCTCTTCCGGGCCTCACTTCCTGCCCCTGCTCGTCCCGTTTGTAATTGTGCTTGCCCTGCCATATTACAGATTGATTATGATGAGTTTGTGAAACTAATGTCTTAGCTGCCACCTTGTCGGACACAGCCCCGGTGGTATGCGTGCCTCTCCTGCCATGCCCTCGGTGACTTCGGGGCTCGGCTTGATGTCTTTGTTCGTTCTTCTTTTTCGCTTCTATTCTCTCGTGTTGGGCGCGGTTGGGCATGCCTGCATCGCTGAGCTATGCAGGACGCGTCGCCCGTGCGCCAAGGCATGGACGTCTGTGTATTCAATGATAACTTGCCTATGCCTAAATGTTGTTCCCTTCAATCGAGGCCTAAAATTTTCGCGTCGGGTGTCGGTTGCTCGCTCTCGTGCAAACAGACCTCGTTTAACAAATGGGTTGATTCGCCCGCCTCTTGAGCAGGCACCAGACCAGACAGCACGAATGTCCTGCCAGAGCCACGTGCACTCGATTTATCCAACCTTTGCGCGTGTGGCAGTGGCAGGTGATGTGGTCCATCATGATCCATCCCAGCTTACCTCGAACAAGGGGCCTCCGAACAAGTGTGTTTGCTGCGATTAAGCTTTGGCGGAAAGCTGAATGAATCAAAGGCAATTTGACAGGACCAAATCCAAAAAAAAAAAAAAACGGTCATAAAAATTCAAACTTATGCTGACCGTTCAAGCTCAAGATCGAGAGTGATAATTCCGTAGAGCCTGACAGGAAAGCTGGAAGTTTGAGCCGCAAACCAATCTCATGGCGATCCAACGGTCAGCAAGCCACAGGCCAAGGCAGCTGGCTCGCCAGATTCTCAATCCATAATTACAATAAAATACAGAAAAAATCGTCAAAAAATACACTTTTATTCACACACATGCTACACATTTTCGATTTTTGTGCGGCTGGGAACGGCCTGGTTTTTTTTTTTTAAAAGAAGCCGTCGCACCGACCCGACACATCTTGGAGAGAGGCGAATTGGGGCAATAACGGCGCGTGGGAGAATCGTATATCATGGCTGCCTCGTTGCCGCCAGCACTGGCCGCACGCCTCGCCAAGCGAGGTATCCTCAAGGTCAGAAACTAATTGCAACGGCCCGAGCTCGCGGGTGGCCTCCTCACTTGGTGCCCCATCCCATGTATCGGCACAACCACTTAGGTCGGCAAAAAGAAGGCGTTCAATCCATTTGTAAGTAGTGGCACAACCCAAGCCTGTCACCAGCGAAAGATCCCGGCCTGTTTGCTAGTCGCGTTGCTCTCACAAACGGGCGTGTCACTGTGCTACAGGAGGATGATCTCCCTGACGGTTGGCATGCCGTTATTGAGGTTCAAACGTGTGTCACGATTCGCACATGCAAAGCGTTGGCAAAAATCAGCTCCTCGATGTCCGTGTAACTTATTCGGGTCAAACCGTGCGCACATCGGCCTCCTTCTGTGTGTAGGAATGATGTGTATTTTTGGAACATTCACACAGATGAAACGCAATGGAAGGTCCCGACTAAACCTGCATCGCGAGTGCGCACGACCCGTTCACCCCCTCGGACAAGGCCAGAGCCTTCGGAACCAATCAATTCAGTAGAAATGGGCGTGGATGCACCTCCTGCCCTGTCCAACACCAACGCACCAACCAGTGGACCTTCCACTCTGATGGCTCCGAGCAGCTTCCAGCTCCCCCGTGGTGGTATCGCTCCAATAGTGCAACGTCCCAACATGGTCGCCCCACCTTCGGGCATGTCACACCTACCCCCAATGCCCGTCATGCCGCCCCCCGGGCTTTCAGAAGCCCCGCCACACTTTGAGCCACATCAACCACCGTTTTCTGGCATGGCCCCACCTGGCATGGCCCCACCTGGCATGGCCCCACCTGGCATGGCCCCACCTGGCATGGCCCCACCTGGCATGGCCCCACCTGGCATGGCCCCACCTAACATGGCCCCACCTGGCATGGCCCCACCTGGCATGGCCCCACCTGGCATGGCGCCGAATTTTGTCCCACCTCCCACGTCTAGTCGCGGTCATGAAGGAGCACATGCTGGTCAGTACGGCGGACGTGGCGGTGGACGTGGCGGTGGACGCGGCGGACATGGTGGAGGGCGTGGCGGCGGGCGTGGCGAGCCCCAAGGTAGCAAGCGTCCTACCGGCAGCAGGGATACGGGGGGAAATGACCAGGATATGGACGATGATGTCGCTGCCCGCTTGGCAGCACTCAAATCGGGCGCACCCATGCCTCAACGGTCACGGCCCCAGGTTCGGCCTCTTTCGTTCAGCTCCAAGCCCGCAACACTAATCTCGTCTCCCAATCCACTGGCACGTCCGCGTCCTTATCGAATGTTTGGGTTGAATTCCATGCTAGGGGCCTGTCGGACCGGGCGGTATCCCGCTCGATCCCAAGCAAAAGTGGTACGATCCTGCACAAGCTTCCAAGCACCCAGCAAATGTGCCCCTGCTCATTGTTGTTCTCGAATCGATGGCACTATAGCTGGCGCTGCAACAAGAAGAACACACTCCCTGACGGAACCTGCGTTACATGCGCGCAAAAACTGGTGAGTACCATTGCCCGACGATGTCAAGTGATTTTTGAGGGGAGTTGACCAAGAAGTCTGACTTGTCGACCACCTGGCCATGCACACGCGGTGTCACAGGGTCGTCTTCCGACAGCACCACCTCCCATGGCGCCTCCTTCCTACTATCAAGCTGTGGCGGGCATGCAGGGTGCATATCAGGGCACTCCTCCGCAGTAGATTTGACACCCGTGGCGGGAAGACGCAGGCAAGCGAGGGAGTAAGCACTGGGTTAACACAAATAATTGAAGCAAGCCGCAACTGAGCCCGCATTCACAATGGCTATGCAACATATGGGATTCAAACCAGCGCAGTAGTGTTACATATCAATGAATGTGTTTCAATTTGAGACAGGATGTACAGACCGAAACAAGGCAAAGGTACGCTTATGCTTCATCAGCCGAATCTGGATCGGCATCAACGAGATCATCATCTCCAAACTCGACATCACTGTCCTCCAACTCAGTGCCTACTGCACTGAGTTGCGACTGGGCGTCAGGCGGCGCCGAGTGAGCGACTTCAGAGGCAGTCGCCTCAACCGTAGTGGTGTCTACATCAGTGAACTCAGCGACGGGAGCCTCGACCTTGGGCAACTTGGGTTCGGGCATCCCAGTAGTGTCAGGAGTCTTTTCTGCTTGTGTTTCCGCTGCAGAGGCTGTCGACACTGTCGGTGTTGTCATGCCAGCTGTCGGGTCGGCGGGTGTAACTGCACTAGAAGTGGAAGGAGCCAGGACGGAGCGTTGGGGGCTAGACGCGGTGATGGCTGCAGGGTGATGGGCCAAAGGCTCGTGTTGGGCCAAGGGTTCAGTTTGGGCAGGGGGCGCTTCTGTATTCGTCGGCGTAGTGTCTGACAAATTTTGGGCGAAGGATGAGTCTAAGGGTGTTGTCAGCGCCGCTGTGGGCGCGCGACCGTCCGTTGGCGCAGCAGAAGCGGAGCTGTCCTCAGCCAGTGTTGCCACAACTGCGGTGGCAGGAACGCGTACGGCAGGACTGCGCGGCTTCAGGACACCGTCCAGCATGAATAAATGATCCTGGCACGCAGCGCGAACCTGAGGCCCACCATCGGAAAATTGCAGGTGAACAAATGCGGCTCGCCAGCGAAAATAGCGCATGATCGCTGACCAACTCATGTTTGCGAGCCGATCCGATTGGAAAAGCAGAGCGAGGATGCAGCAAGAACGTCAAACCTCAATCATGACATCGAGAGTGCCTCGTTGCAGAGCTGACACAGCGGCATTTGCAAAGTCCGCCTACTCAGCAACACAACAGACACAGCCATCAGATTAGATGATCAAGGATGTTTGATGACGCAGAGAACCGCTGACAGATGTCATACCGCCCGCAAACTGCGACCTTAATTGACCAAATCAACAAAAACAAACAAACATCTAGCAAATAGGTAAAGGACGTACGCTCATTGCGGGAATAGCCACGGCGCAGCGTGCCAAAAGGCGATAGGTGGCTACTCGGACACTGCATGACCGAAACAAAAGGGGAGGGTAAGATGTGTCTGCGTGCCTGAGCCAGCGCTGTTTGTGCCATGCAACGTGCTTGGGCGGGAGCATATACGAACGTGGGGTCATCGAAAGGGATCGGTGGATGCAGGGAGCCAGCAAGCTTGCTACTGATGCGCGCATGATAACCAATCTTTTGGCTCACTTTGGTGGCAACGACTGGAGTTGCAGTCACGATCGCTTCCAAAACTGCAAATCAGCCAGCAAAAAAATTGATCAGCGGCAGGAATATATCGTATCATCCGTCTCAATGACGTCTGCCGGAGCAGCAGAGCCGCAGGTGGCGTTGACATACCTCGGAGGGCTGTCACAAAGAGCCGAGCGTTGCTGCGAGGCCGCTGACGAGTGAAGTTGATGGGTCCTGCGGATGAATTGTGGGCAGACACGGTGCGCTTGCCGCCCTTTTTCCGCTGCACCAGACCGGTGTTGATGGCTTTAGCATCCAGCGACAGCTATATTCAGCAGCCGAAACGAAAGAGAAAAGAAAAAGAAAAAAAAACCGTCAAGAGTGGCCGCGTGGAGGTGTATGGGCGCACTTGTCGCTGCAGTCTCCAGCTCTCATCAGCTTGTGCAATTACGACCTACCTCGCTGTGCTCAATGGCCGTCGAGGCTTGGCAGCAGGTCTGAACTAGCGCCGCGAGCTCTTCCGCGGCCACGGCTTCGAGCAGCATGGGGCAGCCTTGTAGGCTACGCCACACGCTATCAAGTGCCACTGCGATTACCTGTGATATAACACCAAAAGTGCCATTACGGCCATGAGACATCTGCAATCAAGGCACCCGAATCAAAAAGCCTTGGGTATCACAGACCTCGCCATCGCAGGTGGGGACGGGTAACAGTTCGGCTACGAAGATGGCTAGACTCTGTAGGCGTTATTGTCAGGTTTAGGGATAGAGATCGAGTATCAAAATAGAACAGAGAGATGAGAATGCGGCTTGCAGCGTCTAGGGGCAGCGCTGCATCGCCCGAGCGCACCGTATTCAAGCTTGGCAAGGCGCAACTCATGACTCGCAAGCACAGCATGGGTGATGCATCCGCGATAGCAGCTAGAACGTGTCCAGCGCAGGTGTGCAGCTTGGTCTACACGAGAGGTTACAAGTTGACAATTTTACATGCAGGTGAATGGGTCCACAGAGCTAGTCGTGAGCAACGCGCTGTCAAGCATGCCTTTCGACATGTGCTGTGCTGCAACACTTACAATATGATGGCTAACGAGGGTGCGGCGCAAACCAGACGCTCGCAAGGTGGCAGCTCGATGCCAGTCAACAGCAAAGATGCCCGAGAGCAGACGGCCGAGAAGGTTGGTATGCACGTCCACGCAGGAACCAGTCGGGGCTCTATTTATCGATCCAAATGACAAATGTCGGCACACACACCAGGGCGTATGTCCCTTAGACGCAGTATATTGTACAGAAAGAGGGTGGTTCGAGGCGGATGTAGCAAAGGCACACACCGTAGGAGCACGGCGACGATCGTTAATAGGCCCTGGATCAAGAGCAGCAACTCTTGGGTGCGACGTGGCTCGGCTTGGGCTAGCGGCAGCGATGCATAGTCGGGTGGCAGGTCTTGGTTGCGATGGCCGTCCACCAACCCAGGCAAAAGTTCGTTACCCATCTGATGCAATGAAAATAATCAACGTGAGGCAGGTGCTGAGACAGTCACAGGTGGCCAGAGGGAAGAACGGTGTACGTCAAGTAAGAAGCATCTGGCAGACAACTGCTTTTCAAAGGCGCATATGAGGCACGCACCTGAGTGCACACAATAACTGTTTCCTCAAGAAGAGCAGCCCAGAATGTTTGAGCGTCTTTGGAGGTAATGCAGCTGGCTGTCGCCGCAAAACATGCACTTAGCGCCTTCACGGAGAGAGAGGAAGAGCGGTTTTGTGAGCGAGCTGGAGAGAGAGCCGGAGAGACCGAGCGGGGGCTACATCAAGATGCCACGAGGAGAGCATGGCTGTGCATGAATAAGGACTTTGTCAAGCAGACGAAGCACATACGTTACTTAAGTCACGAGTACACGGGGCAAGGAAACGGCGGAGAATGAGCGCACGAACGCGGCCAGCGACGGCCTTGCTGGCTCCCGCAAAGTGGCGGCAGCATGCTGCCAGAAGCAAAAGGTGTTCTGGTATCAGGCTCGCCATGTGCGAGTCCATTGTGCGCACAAAGTCTTTGAGAAAGTTGGGCAAAACTTGCGCGCCGAGGTCGCGACGTAGTTCTTGATGCTGCCGGAAAAGAACCAGCCGAGGAAGAGCAAAAATGCTTGAGACAAGTGGCAATGATAGGAAGGAGGAGCGACGTGCTTGCGCAAACATGCATCGGGCAGAGATCGCTGCGGGCAAGGGTAAGAACAAGGACGCACCTGACTAGCCGTCGCCAAGATGTCAACGAGGACGACGCAGATATCCGTATCAAGCAGTGCGCCATGCTATACAAAAACGCGTCGCAGCGCAGTAGTGTGATGAGCAGGATGCTAATTAGTCAAGACTTATTTTTCGCGACATTTAAGCCAATGACCGCTAAAGAAAGAAAAAAAAAACCTCCGCATCATAATGAGCCTGCGCTCGTCAATGCTTCTGGATAGCCGGCAGCTCGGGACTAGATCTGAAAGCAAGAGCCATACCGAAGCAGGTCGCAGAAGCAACTTGGTCCAGTTGAGGCAATTGGTGTAAAACGTGAGTGGGTTACAGCTAATCAGCGTCGCTCGAAGCAGACGCAGACTGCCCGAGCCCGGGTTGCTTGAGGCATTAAGACTGCTATTGAGGCGTTTGCTCCAGCGGATGACAGTCGGATCCGTGCCATCGAGCTGATGTGTCGCAAGCATTCCAGAGGCGTGAGGGATGTGCCAGCCGGGTTCCACACGCCCAAGTCAGGTGCACCAAAATCAGTCATGCTGGATATACAACTATTTCATAAACTTACACGCTGTAGGAGACCATGATCCACGAGAGCTTCACAGGTGAGCGCCACCTGCATCTCTGACGGCTCGGCATCCTCGAAGCAGCGAGTCGTCAAGTCACTCAACAAAGCGGCCGCATCCATGATGGCAGTACTTGGGATATGACGCCACAATCAAGCAACCGTTTGCACGTGTACTATACTACAGCCCAACGCATACAAGGGCCTCCTATACCAGGCGTTGCTGGCACTGCCGTATTGCCCCGCTGCCGTCCGTTCCCGAACCACGCGCACGCTGACAATTGAGAGAGAGAGAGAGAGAGAGGAGAGAGAGCACGAGCCATGCGGCACGAAGCGACCATGTGATGTTTGTCAGACTTTATTTTATGTTTGACTGACAGCATCAGAATTCGAAATCAGCGCGACAAGCGCTTGGACGATGTGTTGGATTCAAAAAAGCGAGAGGGACTGAGAGGTGCTGTGCTGGTGGTTATTTAACAGAAGATGTCGCTTCAAGAATATTCCAAAGCTGCTCAAGTCCTGCTGTGCGAAATTTCGCCACACGTGTGCATTTACAATGATATACTCTCCTACTTGGCCAGCTCATCTGCGCCGATGGCTGACGAAATGGGTGTCTGCCGGTAGCACGGCGCTTCATGTTATTGGGTTGCCAGCCGTGTCGAGCCATACAACAAACGCGGACGGAAACAAGCCCTCGGCACCGGTGCGCTGAAGTTGTCCATAAAGCCATTCATCTTCGTCTGGATCTTCTTGAACTACCAGCCGCACCGTGAGATCAAGTGAGCACCGTAAAGAACACGGAAAAAAAACTTCATCTCCCTCGCGTGGTACTGACCGTCGATGATAAGGTCGCCGGCCATGAACGAAAGCTCATCCTCGGCATCACCTTCGCAGTCGTACAGCGCGCGCACACACGCTGTGCGTGCCAGCTGGATCACAGCCGAGAAGAGTTCAATAGGCAAGAAAATGAGCACACACCAGAAGCAAACCAAAAACAAAGCATCATCAAGCCTTTTGAGCCATGACCTCACCACGGCCGTGTCAGCCTCAGCTTCTTCCTCATCGTTGGCAACGTAGGGTGGCGGGCGAGGCGGTGCCAATGCTCGTTTCTAAACAAAAAAATCAAATAAAGAGGTTCGGCCGGCAGCCGGCCGAGGCCCATTCAGTCAGTCAAAAATTGATCAACGCCAGACCACAGGCTGTTGTCAAGCACAGTACTAGGGATGGCCTGCTGCTGCTGCTGCGATACGAACCGGGGGCACGGCGGCAGCAGTCTGGGGCAACGACGGCGAACTTCTGCAGAAGAGCATTCGTCAGTTTTTCGACCATTGAAACACTCGGCTAGGTAGGCGAACTCACTCTTCGGACCCCACGTCAAAAATGGGCTTGACATGCTCGACCAACAGTTCCGCTGCAATCGATGCATCAGCAAAGGGTGAGGACGGAGGCGGTGGGGAAGACTAAAGGGCTCAACACAGCCACGCCGGAGTTGCATGGTTGCAAGCCTAATCAGTCAAGGCTGAGTACGCATCGTACCAGCACGATTATAGTATTGCATATCAGCAATTGAGGAGGTCATATCGCCTTGGCCTGCCCGAAAAAGCGTTGGCCCAAAACATCGGCCTAGGTTGGCAGCTGTCATGCTGTTTGCATCACTGTGCTCAGCCACCTACGAGGCCACCAAAGCAAACATGTCCGCAAGCGCTGGGTATGTGAGCGCGGGGCCACGCGTGGAAAGCCGATGGGCATGAGGGCTAAAGCACGGCGCTTGGTGAACGAAGGAGGATCGTACTTTATGCAGGTGCAGAAATAAGAGCTTGGCCACGCTTCGGTTGAGGGGCGGTAACCGTTGAACTGCCACTTTGAGGTTTGGGACAAGTTCATTCACGTCCTGGGAGCCTAATATGATGACGCAGCAGTTGTGCCGTGGTTTAAAAACACAGAATCTCCATCCACAGTACCACCAAAACACGAGGTCTGGCAGACTGCGTACCAGATGCGATGGCTTTGACAAACAATGGCGTCAATGCCGTTGTCATGAGCGGCTCCTCGAGCTCACGCAAATAATGCTTCAAAGCACTTGCACACGAGGCAATGTCAACCTCTTGCAGATTGACAGCCTTGCCTCGTTCGATGGCCGAGTTGACGAGGCGCGTATACACGGACGTCTGGCCTGGGATGCGATAGATACCCTGCTCAGTCAACCCGTCCCGCTCAATCTGTGACATGAGCCGTTGTATAAAGCTGACAGCTTGTGGTGTCAACTCAAACTTTTCTATCCTGCAATTGCAGTCAGCAAAAAGACAGATTTATCATCAGTATGATCGCGAAAGAAGTTCAACATGAAAATCCAGGCAAGCCCTTGGGCTGAACTCACGCTTGTTTGACCTTGCGGCGTCGAATGGTTTTGGTTGGTGACAAGCCTATGACACGGGGCAGCAGACAAAAACGGTTATTTCCATCAGACCATGGACAAAGAGGAGAAGGTGGCATGCAACGTCCGGTAGCATGTTGGGCCGGAGAACAAATCACGATTTTTTTTTTTTTTTTTGGGGGGGGGGGGGGGGGGGCAGCCACGCACCGCCCATGGCTGCGATCCACTTTTGTCGAGCCGTGGCGTTCAGGGCCTGAAGCATGAAGGCATTGCCTTGTCGGTTGTGTACTTCGAAGCAGTTTTTGCGATCCGTATCACTGCTATAGCGTTGCACACAGCTATCGATCTGCATCTCCTCAATCTGTGTCTAGAGGCGTATAAGCATCATGTTCATTCAAAGTGACGACAATCATGTACAGGGGTCAACGGGTAGGCCCGGTGTGGTGGAAAAAGGCAAACGGGGTCAGCAGCAGCCGGAGAGGTGCGGATTGAGAGGAAGGGAATCAAGTTGCATCGCCATGAGCGATGCAGACAGCATTTAGCAGCGCGGGTCACAAAAGGCAAGGATGCATACATTGCTCGCTACGTCGAAGAGTTTCATCATTTGAGAGGGGCGGTCATAGGTGGCATAGACTCTAACCCAGGATGCAGTCAGACCACCTACAGATATCAGGCATGTTGGGACAGGAGCCATGCCGTGAGCTGTAGCTGTGGCCATGGGGGCGGTGGGCAAACAGGAGGGCATGACAAGCTGTCGAGCCAATCAGACCTTTGCGATGCCAGTAAAGGTAGCCGGTTATGAGAGTGCCTTCGGGGTGGACATCCTCAAAGCCGCCTTGTAACACTTGTTGCTCTATGGCGCGCATAAGCTGGCTCGGGGTCGACAGGTTGAGTCCAGTCGGAAATGAGTCATGGATGGCCGAGGCATTGGAGGCAAGACAAGGCGGATGATGCAGTTTGAGACGAAAGGGCCCTTGAACAGCCGTACCGCTTGTCGATCAGTTTGACGCCTGTCTTGATTGGACCGAAGTCGACTTAGGGCCTCGTCGTGTGTGTTTTGGTGCAGTTGCAGCTGATCGTCGTGGGCACGGAGCTGATCAAGACAGCCTTCGTGGTACGCGGTGATGTGGCGGACGTACATTAGAATCTACGCATGGGGCCCACCAGGCACATGGATTGGTCAAATTAATCTTGGTACAGGATGGCACTGAAGAGTCCAAAAGAGGGGCGATGGTGCGGATCCAAGGCAAGGGTGCGCAGGTGTACAAACTTCCTGAGAGATGACCTGTACCCGCTGGTCCACCCATTCTTCCATGTGCTGTGAGAAGTCAAAGCCTGCCAGCATGAGACGGGCACGCGCCCTTGATTGTTCAGTGGTGTCAGTGTCCTGTGGTGTGTGTGTGTGTGTGTGTGTGTGTGACGGATACAGAACGGATTTGCACCACGGAATAAGGGAGTGAGATGCCGATTCACGCTGTCAACCACTTGCATCGCATCTCACGAGACACGCGAGGTAGGCTGGAAGGGACAGCCAAGTGGGAGTTTACGTGTCGGCGCACCTGCGCATGGCCGCCGTGGCGACGGCTGATTTGCTTGTCAATGTCCTTGTAGTAAGCTTCCTCGCGCTTCTCAAAGTCATCAAGAAGAGTCTGCCGGTATGGAAGCAAGTGCCATTAGCCATAGGCAGCTCGGCAACACGGCAACACGGCAATGCGCACATGACGCCAGCTGTGCTGCATGAGGACAGGCTGGTTTCGATTGACTCACCTGAGCCTTGCCGATGTAAGTGTCCTTGAAGTCTTGCAGGTGCTTGCACATTCGCTCAAGTCCAGCCGCCTGGCCACCCACAGCAGGTACCCTTGTTGTGTCAATGCGCGCTCACGATCAAGCATGCGGCTGGTGCACCAGCGTGCCGGTTTGCGGATTAGACCAGTCACTGGGAAGCTTACCAGATTGCGCTTGCGTTCAGCCAGCTCATGGATGACGGAAAATCCCATGGCAATGGCATTGCCTGGGAAGGTGCCAGGTCGAAGAAGAAGATGAGTCACACAGCTCGGCGGGGATCAGTTGGCAACCGCGGTTCAGAGCCGTGAGACAGGCCCTAAGGCACACCTAAGAGCTGCAGGTTTTCAGCCAAGCGGTCGTCATCGGGGGTGGGTAGTGCTACCAGCTTGGCAAACGTTTGCTCCAATGTGTCAGCCAACTTGGCTGAGGATGCGGCCTCGTCTGCAAGCGAAAGCAAGGTGACAGCGATCAATGGAGTGGGCGGGCGTGGGAGCCAGAGTGGGGTGCATACAGTCCAAGCTCCCCTTTGGACGAGATGCATTACTGCAGTTGCACCACAAAGGCCGGCAGACGCTACTGGCACCGGGTCCCACCAAGCGCAACTCACTCTCATTGGCTTGTTTGTGAGCGGTCGCATGGCGCTCGAGCTTGTGCAGGATCGTCCCGAAATCCTTGAGCTCTTTGAGCTCGCGCCGAAACTCCTGCTTGACCGCCGGACCCTCGGCAGGAAAGGTCGCCTGCGCCTCCACCTGATCCATGCTAACCAGATCAAAGAGGTCCCTGCCAAAGCACCCCCAGCCCACGAACGCGGCCACGAATCCGACCCCTCGCCACCTAGCAGCTCAACCTGCGGACGCGAATCTCTCAGTCGCCGCTGGTGAGATGAAGATGAATGAGAGAGAGATGAATGAGAGAGAGAGAGAGAGAGAGAGAGAGAGAGTGAGAGAGAGACAGAGAGAGAGACAGAGAGAGAAAGAGAGACAGAGAGAGAGAGAGAGAGAGATGAATTGGCTTGGTCGGTTTGAGAAAGAGAGAAATAAAGAGCAAAGAAGACACAAAGGAAAGAGAGAGAGAGAGAGAGAAATGAATTGGTTGAATTGGTTTTAGAGAGAGAGAGCGCGCAACAGCAACAAAATTGACTGACAACGAAATTTTAAATCTGACATCAATTAATTGTCAGATAAATTACAGCGACGTTTGTCAGATAAAGTGTCACAGTCACCGCGTGGCCGCTGGCTCACTTTTCGCCTCTAGACTTGGGGGACGCTTGAGCTCGGGCAGACCGGAGTTCGAGACCAAGATCATGGTAAGGGCGCCTGGAAAACGTGTGCCTTGGTTAAATGGCGGGACGGATGTGCGCACATGCCCTTGTCTTTCCTCTGCAACGCGTGGCCCCTTCATCATGCTCTCCGTGGACGCTTGCGAGGTAGCTGCGACGCCAGGTGCGCGAGCGCCGCGAGTTCCTGTACCGCAAGTCGGTCGAGGACAAGGACAAGGCCATTCACGAGAAGAAGCAGCGTCTCAAAGCAGCTCTTGACGGTGAGGGAATTCAAGACTGGGGCCTGGTCTTAGCCTTTTCACGACACGGGGGTCCTCAACGTGGTCCACCCGTGTGTCGCTTATGCTAACTAACGATCGGCCTTGTTACCTGGGGGCTCGGCAACTGTAGCTGGCAAGTCCATCCCGTCAGACCTGCGCGGCGAAGCAGCAGAGTTGCAAAAGAAGCTCGACTACGATGACCAGAACACCAATTGTACGCCTGCCGCCGCATCGCTCAGTTTAGCCATCTGCTCTCCTCCACTGCCACCGCGTGGCTGCTCAGCCTCCGTATCGCGGTCTCGCACTTGTTTTCGAGCCTCACGTCTTGGTCAATCTCCGTCTGTTTCATGGCAATGCAGCCTACAAGGATGTTCGCGATGACGAGTACCGCTGGGCCGGTTCCAAGGATCCCAAGGTCATGTTGACAACGTCTCGTGACCCCAGCAGCCGCCTTAAGCAATTCGCCAAGGTCAGCGGCATGCTACCTGCAGAGCCTCGTGCGCTGATAAATTATCAAGAAACTGGATTCTCACATGTCATGCTTGGGTTTGCGCTCGGCTGGGCCTGCTGGCTTGGTTGCACCAGGAGCTCAAGTTGATCTTTCCCAACTCTCAACGGCTCAATCGTGGTGGTCATGTCATGTCGGAGGTTTGTCCGGCTTTGCCTCGTGTTTGCGGCCATGCACTAGGCATGGGTGCGGCATTCTTGTGCATTTATAGCCTGCCAGGGAACCGCCACAAGGCATCCAGTCTCACCTGCAAACTACCGTTTACTTTCTGCCCCTCTTCTGCTTCTTTTTTTTTTTTTTTTTTTTTTTAAGATGGTGGACGTGTGCCGTGCCAATGACGTGACTGATCTTGTCATTGTTCACGAGCATCGTGGCCAGCCTGGTACGTGCAATTTCTCCTTGAAACTAACTGCTCATGTGCTTTTTGTTGTGTGCAATTTGCGTGTTTCCTTTTTTTACCACATGCTCACATTGCATGACCTTGTTGGCACTGCGGGTTGCTGCGGGTTGCTGTGCGTTGTGCTCAACCAATGGTGAACAGACGGTTTGATTGTGTCCCATCTTCCTTATGGACCTACGGCATACTTTCAGCTGGCCAATGTGGTGATGCGTCACGACATTCCAAACGCAGGCACCATGTCCGAGGCCTTTCCGCACTTGATCTTCCATGGCTTTAGCACCGCCTTGGGCGAACGTGCGACCTCCATTTTGAAATACCTCTTTCCTGTGCCAAAGGATGAGAGCAAGCGAGTCATCACCTTTGCCAACGACGCCGATTTCATCTCCTTCCGGTGCGGTGATGCACGTGCAACATCTTGTGCCCGTATTCGGAATGCAAGCGTGGGTCTGAAGCTCATGACGTGCACACCACGCGCCTTTGACTGCAGGCATCACGTGTACACCAAAAAGGGCAAGGAGGTTGAGCTGGCGGAGATTGGCCCTCGTTTTGAGATGAAGCGTACGTGGAAGCTTTGGCAGCTTTGTCCCGCATGGGTGTATTTTTTTCCTTTTGGTCGCCTTGGCACAGGTGCAACCTCGACGTGCTGCTCACGTACCTGCCTGCATGCTGCATTTGCACGCCTATGTTCCGCTCTTCTGGCACTAGTGTATCAAATCTCCCTGGGCACGGCCGATCAGCCTGATGCTGACAAGGAATGGGTCTCCAAGCCGTACCTTCACACCGCCAAGAAGAAAAAATACTTGTAACCGGGTCCTCTGCACAGTATCATGAGAATGTTTTCCTTTGTCGCCTTGAATCTTGTCCTTGGTTTGACTTTTGTGCCCTGAGGGCACCCTGCTCGTGTTCAAGGCCGTTGTTGTCTTGCCCTCTGTTCCTCTTCCCACGACCGCGGGGGTGGTAGACATCGACGCCCGTTTCCGTTATTGTCACTGCGTTCACCCCTTTCATATCCAACACAGTCTGCCACCGTGATCCAAAATCTACATCCCCACGCGCACCCCAGTCCCGTTTGCTACCATCTGTCATCCACCGTTCCAAGTGTCAGCGTGTCATCTTTTGTTACAAGCAACCACAGCCAAACCTCCCCCCCTCCTAACCGTCCAACGGCATGGGCTGTTTTATCAGCACAACAATAACTTCACAAAATGCCGCAATAACATTGACCAGGACCAAGACGTTTGTTAAAGCCTGCGACATCTGCTCATCGATCAGCACCATCAAGTCGGCTCAAGGTCCAAAACACCCAGACACTTTTTTGTTTTGGGTGGTGGCTACTCCCCATTTTCCGTTACCTCCGGTGCTCCTCTGCTCCTGCTACTGTGCTGCCGCCTGTCTGCCGCCCCCGCCGCCGCCGCTGCTGCTGCTGCTGCTGTGGCGTGGCGCTTGTGGGATCCAACAACACACCATTGGATGGATCGATAGCATTTCCGATATTGACATTCTCTGTCCTCTCGAGTGTGGGGTGGTTTTAGACTTCAGCAGCCTGGTCAAGCCCCTTGCTTCCAGTGCAGGCTTTGAAAACTCGGTCTCCGAACAAGGCGGCGAGACACCGCTCTCCAGATATCGTTCAAGCCTTCATTCTGGCCTTGATGAGCCACCGATCTTTGATTTCCACGGGACGGTGCAAAACAGCTCATCTCAACCACGCACACGCTCTGGCCTTGTGTGCTGTATGATTCCAGGCACAGGTCCAAGTACGATTCAATGTATGATTCCACGCACGAACAAGCAGACGCCATGCCTCAGTCTACCGTGCAGCCAGCAGCGGTCCCTGAGGATGGTTCCCTGAGCGATGTCAAAGTCGCTCTGCTGGATAATGTCATGCGCACGCAGCGTCACATGTCAGACGACAGGCTGCGGATCCTGGCTCACACAGAGGTGGAGCACCTCAAGAGCGCCCCACAGGTGAAAGACAATCGCCGTGCCGCGATCAAGTACAACTGGAGTGATCATGCACTTCGTGTGCGCGATGGCGATTATAAGGTGTTTCGCCGATTTCTGCGGCGCAGCCTGACGCACTTTCACGACCAAGAACAGGCCGATGCCTTGTTTCTCGACTACAGGACTGCTCGCCGTTGTTGCCAGCAAAACGCACAGCAAGCGCAAACACGAGCACGAAGGCGCGCCAAAAAGCAAACCAGCTCACCGTACAGTCCTACCACCCCGAACCCGATTGACGGTGCCGACCCCGCTACTTCCATGTCCAGCAATCCCAGGCCCGCCGCGCGCTCAAGAGCTTCCAGTGCCCGAACCGCGCATACACGCACCTCCACTTCTCGTTCTAGTCCCGTGCCTTCGTCATCCTCCTCTCGATCTTTGCGCACCCGGTCCAAGCCCAAAGAGAGCTCTTCGGCCGATCGCCTAGCCCTGACTCGGAAAGCCATGATGCTGCACAACAATCATGACAACAATATTGCACGCACCCGCGATATTGTGCCGCAAGGCTCCGAGTCACGTTTTGAACTGCTCACCACGGCATTCTTCCCCTTCCCCGCTGACAACTTTGGCTAGCCCCGTGCTTGCAGTTTCCGTCAGTGGTCGATGCTGCAGCCGCAACACGTATTTTTCTCATCTTCTTTGGCTTCTGCCTCTGCTTCTCTCTCTCTCTCTCTCTCTTTCTCTCTCTCTTCGACCTGCCGTTCTTGCCGCCCCTACGTAACGAGAGAAAAGTTTGGTGCAGCCCCTCGAACAGCTTTTCAAGTATGGACGCTCTTCGCACACTGTTTCAAACGAATCTTGGCCTTCTTAGCTAGACTGGCTGGACCTGATGAACTCAAATGCATCCGCCAGAGAATAAAATATCGAGATGCTTGAGTTTTAATTTTTTTTTTGTTCATCATACTTTTCGTTATAGCTTTCCCCTTGAGTTCTTTTTCCTTCTCCACTTCACTTTGATTTTGATCAGTCTCGGAAATCGAGTAATTCCTTCACATGTGGGCCTGGACAGAGCGATCAGAGAGATAGAGGAGGTGAAGGTTGGAAAAAGTGAATGGGCGACAGAGGTGATATTATCAAGAGGAAGGAATTGTCTGACGTCGACGAGGTGTGAAGGAGGAATAAAACTGGTGACTCCATGTAATTGCTTGCTGAAAGTTGAATCAAGATCCTAAAGTCACAAGTGAGCCACAAGGAGCAGATGGCGACTGAACGTGTAAGCTTTCAAAGCGGAGACCATGATTTTGGTTGGCAGGCCAAGTGATTCCCGCCCTGACAAACTTGAAATCAGAAATCAATTACATTCGAGTGTCTCTTATTTCTGAGCTTTCTAAGCCACGTCCGGCCAAACGGTCAACGGGCGAGGAAAACTTGCTAATCGGCGGAACCATTTGGGTAGTTGGGATGAGCCTTCTTGACTTGATCAATAGCATTGTCCGAGGGTGCGTGCGTAAACGCCGGGCCCGCCGAGTAAGGGTCCATGTTAGCTTGCGTTCCAGACACGGCTAGCATTGATGGCCAAAATGGTGGGGCCGCCTGCACAAATTTGGGCTGGCCCACAGGGGTCGGGCCCGCCCCACTCATCTGTGGCGCCAAATGTGGGTAACCATAACCTGGTTGGAACGCGGGCGGTATGCCTTGCAACGACGCATGGCCCAGCGGCATGGGGGCACCGTGATTCTGTTGTCCATGCAGGTGGTACATGGCTGGCATGGTGGGCATTTGTTGGAGAAACGTGGCATTTGTCGGCATGTTGTGGTTGCGTGGCGAGCCACCAGCGGGCTCCACAGACCCCATAATGTGTTGGTTCTCGTGCTGCACCACTGCTACAAAGGTGGGAAATCGCTGCCCGCAGAGGCGGCAAGCGTGAGATCCCAGGCCATGTGAGTTGTTGCGAACATGATTGCCTCCGTCGTTCTGCTTGGATAGTTTATGCATGATCAGGTGCTGCTCCAAACTGCGCTGTTTGCGAAACGTCTTGCTACAGGTCGCGACGGGGCACACAAAGGAACCCTCTTCAACATGCGTTCGAAGATGCAGACTGAGTTGATCCTATTGGCAAAGCAAGCAAGGATAGTTGGTTGAAAAGTGGGTGCAGTTGGCCAGCGATCAAGCAGACCCTACATTGGCCAGTCAAACAGACCTTGCGGTAGAAATCCCGGCCACAAATGCCGCAGCGAAAATCGTATTTCTCTGCGTGGGATTTGAGATGCCTAAGGCCGTGTTCAGGGCCGCGCGACGTTAGCTTGGTTGCACCAAGAAGGATACAAAAGAGCATTGAGAGCAAAAACACACCGATTCAAGTGGGATTTGCGCTGGTAGCTGCGCGAGCACACAGGGCACACGTAGCGACCTGTATCATCAACCACAGACTGGGAGGCGTTGGTACCAGGAGCCTGGGAGCCCGAGTCTTGGATATCGCTAGAGTTGTGACTGCTGGTGCCATCACCGTGCTCTTCTCGGCCATTGCTGCCTGAGTGACTGCTTTCTTGATCACTGTTTTCCTCGCTGCCCCGCCCACTTTGACTCGTCGACTGAACGAGGCTCTGTCCCCCGCTCGGTAGACTGCTGCTGGTGTTGCTATGTTGATGGCTGCGTGTGTCACCCGAGCTACCTGTGCCGCTGCCGGTTCCGCTTTCGCTGGTGACGCGTTGGCTCGAGGTGTTGGTGGACGTGGTCTGATCGTTGCCGCTGCTCGAGTCGTCCTTGGTGGTATCTGTGTTGTCACCTATACCAGGTAGGTTATTTGGACGAGGCAGCTTGCTGGAAACTCGGGCCTGCTGCGGGCTTGCATGGGCGTGGTCCAACGGCGGCGTGGAACTGTGCTGGTATGACGTTGAAGATGAATCCTTGGTCTGATCGCCAGTTTCTGAACTATTGCTTGATGTATTTTCCGGTGTCACGCGAACATGGACGCCATTGGTACCATGTGGATTGTGCTCGAGACTGGTACTTCGTGTAGCGCGGTGATGGCGAATGAGGGCATCTCCACTGTCACTTGAGTTGTTGCCACTGCCGCTGCGGTCCTCGTGGCTACCACTGCGGTCTGTGACACTGCTGCCACTGTGAAGGCTGCTTGAGTCTTGATTGCTGCCGCGCAAGCTGCTGCTGTTCGTCCCACTTGGCGCCGCACCAGGTCGCGTCTTGCCAACGCGAGGCCGATCAGAGCCTGATCCTGACCCAGACCCTGAGCCAACACCAGACCCCGAGCCCGAACCAAAGTTGGTAACCGTGCCCGTGCCCGAGCCCGAGCCTGAGCCTGAACCAAAGTTGGTACCGGATCCCGAGGGAAAGGTGTTGGCGCTATCATCCTTGGCACTTTGCGACGAGATGGAGCTGTCCGGCTGCGCATTGAAGAGGCTGGGTTCGAACACCAAGTCTGTTTGCGTTCCGCGGGAAACGACAGGTCGATTGCTGCGATGCGAATCACTGGAGTTGGACCCGTTTTCCGTTGAATGTGAGCTTGAAGACTCGTCACTTTCTAGCTGATGAATGTCACCGCCTACCAGCAAAGTGAGCGAGGAAACTGGTGATTCAATGTTTAAAAGTCGCCCAAACATGTAACAGCGCCTTGCGAGATTAAAAAAAAATAAGAATGATAATAATAATCCAGGCAAAGCATAAACTGACTCGTGTCGGTTTCGTTGGAGTTGGAGCCAGCAGGTCTTTTGATTGGCGGGTTAACTAGAGGGGTGGCACACGTGAGCGCGAACCGTCGATTAAGGTCCCCATGAAAGAGCAAGGGTGCGTGTTGGTAACGAGCACAAAGAAGCAACAGGGGGGGGGGGGGGGGGGAAGCAAGAAAAAGAAGGATGAAGCGTTGTGGGAGCTGACAATGTTTTCCCCAACAGCGCGTCGGGCATTCGACGTACAAGATGGGATGGAGGTATGTCTTGCCGGCAATGAGACTAGGCTTGCAGTGGTCACGACTGGCATGGCCAAAGTTGTAGGCGGACATTGCAAAGGGGAGACGGAGGTGGCAGCTAACACAGTCTTGGCGCGCTTGGCGGGTCCCTCAGGACTTGACATGAGGACGGTTGTTACACAAACACAGCGCGCGCGTGGATGGCGTGCTGCTAAGTGCTAATGGGCCGATGCAAAGTCCAGGATGGTTGTGCGCGGCACAAGGACGCGCCACGCCAGTTGAGAGGGTGATGAAGTTGGGCCGTAAGTCCAAAGGAGTGGGCCACCAAAGGCGGTAACGGGATGGTGGCAGAGTGAGAAAAGGAGAAAGGTTGACGATGCCAATTGCTCATCAACAGCGCCTGTGAACGGGAAGGTGTGCAAACGAACAGCTCTTCGCTGCCGTTGCCGAAGCGCGGGTCAACCCTTTTTACAAAGGGATTTGCTGAGCCCACTGTCGTCAGAGTTTACCGACAAACAACCAGGATGGCCACAAGGGCTCAAATCGCGGGGCGGAGGTTGTGATGTGACGATAAAGGTTAAGAAGTTGAGGAGCGATGCCAAACGAGATGGGTTCAGGCCGTCAAGAAATCGTGCAGATGAAAGCGAGTAGATGGAAGACGGGCGAGGGAAGAAATTGGCAGCCACAGCTGTCAAGTTGAAGCGCCAAGAGGAAAGAGGCAGAAGGGGAAGCAGGCGGCCAAACGCATTGGCACGTCCCAATGGCATCGCGCTGAGGCTCAAAGGTGGTAACGCGCTTTTGGTGCATCCCGGATGCCCTCCCCATGACCGTCGCCATGTCAGCGGTAATGGATCCTGAGGCAAGAGCCGGCATGGCCCACCTCAGGTTGCACCGGCCATCCGACATGACTGTCGCACAAGGTTTTGGAAGAAAATGCCAGTGGTGCGGGCCAACTGGCTGCCATTTCGCTTGATCCCCATTACCTTCCCCATTACCCTTCCCCATGCCGGACATCCTTGGGAGGATAGTTTCAGTGATGGGATAGTGTGATTGTGATCACAATTTAAACCTCTGGCGTCGAGAAAGATGACCTCCCAACAGAAATCGAGGGTAACACTGTCATCAGGAGTGTGGTGTGCGATAGAGACGAGACCACAGAGAAAGAGACAGAGACAATGAGACAAAGAAAGAGACACAGACAGAGGAAGAGACTCAGACTCAGACTCAGACTCATACTCAAACTCAGATACTAGACTCAGACACACACTCAGACACAGACACACACTCAGACACAGACACAGGCACAGGCACAGACACAGACACAGACACAGACACAGACACAGGCACAGACACAGATACAGAGACAGACACAGACACAGATACAGAGACAGACACAGGATACAGACACAGACACAGATACAGAGACAGACACAGATACAGAGACAGATAAGACACAGGACACAGACACAGATAAGACACAGACACAGACTCGCTAGACACAGACTCAGACACAAAAGATCGATCACGCGCTTGAATGGAGAAACTCATGAAGAGAGAAGATCCCACGCTTGAAGTTCTTTTGGGGTAAAAAAATTGAACCAAAGAGAACCCCTTGCAAAAAGGGGTTCCATTGCGGGCTGTAGAGGATGAACTCGGCTGCTGAGTACGTAACTTTAAGGATGCCAGCTGGTGATATTGGGTGACATTACGACAACAATCAACGAAATCAATTCACATGCATCCGGATGTGTGTCCAATAAACAAGCAAAAGCAAGCGGCTGTGCCTTTCCTCAAGGCCAAGTCAGGTCCACGCATAGAGTGCAGGATTTCAAACGGCTCTCATCAGCCAAACGCGTGCAGAAAAAAAAAAGGGTAGGTCGCTTAGCTACCATCTCGCTGTGTTCCAGTTTTTGACCGAGGCGACAGGTAGAGCGAATTATTGCACAGACTCTGTGTGAAAGGCGTGGACTCGCTTAGAGGCGCCACCCGCAAACAATGCCGATGGCGTCCAGGTCAGTGCCAGCATGCGATATGAATCAACACGCTCCGTTCCACGCGGCACCTCGGCTGCTGGTACGCGCAAGTTGTGCAGAGGCATTCGGGTGCTGCAAAGGTGTGCATGCGACAAGATGCGGTGAGGGCAGCAACAAGGTAGTAAGGGTCCACAATAGCTCGGCCTGTTTGAGCGCCTGGGCATACGAAATCCCATCGGTCCCCACGCTCAACCAATACTCTAAAATGGCACCCAGTCCTGTCGACCAAACCCATACGCGACGGCATGCATACCTGCGACGGTCCCAGATTTTAATGGGGTAGGCCATTTCAAGATTGACAATGGCCTCGTCGCCGCACACGGCCACCTGCAGCCACGTAGTGGAGAGGAGAGGAGTGAAGTGGAGAGGGTGGCAGGATGCCAGTGTCCAGTGAGCAGGCCCAAGACATGGAAAACGGTTGGGAGCCGTTGCTTCACAAAGCGGGGCCCATCATAAAACAAAATTGAAACAAATACAAGAGAAGGGTGTTCTGCAGCAACAAGAATGTAAAAAGTATTTCCCACCTGGTAGGCGTTGGTAGGATTAAAAGCAACGGCGTGGGCCGGGCCAGTAAAACTGCGCAGCACTGTTGTACCCGACGTGCCTCCCGCCGTTCGGAAATCGTAGAGGCGTGCAGCACCGTCCACGTCGGCCGTGGCCACCGTCAGATGCTCCGCGTTGCCTTGATGCACGGCCACGCCATGGCCAGTTTTGGCGCCAACCTGTGTCATCTTGAGCTTGCCTGCCTCAACATCCCACTGACGCACAGCGTGGTCACCGCCAACGCTGCAGCAAATAAACATTAGATAGTGGGATACGAAATGGTTCCATCGAGAGTGGCAGACAATGGTGGGAAAAAAAGAGCCAAGCCAAGATGCCAGTTGTGGCCCCCTCGAGGAAAATTAGAACACGACAACCTCTAGGGCCCTAGCTCTTTGGAACGCCCTACGCGTACCTGTACAAGGTGTCGACTGAGGCCCATGCCATGTCATGGACAACGCTTCCAGAGCCATGAAGATGGCCCAGTGGAGCCTTGAGCTGAACTTCGTTGTACAAGCTATCCACCTTGCGACGCTTGTTGCCCGGCGCTGAGTCCAAATCATCAGCATCTGGCACTACGGGTGGGTGGACATAGTCTTTGGGGTGAGACTCATCGAGTTCACCCTCAAGAATTGTTGACACGCCCAACGACATTCCCTCCCAGCTCAAGTGGCCACTGTGGGTTCTCGAAGGCAAGCCTGCGCTTTAAAGTAACAGAGCCCACGTACCACAAGACCAGAGAAAAATTTCGTGGTCCCAGCTTCCTGAGGCCACAATGTTGCCAGTTGGCTGCGCTGCCACGCACTGCACGGTGCCACGATGGCCCAGCCCCACCAACACACTACACAAAGGAGGAATGGGTGCCAAGCATTCAACAGGAAGAACGAGTGACGTTTCGACGCCAATGAGTGATGGGGCTTTACATCCCCAAGTCCTGACCGCGACGACGCAAAGACAGAAGAAATGCCTAACAGACCGTGACTCAGTTTCGCGATGCTGCCATATCCGCACGGCCTGGTCCATGCCACCCGTTGCCACATCGACACCTAGCATACACACACGGAATGGGAAGAGGGTGGGGTGAATTCAAACATGCGGCACATTCGTGGGTAGAGAGAAAAGAGGTTGGGGCGAAACGTGAGGTTTGTGTGTGGCAGAGAAGGAAGGAGCTGTGACCAGGCTATGACCAAATACGCACTCTCGCTATGATCTGTTGTGATGAAATCAACACCCAGCACGGGACGGGTGTGACCCTGCAACACACGCTCGCACTCGGTGCGCTTAGGCAGCCAGAGGCGCCCTGGTTCACGTCGAGGGCACATGCCGGCGGTGAGGTGCAGTTCAGCATTGTTAGATGGGAAAAAACCAAAAAATGTCAGGACCTCGTGCTTACCATGGTGATCATAGCTGGCCGTGGCTAGCCATTCCTGGCCGTTGACGCTGGTGCTTGCCAAGCCACCCACCCAATCCTCGTGGGGCATGGAAGGCCCGGGCTGGGGCGGGGGCATGGCCAGCGTGTACTCGACCTTGATGATGGCTTCCTTTGGACGTGTGGCCACAGCGGGGAATGGGAGGATGGCAAGACACAGAAGGGCGCATATTTGAGAACAGATTGTGTGCAAAAAACTTGTTTGAAGGGGTTGCAAGCGCAGCCAAGGGCTGACGTACGGCGCCATCTTTCTGTGACTGAAGGACATGATCGAGCAGAGAGGAACGCAAATATTCATGTTCGATCAAAAAATCAAAGGGTTTGGGTGGATCTAGCCGCGGGCGCAACATAAACACAGGGTCAGCATCACGGCCACGGATAGAGTGCGCCGACACGCTTGGCAAGCATGCTGGTCTGTGCACTCTCGGGCCCGAATCCCCTGGGCGTGTGTGTCGAGTGCTTCATGTTCGAGCCTCGACTACTCGTGCTGGACGAATGCGGGCGAGGTAAGGGGCGGTGGACCAAGGAACACACCAAGATCGAGCATGGAGTTGATCAGTGAGCTCAGGCCGCGACGCCGCAAGTTTGCCGGGACTGCAATCGGGGCCGACGTCACCACATAGCTGTTGGAGAACCGGGGACATGAGTGAGACAAGCACGCAATGCACGCGCGTGGGTTACACTTTTTTTATGCAAAGGAAGAAAAGGAAGACGTACCGCTTGGGCAGGGTGGTGAATAGGCTGATACGCAGCTCTTGACCCGTCTCGTCAGCGGAAGCCATCTTGTGTGGGTGCGGTCTGAAACCAAAAGACTCGTTGGCTGCCGTCGCACCGAGCCACAAACCCCGTTCTCAACGCAGCAGCCTGCACACGTGTTTCCAAAAGAGGGAGAGAGAGAGCAAAAGCGAGAGAGAGCAAAAGAGAGAGAGAGAGAGAAAAGGAGGTAAAATTATCTGACAAATGACATTCTCATAGTCTGACAAATGACATTCTACGATCGTCTCGAATTCGCCAGCGGCTCACTCGACTGGTTTGTTTGTCTTCGCTCGTGGTCATTATGAGAATGTGCGGGCCGCAGTACAACGAAGGTTTGAATCGTCAAAGGGCCGACTACCCGAGCAAAAGACACTCCCCTTCCTGCCTCCTGACGTGATAACATGAGCTGGTTGTGGAACTGGGTTGGTCGGGGTCAGTCTCATTTCGATTGGTAGCAGCGCCATGTATTTGCTGACGATGAAGAGCATCGACATGTTGTTATTTTGGCCGCCTGCGCGTCGGTCTGCGGACGTCCATGGTGTCGGCCATGTGATCGGATCTTCGGGCGAGTCATGGTAGGCATGGTCAGCAGCGACTGCAACGTTCACATTTTCAAACACCGTCAGGTTAGGTGTCGAGCTCTCGTTAACAACGCTTTTGCTCAAGATCTCTCGAGCATCAGATAAAGCAGCAAAGATCATGCATCACCAATGTCAACCCTCATAGCATCACTTAGTCCCTCCCTCTGCCCGCTCTTTGCAGTGTCCATTGCCTGTCCCTTGATCCATTGATCAATGCCATTGATCAATGGATTGCTCAACCAATGGTGCAAGCCACTGCTCCCCCCAAAAACAAACAAAACAAAAAATCAATAAAATTAGGTAAAACTCGCGAATAATGCAGTTTATGTCGGAGATCATTTGTTAATGCTTATATATCAAAGCACGTCGACTAAAGTTGTTGTCGCTAACTTGGGAGTTATTGTCGAGACGATTGCCAGTCACAACAGTACGTCGTTTTTTTCATCATTTTCCATCGGCACGTGATAGGTAGAAAAGGGCAGCGGCATGGTCCCGCACTGGCGGTGTGGATGGGATTTGGGAAGAAACGAGGGCGTGTGCTGCGGCGACAACTCTCACAAGTCATCGGGTCTTCTTGAACGCGTCCTGCCACTGTTTCCTTTCCCTTTCAACCATAGGCTCGCTTGAAGATTGCATCTGTCACCATGCAGCGCGTTTCGAGCCTCTTTGCGATCGCCGCGGCCCTGGTCAGCGTGTCGGCAGCGGCGCAGGACAGCGATGTCGTGTACTTCAACTCGGATTCCGTGTCTGCCGTTCTCTTGGGTGACTGGGGAGGGTGAGTTCCGCCGCTGATGGTGCCGCGCCGGCCCGATGCCATGTCAGCTTGGTCCTCCCGCCTCACTGCACGTGAACAAACGATCTGGTGTCTGGGTCAATGCTTCTCAGTCAAGATGCCGCTCCCTATGCCGAAGTTGGACAGCTCGCCACCGTTCCCGGCCTCACCGCTGTTGTGACCCAAGTGAATGCGCAACTTGCCCTTCTGCTTGGCGGTGAGCCCGCTTCGCTTGGCTTGGCTTGGCTTGGCTCAGGATCCGAACGTGAATGGGCTTCCACCAGCCTTTGTCGCCCACTCCATCTGCTCAACTGGCTCCTCTACACTTGCTTGGCCGTGTTTATTTTGCATCGCTAGACAATTTTTATTCGTCGGGCATTCACAGTGATGAACATGATGCTCGTTTCGTGGAGACCTTTGAGCAAGTGTACAACAGCAGCGTGCTTGAGGCTATTCCCTACTACGTGGTACGGTCACTCGGTTGGGTGTTCGAGGGGGCCCCAGCTGTCGTTCATGATTCGTCTCTCTGCTCTCTTCGCCCGTAGATTGCTGGTAATCATGATCACAAGGGCAATGTGTCGGCTCAAATCGCCTACTCCCAAGTCAGTGCCTTCAGTGGCTTTACCGACTGCCCTGGCGATCAAGTAGTCACTATGCGCGCCTCCATGTGATGCTCATGTGATGCTCATGCACGCACACTGCTTGCCGCCCGTGTCAGTTGAGCTCTCGCTGGCATTTTGACGATTATTACTACAAGAAAAGCTTTGTTTTCTCCCCATCCTCCGAGCGCAACATGACCATTGACATCATCTTCATCGACACGGTGCTGCTGGCAGGCAACTCGGATGACCTTGAAGACAAGGTCAGCATGACTACGGCCCCCTTGCACACACTCATGCACACTCATGCGCACTCATGCACTGATTAATTGCACTTTTGTCGGACTTTTGTCTGTCTGTTACAGTTTGGTACCTTGCCTGGCCCGATCGATGCCGACTGGGCTGAAACTCAATGGTCATGGATTCAGGCCTCGCTGCGTGACAGCACGGCTGACTACCTGTTTACGGCTGGTCACTATCCCGTGAGTTGGATTTTACTGCCCTCTGCCTTGCCGTTTGTCTCGCCGCCGGGCGTCAGACCATGCCATGGCATGGTTATTCTCCCGACGGTCCGAGCGAATCGCGGCTCAAAGTTGATCTCATCCGCCTTGTCGTCATCCGGGCCTCAGGTATGGAGTGGCTGCAGCCATGGTCCGACCGACATCTTGGTGGACCGCCTCAAGCCCATGCTGGAGCAGTACGGCGTACGTTGCTTGGCTCAATCGGCGTTCATCAGAGCCTTTTCATTCTCTTCTCCAAGCTTCCGCATGCTCATCTTGTGCCATGCGCGCTCACACAGGCCACCGGCCACTTGTCCGGACACGACCATTGTCTGGAATATATCGATGAGGGTCTGGGCCCCGTTTATCCTCTCTCTGGCGCTGGAGACAACTGCTGGTGCGTGCGTACACAACATCACGTTCATGTACTCGTGAGCCATGCCCAACTTGCTTTTGGTGCTCTGGAGAAAGCGGGGGGGTATTGTGTGCCTTGAGGGAGTTGCTCACGTGCTGCTGGTTTTTTTGGTGGTTGCGCATACTGGATGCCAGCTATGACAACACCAATGCCGACAAGGTACCTGAAGGTGCTATGAAGTTTGCCATCTGGAATGATGGCACGGGCAGTCCCATCGAGGGCGGTTTTGCCATCATGACCGCGAATGCTACGGAAGTTGTCTTTGAGTACTTTGCCGCCAACGCCACTCGCCTGTGAGTATTACAACCCCAATCAACTGCTCTCTCGAGTCAACGACGAGCGTCGTTCAAGTGCCATCTCGTCCGGCCTCATTGCATTCTGGCTCATCCGGGGTGTAGGTTTACGTCAAACCCTGTCAAGCCTCGCACTCATTAATGGGCATTGTCGACGCCTGGCTTTTTTCCATGGACCAGGCGCAATGCTAAAGCGGATTGTGGCTTGTTACTTTTGTTCCCTCTCTCCCTGCCTCTTTGGGGAGATCGTTGCTGTTTGTGTCATCATCTGTTGGACGCGCTTTGTATTCGGGTTTGCCAACGATGCGAAAACTTTCAGTTGAGTGAGACAGACACAACTGTCAGATTTGTCAGCATTTTATGTACGATGTGAGAAGGCAGCCATGGCTGAGCTCGGGGCGAAGGATGGACAGGCAGGGTCAGGACCGGGGGAGGCGGAGGAGGAGACAGTGGGGCAGGCCGGCACCCAGGTGCGTTCATCGCAGCAGCGATGGGCTTTACTCAAGGCTGCTATCTTGCGAGCTCAACGGCAAGCGAAGGGCGGGTCAACCACAGAAGCGACCGCAGCCAGCGCGCCTGGTGTCGAGGGAAGCGTTCGCAGCATAGCCTCCTACGGACTCGTACACCAGCTCGACAGCGCTCCAGCCACGGACAAAGCCGCTGGTCAGATGAATAGAGGATTGCGTTGGGAGCATGTGACTTGTTCAAAGACCCAATGTATTTTGACGCTCTTTTGACCTTTTTGACGTTCGATTCTCTTCTTGTGCCATGAATTTTTTTTAGGTCATGCAGATGACGGTGATTTTGTCTTGCTCAAGAGCCAGCATTTCCCTTGGGAGCAGCGCGTGTTTCTTCTTCGGCCCGTGGTCTCTCTGGAGGTAGCCATGCGCACTGTCCTCACACAAGTTCCGGTGTGCCGGCACGCTCAGGCATCTATTCTCTCAATGTCACGATGCAACTATAGGCCATGATGGGCTTCAACAACACTGGCAATGTGTGCATCTGGCCAGCTGAGGAGCTCTTGTGCCACGTCGTGCTGGCACATCCAGAATTGGTGGCCGGCAAGTCCGTACTGGAGCTTGGAGGCGGCATGGCACCCATTGCCGGACTTGCCTGCTTACATGCCGGAGTCAGTTTGGGCCCCACAGCTCCCACCCCAACTTGATTGCGCGTTCAGCTCAAATGCTACTGTCCATAGGCAGCGAGTGTGCTGGTCACAGACGGGAATCCACGCTCAGTCCAAGCCATGCGTCGCACAATGAGCCAGCTACCTTCTTCGGAGCAGAAGCGGCTGCAAGCCCAAGTCCTAGACTGGACAGATGCCGCTGCTGTGGATCAGTTGCAGGCAACGTGCGAGTCCAGTCTTTTGTTATTGCGCGCACTTTGTGCACGGTTGACATGGGCTAATGTTGACGACGCTTTTGTTGCCACCCACGATTTCAGTGCAGATGTGGTACTGGCTGCAGATTGCCTCTTCTTTACACAGGTGCACGATTCGTTGGCCCGCCTCATGGCCTCAGTGCTTCGACCCCAGGCAAGTTCATTATTGAGCCGAACCAATTCTTACAATTCCTGCGAGCTTTCTTGTGTGAAACAAGCGTCCTTCTCACTCGGGTCGGGGCTTTTCCGTGGCATTTGTGTTCCAGGGGTTCGTGCTGTCCTCGGCACCCGATCGCAATGGTACTCGAGTACAGTTTCTGGCCGTAGCTCGAGGTGCTGGTCTGGCTGTGGTAGAGGATTGCCCGAACCTTTTGGACGCCGCCGCGCAAGAGCAACTGCTGCAGACCAAGAAGCAACCCCTCTTCAATGCATCCCTCCACCTGGCACATTTGGATCGCTTGGCCTTTGCGTAGCTGCTGCCGTGACGGATGGGTTGCCATTCCCTTTGGCATTGTACTTAACAAGGTGGCAGGGCCTTGATCCAGGCATACACAGAATCAAACAAATTAATCATCTGATACGAGTTATGGGTATACATCCGGATGTATGTGGTAAAAACAGGCTTCACGGGATCAGTCTCCATCATGCGGTTACTCTTCTTTCAAGCTGATCAAGTTGTCTCGACTCGCGTCGCGCACCACATGCGCATTCGTGCGCAACATCAGGATCGAGGCAGTCAGTCCATCGTATCGGGTGAGCAGACTCACGCTTGATTCTGGATCGTAATGGCCACTGTTGTGCCGGCCATGGCAGATGGCCCTTCTACTGCCTGAAATTTAAGCCAGTCCCCAATCGTCGTCCAGCTCACGGCCCCGTCTGGCGTCACGGTAACTCTGATACAGACACGGGCGAACGGTGAGGACTGGCGATCAAAAATCTCGCAACAGAGTTAGACTCAACTTACGCTCTGCCCTTGTCAAAATGGAGGCTGGACGCGAAAATATCGGTGGTCGCCTGCCACAAAGGGAGTATAGAACCCATACCCATCTTTTATCAGTGTGGGAGATTGGCGTAACACCGAGCCATCTGTGGGTCCACTGGTGCCCTTTTACACACACATCCATCTTGCTCTTCCACAAAGGTCTAGCTCTTCTTTGACGGCAAAGCAGGATGCGTACCTGAATCGAAGAGGGTTCAAGCTGGTACGCCAGTTCAAAACGCGTTTCTTTCACATCAAAGGAGGCGTTCAGAGGGAGACCCGCAATGGCTGCGGCGTAGGGACGGCTCAAGTTCCGCACAACCTCCATGTTCATGCTTCCATTTGAATTCCAAAAGCCAAAGTTGGAGCCAGTGCGCGGTACATATGCCTAAGTTTGGTGAAAAGGGTGGGAGGGACGAGTGAGCAGTTGAAGCAGAAAATGGAAAAAAACAAAACAAAAAACAAAAAACAACAACAACAACAAAACTAGCTAGGTAGGCAGACAAGCACACACCTTGTACTCCCAGCGCAACCAGGATTGGAAGTAGTCGAGTGTTTCGTCAATCATGGGCATGCTATCCGTCTTTATGGCGAGGAATTGGTGGAGCCACACGCAGCGCAGATAGGATGAGGAGTGCGCACAGTCAAGCTGGACGATCATTGCCACTTGGCGTCCGGGAAACACGTGCACATCTCAGCTCGACTGACAAACCTCTGTGCAAAACCAACCGCAGGCCAAGCGAGTGGCCTCGCGGTGGTGGGCTTCGATGCTACTGTCTGCATCAAGATTGGGAGGTTGATACCAGTGATAGGCGTAGACACTCTTGTTGCGCCATTCGGGGCCACCGGGGACTTGCTCAAAGCCCACCAGCACGTCATCCCAGGTGACCTGGGCGGTGAAGGTCACCACACGGTTATGGAAGCCATATGAGGGAGGTGAGGGCGGCGCTCGCAATTTCTGATAGCCATTCAAGGCCGTGAAAGCTGCATGGCAGCATCAGTGCCAAGGGGTCGAGGGCGTACCCCTTCAAAAAAGACTGGACGCTGAGGATCGTGTGTGCGAATGGCGGCTGCTAGAGGTTCGTACGCCTTGGCCAGATTCTTCTGGTCTGCGACTCCGGGAATGAGCAAGAGCGGATCCTTGATAACGTCGCCTAGGGGTCAAAAGGCAAATCCTTTTTAGCTGCATGCCATGCCTGTGAGCCTGAGCTGGTCAGCGCAAGGTAATCCTACCTGCCCAGGGCTCATTGATGAGCTCATAGCCAATGATGTTGGAAAAATTGGCAAATGTGTGCGCTAACATGCCCCAGTAGGCTGCCCAACTGTGGTCATGGCAATATTAGACATTTGAACCATGAGTAGACGGGGATGGAGGTCGTCCAGCAGCATGTCTCAAACGCCAAGCATGTCATGTGTCGTGCACCTGTCAAGAAGGCCATCTTGGTTATCGTAGAGAGCCTGCACTGCAGTACATTGAGCCGTCGTGAAGTAGTAGTTGGGCCAGCCGATTTGACTGCAGTTTTGAGGCGACGGGACGCCATGCTTCTGTACGGAGGATCATATCATGATGGCCGACGTCATTCACAACATTGCGATCGTGAATGTTGAAGGCCACGATTTTGCGACGTACATCGACGGGAAAGCCAGGCGCTAGGGGTTCGGGGAAGTTGGAGTTGTTGGCTGGTTGAGCTGCCCAAAGGGGAACGCCTTCGCCACAGAACTTTTCGGAGAAATCGTCCTGATGCATTTCTATCAAGACGCTGATCGAATGGTTCTCGCACATGGCCACAATGTCCTGCATGCAACGCAAGGGGAGGGTGTGTGAGAGGAGGGCTTGTGTGAGGCTTATGGGGTGTGACAACCATCAGTGCAAGATGCATAGGTTTCCAAATGCACGGAGTGGGCCAGACGCACCTGCATGAGAGCCAGATACGTCATGTTGTATTGGCCACGCACGGGCTCAACGCCTGGCCACATGACACCAAGCCGGATCGCCGTCATCTGGAAAGTGGTAGGGTGACCATGAATGTCAACTTTGACTGCTTTTTGCAACGTAATGACCATATCACACTGCTTCCCCGGGCAGGTTTTGTGGATGGCCTGTACTCACACCATACTGCTGCAGGATCTGGGCGTCCTCCTGGGAGAAACTGTATTGAAAATCAAAACTGTCCGTGCGCGGGACATAAGGCACAGCTTTGTATACAACATTCATGCCTAAGCGTCAACAGCGAAAGCCCAAGGGATGGGTGACTGGCTTCTGGCTTTGCTCTGACCGAGTGGCGGGCGGGAGGTGGGTCAGGTCTCAAGACAGCGACAACCAAACAACTCACCGTGAAAAACACGAACGCGATTTTGATTGTCGCGAAGCATGAGCGTCGGATCATGCACGGTCAGCTCCAGTCCTGGCGTCATGAGGCAAAAACGATGCGATTGTCGTGAGATCCGGCCCACCCACTCCAAACGCGCATGCTTGCCATCCTGTACTCAGCCCACGTACGCTCAGGAGCCGAGGCCCGGGCCCCACACAGAGCCAGCGCTAAAAGGGACAACAGCAGCTGCCATGGCGGCTTCATACATGTTGTTCCACTCATGTCTGATTGGGAGACACTTGCGACCTTGGCTAGTCCTCGTGCGCGCTCAGCTGGCACGATCTCAATTTCCTCCAGCACCTGCTGCACTCCTCAACTGCGGACTTCGTCTGAATAACATGAAACGAAAGTAGTGAGCATGCTCATATGGGGCACTGCGAGCAACAGGTGTTGTGTACACCAATTTGGATCACGTTGAAATTCGGATGCTGCGAAATGTAGTACACGGTGTCAACCCGTGACCAATATATTTCACATCATCTATTTTTGGCGCAGGCGGGACTGAATTTCGATTGTTTCAGCATTGTTAGCTTGCCATATGGAGTGAGCGTTTTGGTCAAAGAGCTTGCTTGCTCTCGAACGGAAAGCGAAAACGGTCCACATGGTCGCGCAAGGGAATTGGTGAATGGGTTGTCCACTCCTTTGTTCTCGCGAAGATATGTTTGCGATTGTAAAGGAACAATAGTGCATGTGAATTGACAATGTCTGCTGCGCAGCGATGAATGCATGTCTTTGTTCTGTCCTTGCTCTGTTGAATGCATCTCTCTTTCCGTTACATTCACATTTGTAGCAGCAGCAGCAACAAAACTTGGCCAACGGAATCACACCACACGCGCGCGAGCAAAGACATGAGATACACGCACCAATCTTCCACAGACACACATATGAAGACAAAAAGAGGAAGCACATGTCGACAAAAGAAAAGCCAGTGGCACCACTCACCACCACTACCACACGTACACACACACTGCGCTCGCGCACCCACCATCAGGGCAGCAGCGACACTGGATTATAGCCAGATTTCCACAACGGTGCCAGAGGTGGGTTTCACTCGCCACTCGCCGTGTTACTCTCGCTCCCTCGTCCCCTTCAACGTTGGAGGTAACACAAGAAGAGACATGGGAAAGGATCGCAGACCAACAACACATCAACGCTTGCCCCGGTCGCTCGTTTGCCCCCGCCCTTTCACATCGTCTCGATCGGTGGATGGTGCGCCCAGTCACCAACTTGATCTTGTCTGCCCCTCCACCATCTCCCTGCCGTTCGACATCCCTGCTATCGTCGCGCGTCCCTCCCTTCCTTCGCCCCACGCCCGCCTCTCCATCGTTTGTTCTTCCGCCACTTTTGCTCTCTGCTGAGCTTTATCAGACTCTTCTGCCTGGAGCCACCCAAACATTCGTTGCATATCCTTTTCGTCGCATTCTTCTGAAAACCCCCTCTCCCAACTGACCCCTGCTTATCGATATCTTCCTTCTTTGCAGCCCGTGTGAACGCCGTCGTCGAGTCTGCAACCGGCTGCCGTTGAGCCGGCAAGGACATCGGCCTCTTTGTATCCGCTCGTTGGGCTTGGAGGCATCTCCACCCGGACCCGCGGGAAAGTTGTACCGTGTTCTTTTTCTGCCCTTTGGCAGAGCGCAGAACCGGAACCATGGCTGTGACAGCGCGCTGGGCGGTTTTGGCGGCTCTTTTGCTGGCCACCGGCACGGCGGCTTGCGATACCACCTCAAGTTGTTGTTTCGGCGACGCCTCCCTGGTCACTTTTGATGCTGGCATCGTGTCTCTCGAAGTGCAGCTGCGTGGTCAATGCAGTGGTGAACAGAAGTTCTACCTCTACTGCCAAATGGACGACGACAACACCACCTGCACACATCCTTACTATGCAATCACTTTTGGCAACCAGGATGTCACCATCACCACCAGCGATGATGTCCTCACATATTCATGTGCTGCCACTGGCTGCCCCGACTCTCCTGCAGTGTGGAGTGGCATGTACACTTCTTATGACGGTGCGTTAACATACCCTGGCAGAGCCGTCTGCACCTGTTGTCGCACACGCCTCAAATGTGTAGCAGAAAAGGCATGGCATTCTGACTCAACCTCTTGTTTTGCCACCGCTCACCACACTCGTGATTCTGCTGCTCCATCGTACCATCCATTCCACAGATTTCGCGGCGTCGTTTGGCAATTCTTTGTATGAGGTCGTCGACATGCCTAATACCTTCAGCTCGGGTCGCGCCACATGCCAGCAGATGGGCGGTGACTTGGCGAGTATCACCAGCCAGATGGAAAACGAATTCATCTACCAGCTCAACCCTGTGGCTGGTTCAACCCGCTGGATTGGCGGACAGCTTGTCTCCGTTTCTCCCATCAACTGGACCTGGGTGGATGGCACGCCATTCTACAACTTGACAGCCGATGCCGCCTATGCAGGTTGCGATCCCAACACCAACTGCCTTTTCCAGGCAAATGAGCCCTCGGACAACGAGACTGAAGTCTGCTTGAGCATGGGCCAAAGCGGTGTCTTGATCAACCCCAGTGGTTGGAACAATGCCAACTGCAACAGCATCAAGTCTGCTGTCTGCGAAGTATCCGGTACGTTTGGCTTTTTGGACTTGCTCGGCAAAGTGCTTGACTTTGCCGAGCAAGCAGCATTGACTGCCCACGACGAGCGTTCTGCGCCTATGCACTCACGCTGTTCGGTTCTGTTTATCTTGTGTGTGTTTTTTTTCCTGCAGTTGGCTGCAGCACATTTGGCTTTGATGTCAACGCAAACACGGACTGCAGCGAGGGTGCAGCCGATAATACTTCTTGCAACATTGAATGCCGCGAGGGCTACGTGCCCACGGGATCGACCACCGTTACTTGCGACGCAGAAAAGACCACAGATTTCGGTCTGTACAGTAACACGAACGTGAACTGCGAGCCTGTTGATTGTGGTACAACCATCGCGGGCTTTGACACCGTAACGGCCACCAACAACTGTGCCAGCATCGGTGATACGCGCTACGAGGGTGACTACTGCCAAGCTGAGTGCAGGCCCGGTTACATCATGACCCAGGGCACCGGCCTCTTCACCTGCTCAAGCACTGGTTCTTGGGAGGGCAACTTCACTTGTGAGCCCGTCGACTGTGGTAATACCATTGCTGGCCAAGATAACGTGACGGGCGTCTGTTCGGGCGACACGCGCTACCTGGGTGACAACTGCACGGCGACCTGCGCGGAAGGCTACCTCTCCGAATCTGGCTCCGACCAGTACACTTGCAACACCGATGGCGAGTGGGAAGGCAGCCTGATGTGCCGCATTGCCCAATGCACTCCATTTGTTGGGCTGGACCCCACCTCAACCGGCCTCTTGATGGCAACCTGTCCCATGAACAGCGTCTTTGGCGACGAGTGTACGACGACCTGTGGTAATGGCTTTGAATCTGCTAACAGCGACCCCAGCAATGGTGTCTTCACCTGCGGAGGCGATGAGCAATGGCAAGGCTCCCTCGAATGTGACCGTGTTGCCTGCAACAGCACAATTGGTGGTATCTCTGCTAACGTGGTGCAGAACACTTGCATCGACCCAGTCTTTGAGGACACTTGCACCGTGCAATGCGCGGAAGGCTACCAGCCCGCCTCTGGTAGCCCTGTCTACACTTGTGGCGCCAACGGCGAGCTGCAGGGGTCCTTTACATGCGAACGCATTTCTTGCGGCAACGTTTCTGAAGCCTTTGGCGATGCGTACACTTCCAGCGCATGCGCCGACTCTCTCTTCATGGATTCTTGTGGCGTGCAATGCGCGGCGGGCTATGAACAAGTATCTGGGACTACCACGGCCGTTTGCGAAGCCGATGGCAACTGGAGCACAACGCTCGAGTGCGAGCCGGTCAATTGCGGGGCGTTGGACGCAGTGGTCGCCTATCCTGTAGAGGCCGACTCGTGTTCTTCAACCGTCTTCCCCAACACTTGTGACGCCACGTGTGCACCGGGCTTTGATGCAGTCTCCTCAGCGACCTACACGTGCTCTGCTTCTGGCAGCTGGACCGGCTCGCTGATGTGCGATCCCAAGGATTGCGGGTCTAGCATTCCCTCAGCCGCTTTGCCTGCCTTTGCCACGAGCACCAACTGCAGCTCTGGCAATACCGAGTTTGGTGGTGACAGTTGCCTGGCCACGTGCGCCAGCGGCTACACAGCCGCAGTCAACACAAGCTACGAATACACCTGCGGAGTGGACGGCGTGTGGACAGGTGATCTTGTCTGTACTCCAGTGGACTGCGGTACCTCCCTTTCGAACGTCACCACGACGGCCAACAGCTCGGTCACTCGCCGGGCCAACAATGCCTGCTCTGGCGATACGACATACACGGGTGATGCTTGCTACAACACGTGCCGTGATGGCTACGTTCTGTCTTCAACCGCCAACAACGGTATTTATGAGTGCCAGCCCAGCGGCCTTTGGGATGGCTATACCTCTTGTGAGCCCGTCGACTGTGGCACCACTTTGCCCAACGTGGGTTCAGTGACCTTCTCCAGCAGCAACTGCTCAGGCAAGACCACTTTTGGTGATCCGGCCGTTGGTGATATCGCTGGTACCTGCCAGGCTGAATGCGAGTTGGGCTACGTCAACACGATTGGTGGCCAGGGACTTTTTACCTGCGGCAGTGACGGCAACTGGCAGGGCGACATCAGCTGCACGGCGGTCCAGTGTGGCGATCTCAATAGCGGCGTCATCGGTACCAATGCCACTGCCGAATGCTCCACCGATACCTACCAGGCCATCTGCCAGGCCTCGTGCTTGCCTGGCTTCACACAGACTGGGGGTGATGGCATCTTCCAGTGCACATCCTACATCCACCCCTCCACACGCCAAAGTGTGGGCGAATGGACCGGCAGTCTCTCATGTGCTCCTGTGGATTGCGGTGATGAGATTCAAGGTCTCAACACCAGCATGGCTTCGGCTGATTGCAGCTCTGGCTCGACTCTGTATGGCGGCGACGAGTGTGTGGCCTCGTGCAACTATGGCTACACCGTTTCCAGCAATGATCCTGACGCCAACGTCTTCACTTGCGGTACTGACGGCACCTGGGTTGGCGACCTCCAGTGTGAACGTACGTGTCAATTCGTCGCCTAGTTAGCTGATTTGCTTTTTTGGGTGGCGTTCTTGCGTGTCTGGCACTCATTTTGTTGGCCATTTAACTCATTCATATTTGTGGCATCTTCTGCCATGGCATGTTTTTATTCGCACAGGTGTCAGCTGTGGCACGGAAATTGTTTCGGCTGTCACCTCAAATTTGATTCCCGTGTGCGAAGGTGACGTTCGCTGGGGCGCCAGTTGCACGACCTCTTGTGAGCGTGGGTACGATTTGTACGTCAAATCTTCTGGCACCATCGATGATGATGACGCCATCACTTCTGGCTCTGGCGAGACATCGGGCGATGACGCCTCCACAAGTGGCGTAAGCGATGATCTCTTCTACTACCAGACGGAAATCTCATTTCAATGCAGCGCTGATGGCGTATGGGAGGGCCCCGAGTTTGAGTGCGCCCCGCGCGACTGCGGTGTCCAAATCTTTGGTTTGGACCCTAATGCCGAAGCCAACTGCATCAATATTGACACTCGCTTTGGTGGTGATAGCTGCACCGCCACATGCAAGGAAGGTTACGTGCCTGTATCCGGGACGGGCATCTACAGCTGCAGCTTCACTGGTCTTTGGTCTGGTCGCCTTCGTTGTGTTGAGGCCGATTGTGGCGCCTCCATCACCAGCCTACCTTCTGCTGCCACTGCCACCTGCGCTGGCGACACCACCTATGGCGGCGACAACTGCACGGCTACGTGTAAGCCTGGCTACATCGGTGATGCATCGTCCTACGTGTGCAATGCCACGGCGCAGTGGGAGGGTGATATCTCTTGCACGCCCAAGGACTGCGGTGCTAGCATCACCGTGCCCCAGGGCAGCGCCATGTGTACCGGCTCCACCGTGTACGGCGGCGACGATTGCACTGTTGTTTGTGATCCTGGCTACGAGGCGGTGGGCTCTCCTACATACACTTGCAATACCGACGGCGTTTGGTCTGGTAACGTTGAGTGCCGCATCAAGGATTGTGGTGACTTGGACGATGTGTTGCCAGCCAACAGCGTGGCTCTGGGCTGTGACAACACCGAGTTCATGGACTCTTGCGAGGCCTCCTGCTTGTATGGCTACAACACGGTGGCCTACAGCGGCAACTTCACCTGTGATGCCAGCGGCGCCTGGGCCGGTGAAATCGAGTGCGAGCGCGTGACGTGTGGGTCCGTTTCAAGCCTTTTGTCTAGCAACGTGCAGCTGACCCCTGGGTCCAGCACCTGTGCCGACGGCAACAACAGCTGTGTCTCCGCCAGCGTCACCTGTGCTCCTGGCTACGAGCGCGCATCTGGTAGCAGCACGTACAGCTGCGACCTTGATGGTCAGTGGCGTGGTGGATACACTTGCCGCCGCAAAAACTGCGGCTCCTTCATTCAGAATCTGGATGACAATGCGTCCCACCAACTCTGCACCACGACCTACTACGGTCAGACATGCACGGCCTTCTGCAATGCTGGCTATCAGCCGGTGAGCGGCACGTCCAGCGTGTTTACCTGCGGCGTCAACGGTGTGTACGAGGGCAACCTGCAGTGTGCTCCGATCTCTTGCGGCAACCTGACGGACCTACCCGAAGGGGCCACGGCCAGTTGCTCAGACTCGAGCTACCTGGCCACCTGCACAGCCACGTGCGAGGGGGACTCAGTTGTCGATGGCAATGCAGATTATTATTGCTCGGCCACTGGCGAGTGGATTGGTGGCTGCAACTTTGCCTGCCTGAACGTTTCTGGCTACAGCGAGTTTGATGCCTCATACTATGCGTACGTGTCGACATCCGTCACCCAGCCTGAGGCTCAAACCGTGTGTGAGGCCGATGATGCCAACCTTGTGTCGGTTGACTCCTTGGCTGAGAACAGCTTTGTGCACGGCCTGGGCGCCCCGAACCAGGCACGTTGGTTGGGTGGCATCGTTGATTACAGTGGCCCTGACGACTATGCCGTCACCTGGGCCGATGGCAGCTCTTTTGATGTGTCCATGACGGACATGTGGCTCCCTGGGCAGCCCAATGGAGATGGCTCGTGCCTGGCTCAAGGCCAGTTGACCAACAACCTGCCCAATGTGTCCAGCCTTTGGAACGATGTGCCCTGTACTACCTCTCTGCCGTTTGTGTGCGAGAAGGCACCCGAGCTCTCGCAGGAGCAATGCGTTCCTGCCTACGTTCTGGTGTACCGCTCCGAGGGTGTGTCAGACCCCAACGGCTACCGCTTTTCCACTGCGTTCAATGTTGCTGCTCGCGTCTTCGCGTTGACCTTTGGCAGTGAAATTTCATCGGCCGAGGCCCTTCGCGACTGCAGCGATCAGTGCGATGACCTGACCTCATGCAAGGGATTCTTCTTGCAAACGGTTGCAACCGGATACCAATGCTTCGGCCTGTACGATCTGGGCACGGGCGAGCGTACGAGCGCCACTGGCAGCAGCTACGCCAAGTCAGGAGTCGTCATCACCACCACCACGACCACGACCACGACCACGACCACGACCACTACCACGACCACGACGTCGACTTCCACGACTTCCACGACTTCCACGACAACCACGACGAGCGCAATGGTAACAACTGGCAGCGGTGACGACGGCAGCGGTGACACTGGCAGCGGTGACACTGGCAGCGGCGATGGTACGACCGTGCCACCCACCAGCACGAGTGGCCCCGTTACCAGCACGACCACGCCAATCACGTCCACTTCCAGTGACCCTACCCTTCCTCCCACGACCACGACCACCTCAACCACGACCACCTCAACCTCGACCACCTCAACCTCGACTACCACTTCCACAACGGCCATGAGCACCACTCCGGGTCCCACCGACGTGACGGATATCCTATGCGCCGATGCCGCTGCGCTTGAGCTCTTCGACATTGAGTACACATCGGGCAACCTACCTTGTGCGTCAGGCGCCGACGTTCGCTACCGTGGCGCTTATAGCTCGTTCTACAAGCTGGGCTTCTATCGCAGTCTGGCGGCGTGTGTGGCGGCGTGCGAACGAACGCTGATCTGCCGAAATGTGTATGCTTGGGTGGAGGATGGCAACGTGCTTTGCCACACTTTGCTAGCCGTCGACTCCAGTCCTTTCCCCACATCGGCCAACAGTATCTCTCTGACTCGCCGCACATAAACAATACATTTTTCGGGGCTATAGCCATGCAGCCCTTCATCTGAGTCATGTCTCTCCCACCTCTTGACATGCCTCGTCTTTCACGCTTTTGTTTTTATTCCTCAGTTTTTTCTCTTCTTTTCCTTCACTTTTCTAGGCTGTGTTGTTTGTAAATCTGGTGTTTCTTCTGGAATTGAAAGGCATAAAGAAGGATGACACTTTTTCTTATATACATCTGAAAGTCGAAAGCCAAATGTCACACACTGCTTGCTCGCACGCATGCAAGCTCTATCCATGATCGTGATGAAATCCATCGTGTGGCTGATTGCATACAGCCCAAAACCCCAAGTTGCTTGCAACTGAACCACCAGCCAAACTGGCTGACACCCCCGTGACCTGGTGCTTGCACTTGACCCTCGACCCATTCCCCATCACATCACACAACCTGTGCATGTGTGTGTGTGTGTGTGTGTGTGTGTGTGTGTGTGCTTCGCATCCCTCTTGCCTCATCGCATTGCACTGCGTCCCACTGCACGGCTTGTCTCGCCTCGCCTCGCCTCGCCTCTCGCTGCCGCCACCTACTGGATTCATTTCTTCTGGCCTCGCTTGTTTGGATCCCTCCCCATCTTCTTGCCTCAGGTTGCTTTCGCTCGCTTGCTCTCTCTGCGTGGATGCCAGTGCATCGCATCATTTGCTCACCCCAGTGGTGCCCTTTCCCTTTATCCTCTGCGTGCGTGTCTCACTCATCTCTGATGTTTTATTTTCTTTCCCCTTTCTCAAGTCAAGCACCCTGCGCCATTTAGCGCCTCCCCGCCTGCAACACGCGCTGTACCCACTCAACCTTCATCACAGGTATGCTTGTTTTGCTTGTTGGCACGCCATCGCCCCTGGACTTCCGCCTTGCCTCGTCCGATCCCCTCCCCGCCAACGCCCCCGCCCCCGTCCTTGTCCAGGCTCTCACCCTCGCCGCAATCTGACTGGGCTGTGTTGAATTTGAGTCAGCTGCTTTGTGTCGTGCACACCATCATCATGTCTGCTGCTGCTCGTCGCCGCCCATCGTTGAACCGACGTCGCTCCTGTGAATACGCCGCCAACGTATGTCATATCCCCGGCCCTTCGGCTGCTGGCCATCCCTTTTGTAACTTGGACGAGAGAACATTGTCACTCACGTTTTTGGGCTTCTTGTGTAGATGCCCACGACCTCGGCTGTCCATGTAGTTACCTCCCCGTCCCAACAGCACCGACATGACAAGGAGCAGCAAGCCGCCGAAAGCGATGTTGTTCCGCTGGCTGTCGCCAAGATTCTGCAAAGTGTGTTTCTGTTTGCAATGATGTTGTGCACCTTTTGGCTCCTCACCTCTGCGAGTTACCAATGCGTGTGAGCTCACCTCACTGCGGCGCGTAATCCTATCATTCGGGAAGCGGCCGATGATTTTGGCATTCACAACCCCCGTGACGACTTGGTGACGGACTTTGAGCTGGCCGCGGATGACAAGGGATACTTTGCCGTTCTCTATCAGCAAGGGATTGCTCTGCGCAACGTGATCTTTGATGGTCACGTCATGCATTGGTGCGCCAATCGCCCTCCTTGGCGCGCGCCTCTGTCTCATTGCACGCGTTGAGCTCGATCTCTCACCTCTGGGTCGCTACGGGAACCCAGCATCATTGGTGTGGTTGATGCCCACCCCGACATGAATGTCCGGATGCGCATGAGTTGTGATGGTTGGCAAACTCAGCAAGATTTGCCGTGCAAGGACATTACATCCATAACGAGCCAGCACCCCGGATGCCAATTTTTCTGGGTGAGTGTCAAAGTACCTGCGCGCAAGTGTCGGGCAGATGCGGATGCTGATGCCGTGCTGCCCTTGTTCTTCTGCTTGTTGCAGGTGTCATTGGGCTGCCGGAACGGCCAGGTGCAATTCGCGTTCTGGAGTTCTAGCGCAAGCGCCGGCACAGAGCGTTGGGATAACAATTTTGGACGCAACTTTGCCGTCTCCTTCCAGCAATAACCATTCTCCTTTGGCATATATCGCCAGCGCATGCTTCCTCTTGTCGCTGCCTTCTGATTGTTTCCATGCATGCCGTCTTGTTGCGGCTACCCAACTGTGAGGTCGCCTGCTGGCATTCAGGGCCACGGGCTTGCATCTGCTACGCTTGTTTCTGCTACAGCGGCCAATAGACCGCCGTTTGTTCGATGGTCGCCTGTGTATACGCTTCGCGTGACTAACATTTCGTGAAAAAAAAATTTAATGACTCGACCCTATTTTTCCTTTCTCTCAATCTCAATTATTCGCAAACCTTGTCGCGCTGTCTTAATTGTGTGAGCACTACACCTTTGAGTCCAAGTTGGAGTTGCAGAGCATGAGGCTGAGGATTGGTTCAGGTCTTGGGCTGAGTAGAGATTGGCACCGCCAGAAAAAGAATTTAGGCGGTCATGTGCTTGGCTGGGTTGATGGCGTAAAGGATGCCAAGGTTTTCATCTTGATCGCCTGCGACAGGGGCATCGAGAGTGGCTGTATTGCAGGCGAAATAGACCATGCCTGAGTCGGAGATGGCAGCACTGGCAAAAACATTGGCGCAAGTCGCAAACTTGAACCTGCGTCGGACACAGACAGAGACAGAGACAGAGACATAGTCAGAGAGACGGAGAGACGGAGATACGGCCAGACACGCAGCAGACTGTGGATCAGGCCAGGAAGTGGGTGCCACTTGATCGAGCCAAGGCGCCTTTTGAGTCAGAGCACGAAGAGTCGATTGGGTGGCGCGCACACGGCTAGCATACTGACTTGAGCTCGCCTGTAAGTCGGTCAAGAACGTGCATGTTGTGGTCGTTGGAGCCAATGTAGACCAGGTCCCGTGACAGCGATGGGCTACCGTTAAACTCCTGCGAGGCATGATAATCCCAGATTTTGGTGCCTAAAATGGATACAGGTGGGCCCAGATGGTAAGAGGCAAGTTGACCCCATGCTGGGTGAACAGATACTAGAGCATGTCGAGCCTACCCGTGGTCGCGTTGAGGGCAATGACGACTTGCGATTCTTCTGCCGACACGTAAACAATGTCATCATGATAGGCCGTATGTGACTCAATCTCGCCTTCCGTGTTGTAGGTCCAGATAATCTTGCCCGTCTCCACGTCCATCTGAAGGTAAGGTAGGGGAACAAATCAAGCTGCACTGGCCTGGGAGCCATGGCCGACTAGACTGTGGCCGCGACGCCGCAAAGCTTAGCGACCACGCGGAGAGAGTATTGTGTACCTTGTACAAAATCATGCCCCAGGTACCAATGAACATGTCATTGCCCACGATGGTGGCCGAGTTATCTCCGCCGCCTGGTGTCAAGGTGCGCCAAATCATGCTGCCATCGCTCAGCTTGATGGCATACGTGTAGTTGTCAAAGCTGTGGAAGATGCTGGAACAAAAAATAGCCGGCGGTGGGTCATGAGGTTGTCGGTGGCAGACAGGATCACCTGCCGGCTGGCGGTTCACATTGACATACGTGCGGTCGGGCCAGGCCGAACCGATGGCTGGGCCTGAGCCGATTTGGGCGCCGGACATAAACGTCCACAGCAGCGTGCCATTGCCTGCCAGAAGCGTACGGATGGGAGTCGCCACCAGCAAAGAATTACAAATCGATCAGAAGAGTATCATAGCCACGCGTTGGGAGTTCAAGAAGCGAACAAGGCAGAGGGCTTACGAGCAATATGGTACAGAATGCTATCATGACTGCCAATCAGCACAGTGCCTTGGTCCGTGATGGTGGGGGGCGCATAGATCTATTGAATGACCGCCCATGTTTATTTGGTGTTGGTAGTGTGCGCACGTGGCAGTGCAGCGCTGTATCTAGGGAGCCGAGGAGGGTAGTTGGAATCGATACGCACCTGGTCCTTGGTCGGGACGCGCCAGATGAGGGAGCCGTTGGCACTGAGCTACTCAACAGGAGGCATAACGTGAGTGTATCTATGCAACCCGTATTGAGACACTTCTTTGGCTGCGGTCAAGATACAGCTGTCCACAGCTGCAAGCATGCCGCGCCACAAAGACGCGAGCCAGCAGGTAACTGACCATGTACACGTAGTGATCGTAACTGCCAAAGACAACAGACATGTCATCGAACACGGCGGGCGAGGAGCGCACGGCACTAAATCGAGGTCGAGTGTTAGGTCAACAGCCATGTGAGGACAGTGGGGATCTCCCTATTGGTCATTAGAGCCAGGCCTTTGCAGTCATGCGTTGGGCGCCTGAGGATGCACGGCCCGGGTGTGGGTGCCACTCACCCATCCGTCTTGTAGACCCAGAGGAGATCACCAGTGGCTTGTTCAAAGCAGTACATGTTGCCATTGTCGCTGCCTACCCAGACACGACCACCCGCCACGGCTGGGGATGCGACCACGCGATCGTGGGCGTTGAAGCTCCATTCTGCCAACGTGCCTTCATTGGAGACATTGTTGAAGCTGGCACATTGTGGGACGTCAGTGGTTTGGACCGGGCGGGTCGGAGCAGGGGTTGGAGATCAAAGCGGTGGCTAGTCAGATACAAGCAAGCATGCTGGAGCGTAAGCGTGCACAAATTTTGGGCATGGCAACACGCACCTTTGGTATTCTGGTGTGCGCCCAAACTGAGGCCAGTCACCCGGGTGCAGCTGGGCCTGAGCTACCACGCCCAAGAACGCCGCCGCCAGCAGCAGAGACAGTTGAGCCATTGCAATCTATAAGACAGACCGGCAGTCCCGTTAACCAGTGCAGCTGTCAATCGCTTGTCCAGCTGATCCAGGGGACGGCTGCGATGTAAGTCTGTGATCAGTTGGCACGTGACCATTGGCTCGTGGCTTAGTTTGAGCAGAGTGCTCCAGCCAATATTGACGTGCTTTGTTCTTTCCCCGTCGCCCCATACAAAAACACACACACAGACACACACACACGCATACAAGCAGGCGATCCCAGGAGCTAACCACCTCAATCACATCGATGGGACTGGCCTTGAGTGAGATCGACTTGCGTAAAAAAAAAAAAATCAACCAGCAGTGCTTGCGGACCCGATTGCGGCACGGAAAGTAAATTACTTTTCACGAGGGGATGCTCATTTTGTTTGGGTCGTGTGCTTGTGTGGACGGTGACGGACAGTGACGGCGGCGTCTCACCATGGCAAGCGAGGCAAGCGAGGTGGGAGAGGCCGCGGGCCGGCCCACGGATGAGGCTATCATGCGGCAGATGGAGGATATCAAACAGGAGGTGCGTCGGGTATGGCTAAGCACTGCTCAGTGCGTTGGTGGAGCCGGTGTGCGTTCATCCCCCGCAACGTAGGCGGCGCAGCATCCGCTCATGGGTGAGCGCACGGGAATCGACGTCTTGTTGGCAGAGTACCCGGACCCGCTCTTTCACACCAAGCTTGAGGTATGACTGACAAATGGCGACGGGGCTCTCTGGTGCCACTTTTGACGGCTGCTCATCGGGTTTGGCGTGCACGTAGACGCTACAGCGTCGCCAGGCTAGTTTTCGACGCACTCGCGGCGATGGGTGCGTCGATCTCGACCGCAATGACCCTCGGGATTAGAGTCACTGCCGCTCTTGTTTAAACCTGACCCATGTTGTGCTCGGAAAACGAATGAGGCACGATAGAAATTGCTTTTATCGATCATATGCCTTTGGTATTCTTGAACACCTGCTCCAGCACAAGGATGCCATTGATGGGTACGGGTCTCTGCCCTTCCCCGTGCTCGCTGCACCACGCCCCTACAATGCATTTGAAGACATGTCCTCCTCCACACTGGAACCACGTTAGGTTTTTGCTGAGGCTACGGGAGACGTATGAAATGGCATTGGCAGCCGGATGTCCGGAATTCACCACAGAAGACTTTTACGAAACGGTGTGTGGCAGCCACCATTCTCTTGCAGCCGGCTCTAGCGCATCCCATGGGTTCTGCTGCATGGGTCACATTCAAATTATCCTGGGATCGTCATGAATTGGGATGAGCGTGTCAGGTGGCCGACATGGTGACGGATCTCAAAGCGGACGAGGCGTCCCTGACCACGCTGTTGGCGGCCGTCAACGATGAAGGCCTATCCAACTACTTGGTGGCTTACATGCGGATCATCACCAGTGCCTACATGCAGGTGAGGCATGCACGTCAAGCGCTTTCCAGCGTTGGTTTGTGATGCGACGACGTTCTCACCACGCCTACTCTGCTGGCCTCCCGGTGCCCCCAACCGTTGTTTCAGCTCAACGCTGACTACTTCCAGCCCTTTATCGAGGGTGGTCTCACGGTGAAAGAGTACTGCAGCATCAGCGTCGACCCGTTTGGTGTCGAAAGCGAGCATTTGCAAGCCCAAGCCTTGATCTCGGCGTTGCGCCTGGGTTGCCGAATCACGTACATTGATCGAGTAAGGGACTTATACGAGCTCCAGCTGGTTGTCTCGTGTTGCTCGCCTCACGCGTGTCCCGATGCATCGTCTTGCGTAGTCACCGGGCGCCGAGCCTCCGTGCCATGTGCTTGAGGGTCCCGATGGATCAGGCCAGCCCGTCTGCCATCTGATGTTTCGACCGGGCCACTATGACGTCCTCTACCTGCCCACTGCAGCTCCCTAGCGCCCTGACATTATCATGCTTCCCAACACCCAGAGTGACGTGCCGTGCTTTCCTTTGTCAAAGAAAATCCATTCCATCGACGCAAGGACCACCAATCTCGCACCCATCATGGTATAGAAACTCAACCAACATTACCGCTACTACTGGTATCACCATCACACCATCACCATCATCATTATCGATTATCTGCCAGCGAATGTGGCGCTCGTGCCTATTTGTTCGCGTGATCCCACGTTACGACGATATGGTGGGAGGCAGGCACACGCGACTCTCAGGAGGTTGCGGTGCTATTTTGACTGGCCGAGGCATCTCGGCCTTCGCTCTCTTCCAACGCCCGCAAGAGGCGAAAGAGTCCGGCGGCCTCCTTAATGCGGCTAAATTCGATGCAAAAGGCTTGCACCTCAATATACAGGTCCTTGACGTTGATGATCTTGTTGCGAATCAGAGACTGGAGGAACACGCATACCAATCGCACGAGGCGATTTCGCATGTACTTGTCCTAACGAGGAGGAGACCAGGCGAGGTGCAGGGCATGTAGGCCGGCGCAGGCATTGAATGAGCACACGGGCGCGCACCCAAACATCAACTCTGTTGAAGACGAGCATACCGCAATGTTTTCGCAGGTGGAAATGCAGTTGGAAATGTACAGGTGGATAAACTCGGTGGGCAAGTCTACCGACTGCGTATCCCATGGGTCGGTGAGTGCAAATACACGCGTTGGCGCGTTGATTTAGAAGTCAGCGTGCATGCTGGCATACGGCACACTTCAGCACCACTTAAGGAAACACGCAAACAACCAAACAGAGCCCAATACAGCACAAGGGCATACCGTGGTAAGGCGATTGACGACCTCCATGGAGTGGAGGGACATTTCCATGTTGACCAAAACGGAAAAGTATCTAGCGCCAGCGTCAAAATCGTGTCAGACGAACCAAGTGTAGCCCACCACTTCATGTTTGTGCGCAGGTACGGGGTTGGGCAGGGGTCACCTACTCTGTAATCTGGCTAGATGGCATGAGTTGGAGAAGCACCTCGATGGCAATGAGCGGGTTGTGGGCAACCAGGTCCGGCAGCTTTTGTGGAGTCAGTCCAATGTGAAATACCAGGTGGGGGTCGGCCTTGAGTTGATCTGTAAAACTCTGTTTGAAAACATTCAAAAATAGATAAAAAAAATCAAGGTCATTGCAGGTATGAGATACTGCACGCCAAATTGAGGCGCTTTGGTGGCCAAGCCTGGGAAGGCCATCGGTACTGCTACCGAGGCGAATGAGCTGCTTGGGTCTGTCATGACACTCACCTCGTGTTGTTCACTTGTGAGGGCCTGCTGACACGCAAGTCTCAGCATGGTGCGCACCTCGGAGCCGGCTGAGGACTCTCGTCCAATGGAAACGTCCCATCGAAGTTCATGGCTGGCTTCGCGGGGCACCAGCCACGCGGCCTCGAAATCCCCGAGGGGCAGGGTAGGTGGTGGCATGCGAACGAATCGGGGTTGAAGGTCGGGCCCGTTGCCTTGTGCGAGGAGGTTACCAGCTTCAAGCATGAGCTGCTTGGCGGATTCGGTAGTCTGAGCCACATCAGCTTCTGGAACGCTGCGGTCCGGATAGGGCAGGATACAGCTGACGTAGGGGATCTGGGGATGGTGTGCGTTTTGGCTGGCCATGAGCTGGGAGGCATCGGGTAGGCTGCTGGCGGGTTGAGGCATGGCGGAGAACTCTGTTACAAAATGATTGGCCGAGCTTTTAAGAAGCTGTTTCAATCAAAAGACAGGAACCCACCCAGCCGACGTGTGACGTTCAAATGAGAAAACGAAACAACGAAAAAAAAAAAAAAAAACGAAAAAAAAAGAGAGAGAAAAAAAAAAAAAAAAAGAGAAATAAAGATTGAGCGACGAAGCAGTTTGCTTTCATGGCGGATGTGCGAACCTGCGAGCCGTTGCCATTGTAGAGTTGGGCCACAAAGTCCTTCTCGCAGGGTGTGAGCGAAAAGGGCTTGAAGCTGGTGTGGAGAGCTTCATCGTGGGCCGGCACCTGATATCGAGCATTCAGAGGGGATGCCGCGGTCGAGGGTGAGAAAAGGGAACGGTGTTGTGGTTGAAAACGAGCAGCAGGTGGGCATCGAGCAGCAGCACTCAAGAGTCATGGTGGCGAGGCCTGAGCCACCTGTGCTACCTCATACCTTGAGAATGCGATCAAAGACGACGAGGAACGGATTGCTAGTGAGGGGTTCCTTGTGGTAGCCCCAATATAGGATGAATATGGCGTTGAGACGGTCGTGCACCGAGGGTAACAGGTCGGGATGCTCAAGCAGAACCGCCTGTGGCGGAAAAGGAACGGCGACGGGAACGGAGCGGGGTTGGAGGGGAAGTGAGTTTACGGTTGCTCGCAACGTTGTTTTCGATGCCTGTCTGATTTGGTGTGGATAGTCAAGGTGCGAGGCGCGAGAAAGCAGCCCAGAAGGGGCAGAGCAGGTGACTGCTCAAAATACAGCCGGGGACGGACCAATCCAGACGCTACGGTGAAGCGACGTCGCTCGGGAAACTCAGTCTGAAAAGCCGTGCCCACGCTGGCAAAGGAGGTGCCATGGTTCTGAGCCAACAGGCTAGCACGGCACACGACGTGGGGATGGAGCAACGGCGCGGTGAGAGGACGAGGGAACACCAGCCATCGGCAAAGCATTCAGCAGGTATCAGGGTGTCGCATCAAGCCAACCTCAAGAGGCGTGAAAACTCATCCTCGTTGGGAGCCATACTGTTGGGGAGGGAGAGTGGACAGCAGACAGCGCTGAAAGCATCCCGGGTCAAAGGCAGCGCAATCTATGGGAGGCAGGTGAAAAAATTGTGTGAGGAAGGGTGGGACTGTGGTCGGGGCGTGGGTTGTGGTGTGTCAGTGAATGCATCAGAGGGACTGACCACTACGCGAGGATGCTTGAGACGTGCCAAGTCACGGCGATGACAGTGCCGCCGCGGCTTCCTCAAACGCGAGCGTGCTTGGAAAGCCTGAATCGCCTGGCCGCGTTGACCAGATTGGCAGGAACCAGAAAGAATCAGGGGAGCGGCCTCTGGGTGAGCCCTTTGCACGGCGAGCGATGACGAGAGGCGCGGGTTTGCAGGCTGGCTCACAAGGGCCAAAGCACAGTGCCCCCCATGGGCAGCAAAAGATCCAGAATCAAGAAGGCTTTTGGTTCAAGCAATAAGACCCACCGATGCTAATCAGGTCGGGACCAACAGGGTCAAGGGGTGTCGTTGACGCGTCGGGTCGTGGCGCGAGCCAGGGAGCGAGAACGAGAGAGAACGGGCCGGGTCGCCGTCGCCCCCGGTTCTTTGCTTTCAAGCTAAAAAGATGGCTGTCGAGCACTGGGTGGCTCTCTGACAATCTTGCGCTGTTGACAACAGACGTTGTTCGGGTTTCGACACGATTTACTTCTTTTTTTTCGTTTTTTTTTCCGTTTTGTGTGTGTGTTTATCCGTTTAATACCATACCTCGAGCGAAGCGGCCTTTGGTCTGACATTTGTGATTGGCAATGAGTGTGAAAAACCACACTTTGCAGACTTTAAGTGTGACGTGCACTACATTTTATCGGAATGCATGGCTATGTGGCGCGGGCGTGCTCCGGAAACGGTCACCCAAGCCAACAACGTTAATAAACGAAAAAACACCTCTCTTATTCTGTTTTGTCACACACACACACACATCTCTCTCTTTCTCTCTCTCTCTCTGTGTCTCTCTTTATTTCTTTTTCCATTTTCTGTGTTTATTGCTGAACCTCTGGCTTCCTATCAGGCTTTTTTACCATCTCTGAAAGATATTTCACCTTCACGCATCTCTCTGCATTAGCTTTGAATTTCCTACGTCTGATACCACACTTTGGCTCCACATCTCTATCCCACTCCCCACTCCCCCTCGACATCTCTGCTCAAACTCTCCCACCATTCGCGTTCCTCTCGTTCCGTCTGTTGCTGCTCGGTCGGTCGGTCATCCCATCATCTTGTGGTGATTGCCGTGAGGGCCGGGGGCGAGAGTGATTTGCCTGATTTGCTCCGCGCGGTCCTGTCATCACCGGTCCTGACTGCCTCCCTTGAGCCCTGTTGCGCTTGGACACCACGCGCGGTGCAACTGGCTTTTGAATGTCGATGCTGTTCTATCGGAGGTCGCCGCCACTTTGTGTTGGTTGTTCTTAGCGATACCAACTTGCCGCCCACCCCCTTTGAACGTCTCGCCAGACGTCTATGTGTGTGTGTGTGTGTGTGTGTGTGTGTGTGTGCTCAACGGCCTCTTGTGGCTCGAAAAGCGCGCGCTTTGCATCTGCACACGCTGAAGCAGGTACCTACCAGCCTTCGCACAAACCTGTCGCCTCACCCCGGCTTCCTTTGCTCAGCCCTTGGTCACCAAGGCCTCGAAACTCAAACAGCCTTGTCCTCTGGAAGCACCGAGCAAGCGGGGCCCTCATGTTGCCTCATGTTGCCGCTCGCTTCTCTTTCGCCTCTGTCTTTCTGCTATTACCGCATGCGGAAGCCACAGGATTGCCATCGCTGCCAACTCCATCAGCTCCATCACTTCCATAAGCTCGATCAACGCCTCGCACAGGGGCTGGAGTTTGTTTCTCGCGCTGCTGAGATCGTCCCATCTCCTCCAAACATCCGACCAGGTGTCTTCGTCACCCTGGGAGGCGACATGGCCCGCTAGGGCTGAGGGTTCTGCCTGAGGTCCGTCTTCAAGTTGCCTAGCTGCCTCGGCACAAGTTGACATTCAAGGTTTCCAGCCTCACTCTCTGTCTCACTCCCGCCGTCTTGGCCACACACGACGATGTGTTGGGCGTCTTGTTCTTGTCTTCTTTACTTTAGCTTCGTACCCGAAGGGTCAGATCGACTAGACACTCGCACGTTGCTCTCCTCCCAGGTCTCCCACCACCATCATGGCACTGGCCGGCGAGCACTTGATGGTCAGTCTGCACTGTTGTCGCGTTCAAGCTGGTGTGGCTGCACCTCACTTTTCTTTTGGGGATTTCCAGGAGCGCGGTCTGGCCCGCCATGATTCCGAAGAAAGCGCCTCGCTCCAAGTCCCTTTGAGCTTCCCGTAAGACTTTCAACGAACCCATTGCTCCAATAAGATTGACGCTTCTCTGCTCCAACCGATTTGTGCCACTCTCACACTCAAGCGCTTGTTTGGTACCCCTTTGACCGGCCTGCGACTACAGCATTCCCACGCGTGCCATCGCCGCCGATTCCCCCGAAGTATGTATGATTTTGCGCTGTTTTATCAACCAAGCTGCTCTTGGTTGTACCGCTCTTGGCTATGCGCCGATGGACCGCCCAAGCGTCATCTTGCAACATTTGACCGCGCTATCGTTCAGCATGCGCCATTCTCACATCCCACTTCATTCTCCCATATCACATAGTTTGGCTGGTCCTCGTCGATTCGCTCAAGAAGAGGCAGTTCGCTTTACAAGCCCAAAACTTCCCAGAACCAGTTCAAGCTGCAGACTGGCCAGATTCGTCATAGCCGGCGCCGCAAGGTACTGTTGTTGCCACGCTCTCCAGCTGTCTGCCTCAGTAGTCGCTTTCGCTCCAGGCGCTGGGCTTCGCTTCCTCCTGCCACCGGCTTATACACCACACTCTCTGGGCTTTGACCCTTGTTGCTTCTGTTACCCGTCAATTACGATTAGGGTGAACGCTTCCGGCATCATTCCATGCCTGACTTGCGCGTGCCCTTCGATTGGGTCGACGATGCCGTGGTGCGGGTTTTCTTTCCCCCCTTTTTTTTTCACTTTGGACACCAACTCAGCTTGGTCTTGAGATACTTTCCCGTCTAGCTTCCATTCATCGCCTTCTTCTCTCGGCGTTCATGTCTGATGCCATGTCATTTTGTTTGCAATGTGCATGTTCGTACGTATCCATCATCCATAGGGTGCTTTCGCGGCTACGGGTGGTGGCATCAGTGCCAAGGGCCGTCGGGTGCAATCCTTTCGTACTTCGTTGCGCAAAAATCGTAGCCAGGTCTGCGCTTTTGATTGCATCACGCTCTTCCCAACCCACTTGTGCTTCCTTGAGCTGTACTCTCACCGTCTGGTCTTGTCTTGGGATGGTGGCCTTGGAGTAGAATTTGTCCCGACTTGCTTCACCCCATCGCGTGGAATCCCCTCTTGCGATCCAGGAGGATAGGTGTGAACGCCGGGATCCGAACCTGCTGCATCCAAATGCTTCATCTACCCGTCACTCATTTTTCCTTTCTTTCATATATGTGTGTGCGTGTGTTTGCGCGCGCGCGTACCTTTTTCTTGCTTGCGGGGGGTGTAGTACGAGTGGATCGATATCACGGTATCGATCTCGACGCAGTGTGCGAGGTAGCACGCGAGGCAGTGTAAGTCACGGCGCCATACACAAAGCTGTGGTATTTCGCGCTTTGAAGTCGTGTCGCAGAGCCTTTTCTCACCTGCAGACTCTTCTTTTGGTAAATTCAGGGGTCACCGGCAGTAGGCCGGCCTGATTCCGGCCGCGGATCCATCCGCTTGGAGCGCACGCGCAGTTGGAGTCCCATCCGTGAGCTGCCAAGCGTCAATCAGCCCTCAGAAGACTACGAGAATCGTTATCAAAGCATCTTACACCGCTTTGAGCGAAACATTGTCGATTTCCGCGCCTCACTGGATGACAGCAACACTGATGGCAGTGACACCGTGCGTATCCGTCCATGTTATGCCGACATCAATGCTTCTTCAACGGCGCACGGCGTCATGCAGCGCCAAACGTGCAGGATCAGGCCATTCTTGTACTTATCAAGACCCCGGTGTGGCTTTGTGGCGTCATAGGCAGCCCAGCTCGGCTTGGTTCGCGAGCAGTTAAAGTTGAGCGTCCAGGAGATTATCGAGTGGTGCGGCAAGCAAGAAATGAATAGCCAGTTCTTGTCACAAACTTCAGAGCTCCTCGTCAAGCTGATGGAGCATTGCTCGCCGGACGACCCAGCCGTGACCAAAATTCGCACCCTTCTTCGTTACATTGCCACGCCTTTGCGCTTTTTAGAGTGTCTCGAGCCGGGTGTCGAAGAGGAGGGTACGTGTGAACACTCATGCATGACGACGCTTCTGTGTTCGAGCTTGGCCATGACGGCTGCCCTGTCCATCTCTACTCATCATTTTGGATCGTGCGCGTTGATTGGCATGGCGCAGAGTTGACGGATGACACCGCCCATGATATGCTGCTTGATCTCATTATCGGTGCTGATACGGGCGACAACAAGCACATGTCCAACTACATTTCCAGCCGTATGGTGTCAAACTTTGGTCCCGAGGATGCCGATGACCAGCAACAGAACTTTTACAAGCCTCAAGAGGGACTATTGCAACAAGGTAAACGTTTCCTCCAGCTTGGCCGACTGCCAACCAAGCATGACTTCAACTTTGTCAAGCTCCTCAGTGCCGGGGCTTATGGTGGCGTCTGGCTGGCCGTGCACCGTGACACGAGCGAGCGCGTGGCCATCAAAGTCTTGAAGAAGAAGGATATGATGGACAAAAATGTAGTGCGACAGGTCATGGCCGAAAAGAATATTCTGCAGTTCGCTCGCAGCCCATTTCTGATCAATCTCTGGTGCTCCTTCACGACCAAAGAGTCGCTGTACATGGTGATGGAGTATGCATCGGGCGGTGATCTGGCGGCTTATCTCAAAATGTGTGAGCGCCTTCCCGTGGACCAGGCCCGCCGATACATTGCCGAAACTATCTTGGCCGTCGAGTACATTCACGAGTTTGGAATCGTGCACCGTGACCTCAAGCCCGACAACCTCGTCATTGCGGAGAACGGCCATATCAAGTTGACTGATTTTGGCCTCTCCAAAGTGGGTGTCATGAATCGCACGAGCGTTCTCGAAGAACATTCAGGTACGGTTCACACGGCGAGGCACAGCCTGCATTTGGAGATGCCTGCCTCTCGTTGTTGTCATATTTGTGCTTCAGCTTCTCTTCGCACAGTCTACCGTTGACGTTTGCGGCCCCACCGTGCTCACCTTGACTTTCATGATGCTTTTTCTTTCGTGTCTGTGGCGCAGTTGCCGGGGTGGCCGACTTCAAGGACAAGCAACGCTTGGGCACACCGGATTACATGGCACCGGAGGTCATTACAGGTCAAGGCTACGGCAAGGCGGTTGACTGGTGGGCCATTGGCATCATTCTGTACGAGTTCCTCTACGGTGCCCCGCCCTATTCGGGTGATACTGTTGAAGAACTGTGGGACCAAACCCTGAATGCCCCCGTTGAGTTTCCTGAAGATGATGAGGACGACGAGGACGAAGAGAATAGGCAGGATCCCTATTACGTCATTCCAGAGGCCCGGGATCTCATTGAGCTTCTTTTGGAAAAGGACCCCGCTCGCCGTTTGGGTACCCCGCCACCTCCATCCCACCTCGCATCCTGGGAGCAGGTCATGCCTGGGGCCTACTATGTCAAGGAACATGTCTTTTTCGTCGTCGAGTTGATGCACGAAGAGGGCGCCATCGATTGGGACAACTTGCTGCTCGAGACGGCGTGCTTTGTGCCCGTGCTGGACGATGATTTTGACACGTCCTACTTTGACACCCGCCAAGATCGTTACAACCACCAACTCAGCAGCTCCTCCTCCGACGAGGAGAGCAATGACAGCTCGTACCAGGGGGATCAGTTTCACAACTTTAATTGCATTCACCCATCCTCGGCCTCGGCCACCCCAGGCCCCGGAAGCTCGCCGATCATGAGTCGCAGTCGGCGCGCCTCACGAACCATCAACGCCCTGTTGAACGACAGGCACGAGGGTGCGAGTATCATGTCACCGCGGTCACCGGGTGATAGCATTCGTTACCTGCCTCGCCCCTCCAGCCAGCAGTCGACGCGCCCGGTGCCCCTCGAGCCGGACCGCCGACAGGCCAGCCAGTCAGCGCCCAGCTCCCCGCCTGCCGTCTCTCGCAACAACTCAAGCCACGATGTCTTTAGCTTTGCCACCCCGGATACAAGCCCCCGCCTCGAGCGCAAGGATTCGCAACCCGTTTCCAACCTGGCGCACGAGCTCAAGCTGCGTCTTACGCATCCGCGTCCCACTGTCAAGGTCGAGGATACAGCCAGCAGTCAGGCACCCGGGGCAACAGCTGGTCTGGCCTCGCCGCTCAGCTCCGGCACGACGTCCGAAAGCAATTCTCGCACGGCTTCCTTGCACCAGGTGGAGCGGCGCAAGGAGTCTGGCTTTGGCACTTCGTCGCCCAGTTCGCTTAACGTGACGGTCGACGAGCCCAGCCCCTCGGTCATCCGCATTTGTTTACCGTTTGACGAGCAGATGAAGTACGGGTTTACGATCCGAAACACTTTCATGGGTGCGCGCAAGCACCGCGTGTGCCGCGTCGCGCCTGGCAGTGCGGCAGAGAAGAAGGGAATTCGACCTGGCTTCGCGCTGTTGCGCGTGGATCACAAGGATGTGACCAAGTTACGCCAGCAGCAAGTTGGTCGCATGATGCAGGCCTGCTGGGGTCGTGAAACCGTGCTTGACTTTGAAATGCCGAGCAAAGCGTCTCGCAAGAGCAAGTCACCGCGCGTTCGAAAGAGCACGTCCTTGACCTCGTCTCTGCGCCGGTCTCTACGTCGTCGTAAGAGTACTCGTGACCTTTCCAAGTCACCTTCTGTCACCGAGTCACCCAACAACTCCCCTGCGGGCAGCCTCCACAAGTCCCCTGTCAGCAGCTTGCGGGCCACACGGACGGCCAGCAATCTCAGCACGGCCACGCTGTTTGACAACGTCGGTCCCAACAACGAGTTGGAGGTTGGGCCAGAGGATGGTCGAGCTTCTCCATCTTTTGGACGCACAACGAGCGATTATGGCCGCCTCCCAGAGCGGCGCCAGTCTGGTGGCGCGACGCGGGGTTCGTTACGACGCATTTTGCGGCGCTCGCGGCGTGGGTCGTCAAGTCCCCGCAGCGAGTCTCCCATCAACGGCCGCCATCGCGAGTCATTCAGCCAACCACCCGAGCTGGATCGCTGGCCACGGCGTGTGGAGGAGGAGAACGGTTTTGTCTCGGAGCATCGCGAAGCCACGAGCCCTCCGCAGCGGCCCCACTTCCCGCGCTCTGCGCGCCGGTCCTCGCTCGGTGCCATCACCGTGTCGTCTCCCTTGGGCCTTTCGCCCTCCTCGTCGCCCTTGTCAGGGAGTCCCACGCGAAGCCCAAACCCTGTGGCTATGGCATCGGGTGCCATGCCCGAGCCCATGTCTCCAACTGTGAACAGCGGAGGTCTGCATGGCTCGAGTGCTATACCCACTGCCGTGCCGAGCAACGCGGGTGGCGTGTCGAGTGGAGGCGTTGGGATCACCTCACCACTTCAAAAAGAACGACGAAGCGGTAGCTCACGGCAAACGAGCCCGCTCTCGTCACCATCACACACGCCACCATCGACGCCGCGTGCTACCAAGGTTCATCAACACGTGAGCGAGCATTCGAGCTTGCGCATGGCCATGTCGCCACGACATCTACGTGAGGGGGCCACGTCTACGACTTCGCAGTCCACCGCAGCCTCGGTAGCTTTGGCCTCAACTTTGAGCCCCACGCCCCGTATGGGGATCCATTCTCCTTTGCTGAGTGCCAACGTGCCTCCCCGCTCCCCGGCCGAGTACTCGGAGCCGGAGTTGGAGGTTGCGTCTACCCGTCACCTCTCACTGGAGCATGCCCAGTTGCAGCAGCATGTGTCTGGGCAGCCGCAACATCGCCACTCGGCCTCGTCTCGGCTGGCTTCGACTCCAGCCCACGAGTCGGACGGTGCGTCACCAGAGCGACCGCCGGCATCCCGAGGACAGCGTTCTTGGGAGAACGTCGTCTTGCAGCTCGATGCCTTGTTGAGCACACCCGCTGAAACCACCTCAATGGGGTCAGGTTCGCCCCCGACAGCGGATGGTCGTGGCGCTGCTGACAACGGCGCCCGCAGCTTGCCTGGTTCGCCGCGGGGGCGCCGCGGTCGCGATGTGGGTGCGCCCATGGGGCGCGTTCGTGAGGGCGTGGCGACCACGGCAGCGGACTTGGCAGAAGATCACACCTTGCCACTGTGGACCTCCTCGCATGGCAGGGGCGAAAGCAGGGGTGATGCTGATGCCGATGACGCAGACGAGGCTTTGGACTCGGTCGAGACACGGCGCTGGCAGCCGTCTCCACCTTCGGTGCAGTTGGTGGCACCGCGACACACATCTGCGCCACCGACTCCGCTGCCGGGTCACGGGCATCCTTCTGGCCGCTTGAGCACGGGTAGCTTGGGGTCGACCAGTATGGCCGCACAGGGCACGGGCGGAGCGGGTTCATCTGCTGCTGCCATGGCCGTTCCGCTTGTGCGAGGCGAGTCTTTGGAGACCCGGCCCATGTCGGCGGAGGTTGTGAAGGATTTCCATGCACAGCTGCGTCAGTTGCGGCGCAGTCGCCGCCGCAGCAGCGGGCAGTCTGCGCGCTCACCCTCACCCGTCTATCAGCGGGCTGTGAGCGGTCCATTGCATGGCATGAATGGGGGCTCGGGTCTTGCGCCCGTGCCCAGTTCGACCGTGCGCACACTGCGTCGCTCGGGTCACGCAGCACGGGCGCTTTCAGACGTGGACTCTGACGCGGCTACGCACCAGTCTTCCTCCAACAGTTTGGCGTCGTCGCTGGCCGACAGCCTACAGCAGCGCCGTCGTCGCGACCGCGAAACTGTGGTGTAGCTCTGACTGGTTTGGAGCTTGCGCGCGGGAGGACATTTATCGTTTTTTTTTTTAACTTGTTGATGTTAGCATCATTGTTTGTGCTCTTCTCGCGCTTGGCTATTGTGTGTCTGGGCGACCTCGTGTGTTGGGCGAGCCCGTGTTTTCGAGTGGAAGGCGTTTGATTTGCTGTGACATAATATATTTTGTTTGTTCAACATGACACGATATTAAGATAGAGTTTTGTGTTTTTTGTTTTTGTTTGTGGCGGCGCTTTTCTGCTCTTGTTGTTGCAAGAGTGAAGGAAGGGGGCCTTTTGAATAGTCTTTCGCTCATGGAAGGGTCACGTTTCTGCCGCCTTGTTTGTGTGAGCGTCTGGAAATAAAGATGCGCCAGCTCTAGATGGCCCACAAAGTCGGAGCAGAGAGAGATTCAACATGTCCTTTTGTTTCTCAGAACAAGCCCAAAGTAGCTTGAGCTGTCTGTTTGTGGTGAAGGCCGATGGGGCATTGAAATTTTTTTCTACCTTTCTCATTTGGTAACGAATGGTGAAACAGGGACGCAAGGGTTTTCGTTTGTTTGTCGTCTGGTAACGGTTGGCTGCCCACGTCACCTGCCACGTTGCACCAATTGGATACACACGTCGGCTTTCCCCACGAAAATAGTGCACATGTTTAGAGGTAGGGTGCGAGTCCATGTGTGTTTGCCAGCTGCCACCAAGCATGCCTTAGTTTCGTCACTCAATTTTGTTGTTCTTTCGCTACCACATGACCCTCACTCACTCACAAACTGAGCGCATGGTTGTTTCATGTTACTCTCTCTCTGGAAGAAGAAGGGGGAACACGTTCCTCCTCGCACTCACGTTACCGGTTGCTTCCTTGACCTTATGCCGCACCCACCAACCCTTGCTTGAGGATGATGCGGGATGGTGGTGCATCTGTCGGGGGTAGGTACAGTTTTGTTACCTTGCACGTTTTGTGTGCCACCCACCCACACCATCACGATCCTGTTTGCTTCCTTCCTTTTGTTCTCCCTTTTTGTCGCTTGTTGGTCCCTTCACCTTTTGCCCTGTGCCCTTTTGACTTTTTTTTTTTTTTTTTTTTTTTTTGAGATTTTTTTTTTCCCCGCTTTGGTTTTCGTGCTGGGTGGGTGACAAGGGTGAGATGGGTGATGATGGGGTGACGGTTATCCCTTCTCTCCTCCCCTTGTGTATTTTTTCCACCACCCTTTGTGGGCACATCGTGCTTCTTGGGGCTCATGGCCGTTGGGGTGTGTATAAATGTCTCTCTCGCTGTGTGAACAACAAGAACAACAACAACAAGAACCATCAGCCCAAGTGACACCCTCTCCCCTCTCTCTGCGGTCCCCCCCGCTCAGGTACAAGGACATGGCACACGGCCTTGCTCGCTTCTTTGTGTGCCCTCCTTCCCTACTTCTTCTTCTTCTCGACCCGCGCACACGGACACACACGGACAAACAGACACACGCGCACATTGGCACAAACCAGAGCGTCGGTAGAGCTCGCCTGCCGTTCGTGGTGGCCTTGTGCATCCCCTCGCAACCCTGCTCTACCGGCGGCTTCGGCGGCTTTGTTCTTTTCCTGTCGCTGTGTACCGCTGTGCCGCTGTGCCGCTGCTCTACTGTGCTGCCGTGCCTGTGCGTTCTCTGCTCTCCGCTTGCACGAGAGGCGTCTGCGTGTGGTAGGGTGGGAGGTGTCGCACCGGTCTGCCTTGCACCTGCCTTTGGTCAGGGCTTGCGTTTGTCCCGGTTTTGCTTTTTCTCTTTGTCCGTCTATCTCTGTCTCCTCTCTCTGTTTCTGTCTGTGTCTGTCTCTCCTGTGCCTGTCTCTATCTCTGCCGCTGCCTCTTTGCCTCGCTGCCTCTCTGGCCTCTCTGGCCCTCTGCCTGTCGCTATGTGTGTGTTTATCCCTTGTCTCTGTCTACTTCGCTTGGCAAGACTCAACAGCACAGGAGAGACAGGGGAAGGAAGGGACAGCAGGGGTCGCTTTTCGCAGCAGCTACACAGCTCTCACGAGAAGGCAACAACCATTGAGAGACAAGAGGGCGGTGTATGTGTTTATGTGTGGTGTGTGTGGTGTCTGTTCGACTGCTCATCTTGTGCATCTGCCTTCCTGTGTCACTTTCCATTTGTGTCCATTCACCACTTGATGGGGCCCAGCGCCTCGTTCAGAGCTGTGTTTGTGCGTGCTCATGTTGTTGTCACTCGCTCAATTCAATCTATAGAGCTTAGAAACCAACAAGGTCGCTTTTATCAGCGCCCCAGTTGGATAGCAGCGGTCTCCTTTTGGTCACATCCTCCTTTTCCCATTAGCTAGCAGGTTGGTGGCCCCTCGTCAAAGCTGGCTTGGTGAACCGAGTGCCGCCCGTCCACTCGTCTTCAGATGCACAATACTTTGCATACTCAAAGGGCGTGTTACACACTCGTCCTTTCGACTGACGTGGCTCGCCGACTTTGAGGCTTCAACTCCGTGCGGGCTTGGGTGTGCGTTTTTGGATTTTGGCCTCTCTTCTCGACCTCTCTTCTTCATCCCAGCTTTGCACACCCTGGCTCCCGCCTTGATGATCTTCCATTGACTCGCTGCTTTGCCCCACTCTCGTCATCCATCCGCATTTGTGACTTAACCCAGCTCAATGCCTCTCAGCTTTCAGAGTAACGCTCATTCTTGTGGACTCGGCTTTGGACTGTAGATCCTCAACAACGTTTCACGATAGACAACACATACTATCGCAAACCGTGCGATCACAGCGAGCTTGCAGTACGTCACACGAATGCTCGAACCGCTACCAGCAGACATTTTCATTAAGCAACTTCTAAAACCCGGCTTTCGTAGCTCAAAACTGTCTGTGTCTCGCTTCCTTTGACGCACAGTCCGGCACGCGGTCCTGTCTTTTGATGAACGCTTAGGAGCCTACGAGCAGGGCTGGGTGAAAGTGGACTCCATTGCTTTCACCTGAAGAGTCTTTGTGTCTGTCATTGTCTTCTGGCTAATGTCAGCCCATCCATCCTCACGAGACTTCTGCATTCATGGCTGCCATGTACGCGGCCAACTTTGAACATTTGCTTCAACTTCAACAGCAGCAGCAGCTGCAACAACAACAACAACAACAACAACAACAACAACAACAACAACAACAACAACAACAACAACAACAACAACAACAACAACAACAACAACAACAACTTCAACAACAGCAACAACAGCAACAGCAGCAACAGCAGCCTTCCTCTTCTGCCTCAGATCGGTCAGCTGCAGCCCATAGCCAATATCCAGGCTTGTCCTCTTCCTCACATCTAATTGCCGAAGGCTCTGATGAATTCGGAGCCGCAACCACTTCAGCATTGAGCGAGCCCCAGCTTAATAATCCTTCCAACTTCACTACGGCCATGCCCGGACCCACCGCCATGAATGGTGGTTTGGGTATGAATCCTTCTGGCCTCAACAACGCTCTCCTGGCGCTGTTAGCTAATAACCCAGGACTTGGCAACTTGTCTGGCCTACCTTCTTCTTTGGCACTCAATCTTCAGGCTCAGGCGCAAGCACAAGCTCAGGCCCAGGCGCAAGTCCAGCAAGTCCAGCAAGCTCAGCAAGCTCATAGTCAAAATCCGATGCACTTGCAATCCCAAACATCAGGCCAAGTTCAACCTCAAGGGCCTAACCATCCTCTCAGTGGCATTCAAGCTGGTCATGCTGCGGATGCATCAACCATGTCCGGCTTGCCATTTAGCTCCTCAATGTTATTCCCTCAGCATCTCTGGCCAAGCCTCAGCTCATCTGCCTCTGGACCAACATCAGCCAGCGGTGCCGACTTTGCCCCGGGCGCAGCTACAACAAATAGCACTGCCGCTCTGGCAGCCGCCGCCGCCGCCGCAGCAGCAGCAGCAGCCAATGGTACGGCGGGACTCAATCCGTTTCAGCAGTTGGGCATGCAAGCCATGCAGTCAGCATCCTCCCAGAATAGCTCGGGTTTGCCCTCGAATTTGGCACGGGGCCCCTCTGGAGCATTGAGTGTGCTTGGTGGACCTCTCAAGGGCATGGTCGGAGGCATGATGCCTGGATCAAGTAATAGTGCTACGCCAGCGACCGGCGCATCTGGCAATGGTGCAGTCATGTCTCAGGCCTCCTCTCTAAACATGCCCTATCAAGGCCTAGCATGGCCTACCAATGGGCCATCGTCGGCTCTTGTCAATTCCTTGTGGGGCTCTGCAGGGGCACCTTCGAGCATGACTTCCAGCAACGGAAGCGGCCCCATGCAGAATCCCATGGACCTCTTGCGTCAGCAACTACAGCTTCAACAGCTGCTTCAGAACGGATCTTTGTTTCCGAGCAACTCAGGCTCTGGTGGACCGATGAACGGTGATGCTTTTGGTGCCGTGGCTGCTTTGGGTCATGCCACCAATTCCACGGCCCCAGCCTCGGTGCAATCTTCTACGCTAGGGTCCTTGCCCATGGTCCCTGGCGAGTCGGACGAGCGGGATCAACGTCGCCGGGAGCGAAATCGTCAAAAGTCGGTGCGCTACCGTCGCCGCAAGCGCATGCGTCTTGAGAATCTAGTCGAGGTAGCGCATGATTTGCATCAACATTGTCAGAAGCAGCACGAGCAGCTGCGTACGGCCTTAGCGCAACAGGGCGGGCCTGTCAAGTTGCCCGCTCTGCAGACAGAGTCGACACCGTCTGCGGGTGCCCACCAGCCCGTGGATGGAGGCAGCAAAGGCACGGAGGACACTGTGAATCATCAAAAGCAAAAGCCTCGTCTGAGTGAATCAGATGCCAGTATCGACTTGGCTGGAACCGCTGACGGAGAGGATGATGGTACTGATGACTTGCCCGAGCTGTCTTTGTCCGTTCCCAAGACCGAAGCAGCTGCTCTGGCAGCGTATCAAGAACGCATGTCTATCATCCAGGGCTCCTTTGAAGAACCATACACCAAAGTCTCTCTTCCGGCTCGCCTCGAGGCGTGGGAAGCGGTGAGTCTTGCTTTCCCAGTTTGGTTGTTTGTTAGAAAGATGGTGGCAGTTGAAAAGCGCGGACGGCTGTTGTGTACCCGTGCATGTGCATGGATTCTCACCTTTTGCGAGGGGCGCCCGTGCCGCTGCCATGTAGACACCCGAAGTACAGGCTTTGGATTTGGATACGCGCACGCGCGAGCGCAACCGCTTGCACTCTCGTCTGTATCGGCGGGAGAAGAAACAAGAGCTGAAAATGTGGGAGCGCTTGGCCATGCGCCTCCACAACTTGCAACAACTACAGCTCCGGCTTTGCAAGCTGTATGGCCTCTCTTTGTCATTGACGGTTATCCCGTTTCAGGGTAGCAATGACCAGGCGGAGGAGACTTTGAGTGGAAACGACGGTGTTTCATCTCCCTTGTCGAGCACCTCGGGCGGCGATGCACACGGCAAGCCGACCGAGGCTTCTGGGGGAAGGGCTGCGCCACGCCGCAAGCTAAACACGCAGCATCAAAGTTCAACAACTGAACGTGACGGCGACTTGCGGCGTTGACGCTGCTGCTTGGCGCTCAGCTTGTATTCCCCGTCTTGAGTGCCTCAATCTCCACTCCTTCCCTCACCCCCTCCATCTTCTTTCTCATTGCCTCGCCGCCACATGCTGGTTTTGTGGCGCTACGCCGGCGATGACAAGGACTCTTTTAATCTTTTGAGGGTCCCTGTCTTTGTCTTTGTCTTTGCTTATCATTGACTTTGTGAGGGAGCGAGTTGTGTTGTGCTTGCAAGCTCTCTCTTGAGCGCCGATTATCACGTTGTGTAGTCAATGTCCGTCACGGCAGAGACACGGGAATCAGTTCCCCTCCTCCTTCCTCTGCCTTTTCCTACGCTTTTAGTTGTTAGCTAGACACATCATGACGTTTTCCCGGCCGCTGTTCCGCCTGCCTGTCGCTTGGTCGGTGTCACGGCTGCCACACAGGTCGCTCTTGCCTTGAACCTTGGACTCGACATTCCTTGGCGTCGTCGTACTTTGATTAAGCATTGTCAAGCCCGCCACCCATGTGCGTGTGGTGCCCCCCCCCCCCCCCA